ATCACAGACACCATGCCCAGGCGTTATAGGTTAGGTAACTTAGCCAACTTATCAGGACTAATAATAAGTGCGACCTGGCGAATAACCTACATGAGTAAAAAGAACATCTGTAAACCATTTTCGTGCAAGTAATAAGGGTTTAGAAAAGAAGACTTTTCTGTACAATAGAGTCAGGTTACAGCAAAGCAGAGCAAGTCGTGATGCATACCATTAGGGGTTATGATGAGCCATCTGAAGAAGAACAGAATAGCGACCATTTCTCAAGCGCACACCGATAAAGTTCAGATAAGCGATTCTGGAGGCAAACTATTTATAACAACAGCATAGCTACTCATGTTTTCCTCAGCATTCACTATTTACCTAGGTATTGAACTTGAAGTAATAACTGCCGAAACTAAGCCACCTTAAGATAACGGATCTTTGCGTCCGCAGCAAATCTGGGCAAATTTGTCTGGTCGGGTGTTTAGCCTCAAGAGGGAACAATCTTCAGAGATCAGCTCTAATTTTCAGGGGTGAAGGATCCAATTGTTGCACCAATGGCAGTCGCTTACAGGGCATTTAAGCTTAGTGCTCACGCTGTTCCGCGGTTCGGTTTTTAGTGTATAGCGGGCCGTTGAGCCACCGTCTTGGCCTCACGACAATGCAATTGAGACTCGTGCGGGTGAGAAGAAAAGCGGCAGTTGGACTTGGGGAAAGGTCGTATTTTCTGTTCAAATCAGGATATCCTCTCCGGAGCATAATAACCATAAATAACATGTTAAGGTGGCAGTCCACTTCCCGCGTATGCTGGGCACGGCCCTGTAAGGACACTGAAGAGGTAAGCACTAGCCCCTCAGAATGACAAAGCAGCCAACCACGAGCTCGTATCGAGTTCCCACGCGAAACGATCGCCGCCCAATTCTGGCTTCATCACCTTTTCTCACGCACCAAAGTCCCTCCAAATCTCCGCTCCCGCTGCAACGCGATGCTGGGTAAAAAGTCCAATGGACGCCCATGTGAAGCTGGGCCGCTGGCTGCTTCGCCTTGGCCCTCTCGGATACCATTCTCTTTCTGTCAGCGTCACTTTCGCTTCTTCGTCTTACGCTTTGCTTTGATGGACGTGCTGGTGTTTGTTAGCTGACGAGGCTGGAGCCTGTGCCTCTTTTTCTTTCCATCTCAACGCCATTCTCTCGATACCTGACGATAATCGACATGTCTCGCTCGGTGATTGCGGTTGCGTGCCTTTTGGCAAGGCCGGTAGTTGGTTTGGCTGGATGGTGGACTTGGTCGCCCTACACTCTGACACCGCATTTCGCATACCAAGACCCGGGATCTGGTGATATCCTGCACAGCTCGTGCACAAGCAATGGATCGGCTTCCTTTTCGACAAAGAACCCCAACAAATTTCCACTCAAGGAGCAACCCAAGGCCGCGACACCGCTCGCCATCTCAGGATGGTGGGACGACGACCTCAATACGCCAATCGTGAGCACCTTGCAGCTCTCCTTGGCCGAGCTTCGCTAATATTTCAGGCCTCTGTATTCTACCAGAATGCTGACGACGGTATCGTGAACGCATACTTGATATGCGACAACACAACAGGCAATTACAAGCTCGACACCGATGGCGAAGAGGTCGTTTCCGACTCGGCTGGATTACCCTCAGTGAACGAAAAGACTGGATTGGCGGTCGCAGAACTAGGAGACTCGGGCGGCTCCCGAGTCTACTACCACGACGAAGATGGACGAGTCAACCTCCTCGCATACGACGACGATACCGATTGGCGATACGATGGTCCGGTATCGCTGAAGAAGCCGGGCGGTATGACGATAGCGGCTGTTCAAACAAAGGGCACCAATGTTTCGGTGGTGTATCCTTACGATAGCAAGGATATTGTTGTCGCTCGCTACAATAACGATAACAAGAGCAAATGGCGATTAGGTAAGGACAGACAGTTTCGCAAGGTCAACAGTGTTACTAACAGGCGTCCCAGAATCGTTCCCAACGCCGTTCGATAGCCCAGCACCGACAAATGCGACTGATCCTTCCGATATACGACTCGATACATCGACAGCGGCATCGCTCACACTCCCCTCCTACGATAGCAGCGCCGTCGATCTAGGCGTTGCGAACCAAGCTGGCAAGGGATTGACGGTGTTTTACATTGGCAAAGACTCTCAATTACACGCGATAACACACAAGAATGGTGCCTGGGCAGAGGAGGACAGCCCCGGAAAGAAGAAATGGCCCGAAGCAGACGACGCATCCGCGCGCTTGGCTGTTGTATCACCGCTGGACTCGGACGAGATCTGGGTATACTACTTGAGCGGTGATAAGATCCAAGAGCTACACAAATCCGATGGTGGATCTTGGGACAACGCGCAGACACCATCGTCAAATAACTCCACGGACAGCGACTCGGGTTCTGAAGGCGGCGACGAAGCAACAAGCACAGGCGGTAATTCTGGCGCCACAGAGACAGAAAGCGCTGCAGCTGATTCAGATACGGGAGGAATGACAGCTGGAGCCAAGGCCGGTGTTGGCGTTGGTGTCAGCGTGGGCGTGCTAGCAATTGCTGCTGGAGTGTTTTTCTTCCTGCGCCGAAAGCGTCAGGCGCCTGTTGACAGCGAGTGCAAAGGCTCGGCTGAGCTGGCTACTTATCATCCTGTTGAGCTGCCGACCGAGGTGCATGAGCCGCAGGAGTTGTCGGGGATACAGAACCAGCAGTATGAGCTGCTTGGCGACACGAGGAGGACGACATAGAGCAGTAACCTAGTCCAGTTCGCAATATCATGCCTTGTTTAAGCCACAGTAAAACATGATGGCCACATTACCGCCATTGACCTTATCCCCGCATCAATTATCTTGTCAGCTGCCACTCTCCAGATCCAGAACCAAGAAACATGCTTAAACCTGCCACAACCGCTTTCACCCATGAATCAAACCCACCAATGTCTCGACTCGATTATGTCACTGGCCCATGAATCCACTCACATTCCAAGGTTTTCCAAAATAACCTTAACCTCCCGCTCCACTTTTCAAGGCACAATTGCTCCGGGATGCTCACTCACACTTGATCATTGACGTAATGTTCCTGGAACACGATCGATCAAACAAACTCGAGAGCACGCGACATGTCAAACTTCAACTCTACAAGCACAACATTCACTCACTGTAGACAAGAGTCAACATGTCTAGCAGTGTTGTCAGCACCTTTGTCGGCGCCATTCAGGCGTCGGCGTCTGTTCTCTTGACCATCTTTTATGGTGTTGTCGCGGGGCAGACCAAGCTTCTTAGTGTTGAGACGGGACGGCAGATCTCAAAGATCTGCATCAAGATGTTTCTTCCCGCGCTTCTGATCGTCAATCTTGGTACGCAGATTGAAGCCTCCAATGCTCTTCAGTACATTCTCATTCTCGGTGAGTCAGCAATCTCTCCTCCAAAGCCGCAAGTCTAATGTTTCGTAGGATGGGCACTTGTCTACAACCTCGTCTCAATCGGAATCGGTTACGCCCTCACCAAGGTCCTCAGTCTCCCGAAATGGTTCACGCCCGCGATCACCTTCAACAACACCACGTCTTATCCTCTCCTTCTGATCCAATCCCTCGGTTCGGCTGGTGTTCTCTCCAACCTGGCAAAGTCCGATGACGATACCAGCGATGCAATCATCGATCGAGCAAAGTCCTTCTTCCTCGTCTGCTCCGTCATCTCCAACATGCTCACCTTTGGTCTCGGCGGAACCCTTCTTGGAGTCAGTGACGAAGATCCCGTCGACGCTATGAACGCCGATCTCAGGGATCGAGCGGGACATAACGATTCACCAGATGAGAGTGGCTCGGACGAAGAGAACGGAGAGTCCAACGAACGAACATCTCTCCTTCCTGGACCGCTCCCGCGATACGCAAAGAAGGCATCTCGAGGTACGGCGCAAGCTCAGCACGCTGTATGGGACAAGCTGCATCCACGCATCCAGCACGCGCTGGCTCTCACTACTCAGTTCATCAGCCCTCCATCTGTTGGCGCCACCATCGGTGTCATCCTCGCCTTTACGCCTCCTCTCAAGAAAGCTTTCTTTGCTGACAGTGAGGATGGCGGCATCTTCAACGCCTGGTTTACAGTTAGTCTCAAGAACATTGGAGAACTCTTCGTCACTCTTCAGGTCATTGTCGTTGGTATCAAGCTCGCCCACAGTCTTCGTCGCATGCGTCAAGGACATGACTCGGGTAGCATCCATTGGATTCCCCTCTCGATCGTTGTCCTCATTCGCTTCTTTATCTGGCCTGTGTAAGATCACTCCTAACTCCATCCACGATATTCACTACTGACACTGGCAATTAGGCTCAGCATTTTGTTCATTCGAATGCTCGTCACCAAGACTGATATCCTTGGTCAAGACCGTGTCCTTTGGTTCGCCATGATGCTCATGCCTGCTGGTCCTCCGGCCATGAAGCTTGTGGCCATGGCAGAGGTCGATGATGCGGACGAGGATGACAAGATGTCAATCGCGCGAGTTTTAATGGTAAGACACTCCTTGATCAAATTTCCATGAGTCCTACTAACATATCTTCCAGACTTGCTATGCTGTCTCTCCTTTGTTGTCTCTCGCAGTGGTCGCAAGTTTGAAAGTTTGCACTTGATTGGCGGCTCCGTGCCAGCGACTTGCTGAACAGCGGGAAACGCTGTCACAACGTACTAGGGTTCTCGTCCGATACGAATCGTCGGTACCATTGCGGCGTATTTGGTGATCCTTCAAGCTTCGATCATGTACCACGCGGTGGGAGCCTGGCGTCCTTGCGTGGAAGCCCAATCCACTACGCCCTTGTTGCTCAATCCCCAGATAACAAAGCAAGACCAGTAGAGGGTATTATTCTCATTTCTTGGTCATAGATATATACCGCTGTCTTGTGCAGAATAACAGAAAAGCACCAGATCATAGGAGAATAAGAACACGAGAGATCATTTTGCACCATCTCTCACCGTAAAGATCCCATCCCCTTCACCGCACTATGTTCGTTCATTCATTATCTTCTTGAAGCAGCCCAGGTCAAAAGGAAAGCAGTCGTAGCCACATTCCCAGCTACCTTATTCGTCCCACTTCCAATCTTCCAAAGTAATATCGCAATGCCAGCCTTGTACAAACTCATCAACCCCAGGAGCGTCGTGACTCCATTGCTGTTTCCGTTCATCTGGTGTGCCAACAAGAGGATGCCGACTGACAATTCCCAAGTGCCCAACATGTAAATAGGTTCTGAGCTTGGATCATCCTTCGAAGTGGCGGTATGCCTTAGTCCATTGAGTGCATACTCGGCCTGCGGGTTGGTGAAGGCCATTATGCTTCTAGCAATGCAAGCGAGGCCAAGGGCGTAGATTGAGAGTTCTGAGAAGTTCATTGCGGAAGATTTCAAGCCACATCTACAGTAATTTCGTTGATAGACGTTACAGAAATGATGTGGCCGTCATGAGGCTCCATGAAGATGAAATTGTGTGGGAGGGAGGATCTTAGTGGAGATCGGCTGACGTGAGATATCTTGTCCTAGGACCCACGCAAGGGGAGGCAAGCTAGCGAGAAATCTTTGGACCTCTGGTCTAAGTGATGCAAACGCTCAGGTAAACTTCGTATGTTTTATGAGGCTTTGAGGCCAAATTATTCCTGTACCCTGATCCAATGGCAGAAGTTTTCTTGCTCCCCAAGGCCATTCCGGGACCGACACAAGAACGCAATAAGACCACTCATGCATTGAGGCCGCCATTTGGACTTGATACGTTCATTCAAATATTCAACATCTATCATAATACAACTCAAGCCAGTTTGGCGATGACTCATTCCTAACTAAGTGACAGTGTAGCCTCCATCGACTCGAAGATCCGATCCAGTCATGTACGAAGAAGCATCAGACAGGAGGAAGGTGACAGGTCCCATCAAGTCTTGTGGCTGGCCCATTCGTCCTTGTGGGATCAAAGACGTCCAAGTCTTTTCAAGATCCGGGTTATCGTTCAAGATCTTTTGCGTTCTGCTGCCTGTTAGTCAATAGCCCAATAGTGGAGCAAAGGATAACGTACAAGGCAGTCAACATGTAACCGGGAGAGATACAGTTGACACGAATGCCGGCATGAGCCCACTCAACTGCCAAAGAAGCAGCTAAATGACGAACCGCCGCCTTGGCAGCGTTATACGGCCTAGGTAATCAACACCATCAGCAACTACTCCTCTCGATTCCTTGGAGGTTACTTACGCCTGCGGTTGAGGAACATTGACGATGGCCCCAGACATGCTGCCTATAACAACAATACTTCCAGGCGCCTCACGTTCCATGAGATGCTTGGCAACAGCGACAGCGAAGAGATAAGTTCCGTCGACGTTGACGCCCCATAGTTTGCGCATACGTTCAATGGGGTAGTGGATCGCATCGAAATTCTCAGTGAAGCCGGCTGATGTAACTAGGCCATCGATTTTATGATGGATGCTGAGAATCTCGGCTATGCATTTAGTTACTGAGTCTTGGTCTGCGACATCCGCGTAGTGAGCCGTGACTCGAGGAATTCTGTCGACCCGTCAGAAGGTGAATCTAAGAAAGGACTGATATGCTAACTTCTGGCTGTTTGGATTCTCTCTCTTGAAGGCGTCAGTCAACTGCCCAACTTGAGACTGCGCTTCATCCTCTACAGCCTGTCAGTACCTGCTCGGATCTTTCGGGATAGTCACATACTATTCAAGTCAACGATCGCCAAATCAGCACCCGAGTAAACAATTCCCTGCCCCATAACCAACCCCAATCCTCTAGCACCGCCTGTGATAACAATCGTCTTCCCCTCAAGCGACAACGACGCCAACGTCGGCTTGGAGAACTGTCCACCTTGGCCAATCAACGGCTTACTAGCAGGAAGTTCATGATGTTCAGGGTACTCGACGCGCACAGCAGCATCGGTACGAGAGTAGGATCGCTTTGGTGGAACTCCAGGAGGCATATTGAGGATGTAAGCAAGTCAATTGATGAATAGATATTACTATGAAGGGACTCGGATGAGGGGATAGAGGTTCAGTTTTATTCACCCCTCAACATCTGGTGATCCTTTCCGAATCCCGATCACGGCACCAAGAAACCGTGACATTCTTCTGCTGATCCAAGCCTTCGATATTGGTGAGCTGCGAGGGGGGACGCGTTAGGTAGGTCTCAGCTGATTGGCAAAGATTTCCTGTTTGAGTAGCGGTCAAATCCATCAGTTCTCTTGAAAGAAAAGAGCACGTCTGAATGCCCTCAGAGTAATATTTCATCCCCCGCGTGACGGTTGACCGATCCGGGTATGCCGAGTGTTGATACGAGCGTGGGTGTCCACGTGAACCCCCACGTTCCCAGGTCCCGTTACCCTGGATCAGATCATGTTGAAGTGTCTGACAACGAGATCCACGGCCATTGTTGGTTGACTTTGACTGGGAAATAATGGTCATCTGCTTTCTAGAGTTTTATTTGTGGAGATGGTGTTATTCTAGGTTTGGAATGAGGCGAAACGGAAATGCAGCCCTGCACTGCCGGGTGAATGAAACGGGACCATGATGACATTCCGTCCCGCTATCCATCTTGAGAAGCAGACGGACTGTTAAGAGTTTATGCTTTCCTAAGGATAACGAAAGATTTAAATTGAAATTCAATCCCGAACTGTCAACCCAGTAGGACCTGGTCCGTAGACATAACAATCCTAGCTGGATTTACTGCATAGCCGCTGCCCTCCTCTCCGCCTCCCTCTTCACCTCTGCACTAAACGCTTCAAAATTCCTCTTGGCGCTTCTTCCTATAATCCAACCAGGCTTCCAAAGAAAGACAATGAGGCCGTGCCAGTTCTCCCTCTGCGTAAATGTCGTCCCGCCAGGAGTCTTTGTGCTCGCTCTCCAGCTGAACTCATGACGACCTGTGACAAGCGGCCACAATCCCCCTTCCCACTCGAAAACATCAGGGTCATTTCTCTGAGAATGGTCAGGCATATGACCTAAAGGATCTGGATGGAATTACTGACAATGAGAGTGGCTGTGAGCTTGGCGTCTTTGACGTCGACCCTCATCTTCTCCATCGGCATCAAGTCACCGATCTTCTTGGATGAGACTACAGGTTCGATGGACCAGCTGCTCCATTCTGGGAAACGAGCAAAGTCTTTGAACTATTTGCTATGATATTAGATACATGTCACAATCGTCAGGGGGATACTTTACAAGTGATTTGACGACCTCAACTGGAGTATCGATCTCGACTTCAACAACCAAGGATGCCTTTTGGCCCATGATGACTTGGCTTGGAACAGAATTTACCCGTCTACCATTCGCCCACACAATCTCATGACACTTGTGGGTATGTTTATGCAGCATCTGGGATACATGTGTCTCTGGCAACGAACTTGTCGGGCTTTGCCATGGACCAGAGTGTCAGCGGAGGTAAGATATCTGATTTCGGGTAAGCTGACAGGAAGGAACAAGTAATTTGACAAAGTGGCGCCTCTTAGTACCTGCGGTTCTACGAAGGAATTGGCCATGCTACATCTGTATCGCGGATTGCGATGTTCTCCATATCCCATGACCGAATTGAGGATTCGGCCATAGTGACTTGACCAACTTAATGCGCGAATCGTTGAGGGGAAGCATTATCATCGCAAGGATCTTTGTATCCTAAGCGAGCTTGAAAACTCGATAAATTGATAACGAGCTGTTGTCTCTTACCATGTGCTGTGCAATGACCAATTTAGTGGTGGACAAGGAGTTCACGGCACGGCAATTGATCCAGCTGCGACTCCGGAACCTACGGAAGTATTAAGCTATGACCGCACTTCACAGCGTTATTGTTACGCGCGTCTCACAGCTCCTCCGACGAACGATATGCTCATGGCACGATTCAGTCTATGTAGCGAGCAGGTTTCACTTGAGCTCTCACTGTGTTCAGATTTGGTCGAGCTCGTGAAGTGCAAGCTCAAGCTTAATCCGGATGCGGGGTCAGTTGCCGATGGCGGCGCGGGGAGGTTCAAGATAAGATAACCACCGCCCGCGGCTTCAAGGCGTGCGCGCGGTGGAATGGAGTGAGACGTAACATTGCATTGTGCTGATGAATCATGTCAATTGTATTTGTTGTGTCGCTACAGTGATCCACGTGGCTACCGAGATGCCGAGTTAAACAGAGAGGGGGAGGAACCTTATCCACCAGAGTCTTACAAGGAAGCTGTAAGCTCGATGCTACTTGTATCTTGCAATTGCCGACGCTTGACAAACATTGACATCTACCCAGTCTACAACAGTCACAATGGCACCTACGGAACTCACCCCAGAGCTATCCCAGCTCTTCCAAAACATCGAAGCCCGCTTCAAAGACACTCAGTTGGGCGACCAGCGCTGGTATCTCCTCGTCATCGCCTGTCTCTCCGCCAGTCCCGACCCCGAAGCCGCGGCAGGTCTCTACCAATACCTCACCCGCCAAGAAGCCTACCAGACCAGCGAATCACGACAGGCTCTCATACGCCGCCTCCGCGAAGCCCTCGTCAAGACCATCATCCTCGTCGGCGTGTGCAAGCCCCTCGAAGCCATCCTGTCAATCATGAAGGTCGAAAACCCCGAAGACCGAGACTTTAGCCAAACGCGCGACGGATGGCAAGCTGATCAAGCAAATCACGACCGCGGAATCGATTGGTTCAAGAAAGTGTACACTCGAAACGCTGGGGATACGATGGGATTGTTTGACGCGCACAAGGACTTCGCATGGGTCTCGGCGGAGATTACGTATGGATTGTTTCTATCGGATCGGCAGGTCTTGGATGATACAGATACGCAGCTTGTGGTGCTGCCAGCGATCATGAGCCAGAATCTCCCGCTGGAGACGCATTGGCATATTCGGGGGACACGACGAATTGGGGTGTTGAAGGAGGATGTTCAGGTCATCTGGGATAGTGTCAAGGAAGTGTCAAAGTTCTTTGGGGCCGAATTGCACAAGGTGCCGACGGTGGATGAGGTTGAGCCTGATGTATAGACAGATTGGTATAGACACCGGCGTCACGGTAGATCAATACAGGCAAGAAAGAATAGATCAATCATGGACCAATGCATAACTTACGCAAGGAATCAAGTCGAGCATGTCCGTAGTCGTATTGACGTTGGCGCAATCCGTCTGTCAAAGCATCGCGACAACACCAATGACAGGCTCCTTCACATACGCACCTTCAGGCCCGCTCGGTGAGGGTTGACAGCCAAGCTTCGGCAGTGACCGCGCACGAAAGCGACAACAACAGCTACGCGCGCCCCATCCACAAACGACAGAGAAGTCTTGACAGCCCAAGGCCAACATGTAGTGTAGTATCGGCAATAGCGGGCATCGTCTCGGGAGGAAGAGGTACGTGATGGAATGGAGCTCGGAGGGACGAGAGCGAGAAGCGCTGGCGGCGGGAGGGTCGTGAGCGGGACGGGAGAGTTAGACAGCGTGAAGTGGGTGGCCGCTGCAAGTCAATGTCGTGGCTATCACGGTCGCCTGGTGGGTGAAGACATACGAGTGTGCGGAAGAAATGGTGGTAAGCTGGAGTGACAGTCCGACAGAGTAGGCCCGAGGCACATAGCATCTGAAGTCGCTGGCCATAGCCGCGTGCAAAGTCAAGCAATAGCGCATTCACGACAGACTGAGATGTGAGTGACAGCTGGAGCAGAGGCCAGTGTGGGCGTGGGAATCAAGATAGGCAAAGACAGACGGCCCGCTGCCACCTTGGCGTTGGCCTTGCATCAGTGCAGCGCCCCCAAAATCATCTAAGCACTGCTGCTTGTCAAACACCAAACAGAGAAGCCCACCAAATGCACTAACAAATGTTGTGCAACGCCAAGCTACCGACCTTGCTGTCATTTCGACAAGGGTGCCAACCTTGCAAAAGGTACATTCAAGGTTGCCCCCCTCGATGTACCTTTCTCTCGTGCCTCTCCAGCCATTTCAATTTGGTTGCTCGCGTCGCGAGACAGCAGACGCGTTAGTGGAGCTTTGCCGTCTGTCGTGTACAACACGCGGAGACCCGACGCGTTAAGTCCTTAGAGTTGGAAAAATGGGGCCGGGAAAGACGTGTCTCGTGTTCATTTGAGGTGACACGGTTTAGAACAGGGGAGGACGTAGCTAGTAGGATTTATGAATTGCTCAATCTATGCAGAATGGGTTTATGCCATCTATTACCTTGTGCAAGCTCGTTAGAATCTGGGCAAAATGTTCAACTGCCCCTATCACTCATCAAGTTCGGGCGCGACAACCACGATTTTTCTTGTCTGACTTGATTGGCGGCAAGACAATCAATCGTGCGACACCTCTGTGTCTGCCCTTTTTTTTCTTTTCGCGTTGTTAAGAATGAAGCTGTCAAAGCACCTCCCATCACTCCGGCACAGTGAGGCTACACCTTCAACAGCAAGGTTACAGGCTTAGCAGCTTGTATCTCACCGTGCAACACACTGTCAAGCTCGAATGAGGCACGGCAAAGGCTCTTCACGTGCCCAGATCGATAGCTTCTCACCCATCTCGCTCCAATGCTTCGTAATTCCCATCTCCATCTCCGGATGTTGGCGGGACTGGGGTTTCAGCTACAGAAGCTAAGACACTGACGCGGGACGGCATAAAGTGGAGACCGGCCCCTCTGCCAGATGCTCCGAACCGTTTGGTCTCTACTATCAACACCAACAACTTCACCTCCAAACGTTTGGTCATGACGAGTAATGTTAATAACCGCGATCTAAACTTCATTTGAAAGTCAGTGAAATGAGTGAGTCACAGGCCGAAATATCGGTGAGACTCTTGGTCTTACTTGTCTGCTTCATCGAGACTGAGATCTGATGGAAAGAAGCGCTAGAACATGGCTGCTTCGATGCTATATAGCGATGCGAATACGCTAGACCTCAATGAATCGGAAACATATCACATGCAGCCCAGCACCGGAGGAAATAGCCCCTGTTACCCATCTACGACAATAGCCATGGTGGCGCATACGCTTGCCAACACTGTCGTAGAAGAGGTCATAGCTGAACGCCATGTGTCTATGCTGGCTAGCACTTGTTGGAATACGTGAATGATACGACTTCTAGAACATTCGATGCTGAATGGGAGAGCATGGAGGTGTCCACGCTGAGACCTAGTGGCTCGTTACGTTGTTAGTTAGTGCGAGCATGGTAGCCATCATGAAGGGACAGAACTGCCCCAAGATAGAATGAAATGAAGTCTCCCACAATTATAACACTGTTGCTCTCAGTACGATGACAGCCAAGTCGAGAAGATGAACAGATCAAAGGTATCGCCGTACTGGCCGCCCCATAATATCACGGTGCAAGTATTCACCCATCTTCACAACATCCGCTAAGGGTCCAACAGATCGGAACTGCCCCATCCATGACGCAGCAGCCCTATCTCCTACCCACCTCATCTCTACAGCAGCACAGACACGGGACAAGGGTTTCTTCTTGCCAGTCGGTGAGGATAGTAGCACGTCGCTAACGTTGATTCCCGTCATATATCCAACGCCACGCCGTATAGTGGATACCGCCCAAACGGTTATTTTCCAAATTCCGATACATCACTATGCCAAACAGTCAAATTGACAACTGGACATGTGATTCTCAAGCTGATGGAAGGACTCAGTGACGTTCAAAATGACATTCGATTCCATTCATGATTCCATTAGAAGCTCTTTTCTTCAACTACTTTCAATAGTGCTTAGGCAACTTTCCCCCTTTATCATTGATTCACCTACTCGCTTCCTTCGTACCATATCTTCAGGCGCCCTTACCTCTCTAGTCATGTCTGAAACCAACAACATTCGGCCGTACATAATGCCTGCCCTCAGAGAGACCCCCTCATCACAGCTTGCTGTGCAGCGTCGACCTCTCCCTTCGTCAGCGCCTAAGCGCACTGCATCCCAGATGGACGAGGTAAAGACGTACACCATGACAAACAATATACAAAAAGCTGACTGGTGTAGGATGCTAACACTGAGGGTCCCAGTACTCCACCTCGGAGAATTGCCCGCAGGAATACGCGGGGAAAGAAGACAGCCCCAAAGTCCAGGTCGAAGCGGGACAACGACGGGAAAAAACAATCGCCAAGCCCATCAATCCCGTCACCGGCCGCTCCTACAGAGTACGCCGTTGCGACTCATTTTACAATCATCCCCGGACACGGGTGCATCTACTATGCGGAGGATAGTCCTCCGCTTTTTGTGCCCAGCACAATGATGCACATGCACCAGGCCTCAGTTGCGCATCCCTGTCACTGCCATCAGCTGCAGGCCGCGAGCATTGCTCAAATGCAAGGCATGCATATGCCCTCTATCGGTGCCCCGGGACCCGGACATAGTGTAGGGCTAGGTAAGTTGGTCAATCATGGCGCTTGTCCCAGAACTAATATCGCCACTTTTAGGGTGGAACGAGAATGCTTGGAGCTATGTGCCGGGACTTGACGTAGGAGACCTCTCACAGATGCATGGGAACTTGAACTTCAGCCACAGTGGTTGAAGATATTGTTGTAAATTTATTCTGAAATTTCCAGAGCAGTTATGCTGCTTGAAATGCGAAATGGGTACAAGTTGGCACATGATAATATGTGCAGGTGATAAATGGTGGAAAAGCGGCATTGATTTCTAGTTTGGCATTTCTTAGACATAATTTCTCCATTTTCTTAGACTACATGGTACTTATGGTAATAGACTTCGGAGTGATGGCAAGTACACTCTTCATCAGGCACCAATGACAACACCCGTGACTGTATTAAGGATATGGTCTTTCTGGCAGATGTCAGCTGCAGTCACATTACTTACCTACCAATGTTGAACTATCGACAATCCTGCACACCACTACTAGGCTGTGAACCGTACCCATCTAGATTGCCATCTGCTGCATCTGTTCCTCAATACTACCTCTGCCACCCTCTCTATCAGTTCTGGCCAGATTCTCATCAACAAGAACACCACAATACATGCCAAAGATATCCTTAGGCCCGCGATAAGGATCCAGCTTGTTGATAGCCAACTGAATACAATACAGCTGTTTCTCCAAGCTTACTGTCACCTCCTCCAATGGCTGCAACATATTCCGCTCGTTCTCGTGGCCAGAGTAGAAACGACGCGCCATGTCAAACAAAAAGTACTTGACACTCCTTAGGTCCCCGAGAAGTTCATCAATCTCATTCTGTGATGGATATCTTTGGGAAGGCGGCCTAGTGGATCCAAGAATACCGGTCGTAAGGTCAGGGTAGCACTTTAGGATTCGCAACTGGATTTGATGGACCTTCTGTACCTTACCTAGAGCGCCGATTGCTGCGTCTCTGAATGCACCCTTGTTAATCCTGCAGAGCGATTCCATAAATGTACTGTATGAGACGCCGATTCGCGGTATAGCGGTAGATGCGTTGGTAGCCATGTTGACAACGAGTTTCAGAATACCGGATAATGTTTGAGGCTTTAGAGATGGTGGACTTGAGCCTTGCGTAATTGACATTAAGGTCCTGTTACTAAGGATACTAGAATTATATATCGTTGAATACCACAGCATGTTCATTTCTTATGTCCTGCTAACAGAGCTGAACATTGCATCATGCAGAGCTAGAGCTTGAACAAAACTAGGTGTTCATTGTTTGAAGCAAGCCATGGTGTTCTTCATTCTCTGCTCTTACCGGAACCAGACGCTTGCATAACACCGAGATTGAATAATATCCTCCTTTATATATATGTTCGGCAAAAATTTATTACAGAGCTTCCTTTATATTTGCAGTGTGTATCATACACCAGACCGCAGCACAATTGGTACGTTTCCAGTGACTCGCCAACAACTATGAACACACTGGAAGAGGTACATCATGGATCTGAATAAGCGCTATTCGCAAACAAGATTATTGAAAGGCGCCATAGCTAGGAGGCCTGGAGCCTTAAATATCGGTGGAGCTTTCCTGCAGCCTTTTCGGTGGCCTATAAGGAAATCAGACATTTTCACATATGATATTTTGCGCCAATAGCCTGGACCTATCGACCAGGCTTTTTCTGGGTTCGAAAGTCTTCCAAAGATACCACGTTTTTGATTTAACCATAAGGTAGAAAACAAATAGCTGATAACCGTCTTGAAACATTCTAAGGCAATGATGTGACGCTAATATTATAAGTGACAGTATCTTACATCGGACAGGTTTAGTCTTTTACCATATAAACAACAGAACAAGATTAGCACATTCATTCAAATAGTGATGACAAGCAGCGGTTGAGTTTCTAATAAATTGATTTCGCAGTCATGCTAACGCTAACGACGCCCAAGCCTTACCTAAATAGACTCCTAAATACCAAAGAGCTAGACCTGCACGTGTATCTATCACTACAACTCCCGATATACTCCCTTTAGCCTTTCTTGGATACCACAGTGAATCTCGCAAAAGGTCTATCGCAAGTCACCTTAAGTTCATTGGCTCTCCGGTTTGTTCCCCATCACATGACGTGAAGTTGTTGCCTACTGATAAATCTTGTGTGTCAATGGGTTGTCACGAACAACACCATGAATGCTCTTACAAGGGCGATCAGGGTCAAGTGACCAGATGGCAAACTGCATGTTGTCCACATCAAGCATGACTTCATTAGCCTGCGTAACTACGGCCTCTAGCTTGAGCTCTTGTTCTGGGCCATCCGTCAGTTTTATCATCTTAGTCATGTGATGGCTGAGTCTCTTGAGATAGGAAAGCAGTTTGTCGACTTCTTCCTGAGAGGGCATTGGCGGAGTAGTTTCTTTCACAACTTCTACCTTTTCCCACACCAAGTCGATGAGTGTCAATGCCTGGCACGACAAGTTCTCGAAAGTAGTGTTCATAGTGTTAGACGCCATTGGGGAATTCTGATTGGTTTGCTGAAGTGTTGTGTATGTTGCTACAAATTATCAAGATGTCTTAAGAGAGAATTGAGTGTGATAGTGAATTTTCAGTATTGGGATTGATGAGCCATAGTAGCTTTATTTATAATTCTTCTGCAAGTATCAAATGTACTTAATTATGTTTCGGGCGTCCTGGATTCATCACGAGTTCGTTGACCTAATCGTCTTTTGTCATGAACACAGAGTTATATCTTTTAGTCCAAATCTTTTGTGTTATTTATCGAGGAGAACGTGGGTAGCCATTACAACGAACAAAGCCCCTGACCTCAGGCCTCCAATGAAAACAAAGAGAGTCACAAATGAACAGCATCTAACTCAAAAGTGTACTGCCATAGCATAGTTTTAGACTAGGTTTAGACATGTTTCTGTAGCGGCCATCAACGTTAAGATACACAGGTATCATAACGATATGGCAATATTACGGCAGTAATCTAGGATTAACTACTCATTAGTATCTTTCCAGTTTTACATACCTGCTGAAGGGTTATTGCATTTACTGATTGAGCGATGAGAAAGGGCCAAATTCGGCGCCAGCTTCTATCGAAGCGTTCTATTTTACAGCAACAACACTGGCTTTAATAGCGACTTCACAGTAGCTTTGACGTTTGCATAGTGGATGGAAGTTTTGAAGTCTCAGAAGCTACCAAGTAACATGTAGCCGGACCTGAAAGCAAGTTGATCAATACACCTCCAACTCTTTGCCACCAGTTCTGATATCTCCTCCTACTTGTCAATCGAGATTAAGTCGCCAGATGGCAATATGTATGCAATCCACCGCAACCATAATATCCTTTGGCTCTTGACACACAGCTTGCAGGTCTCTCTTCCGGTCTACGGCGTGCTCATACGCATTGTTCTGAACAGAACCACGAAATTCCATGGCTCTTGGGACAGCATCTGGACACAAATAGATTGTCAACGAGCAGTTTTACTATAACATCAGATTGCGTTGAAGGTATATTATAACTGATATATTAGACATTTCAAATAACTATCTAAAGTATACTGCATCATCCAGTGCAACATCCTTCCTGTTAAACCGCCCCTCAGACCAGTCGCTATCATTTCCTTGGAAGATCGAATGCCTCCCGTAATTGATTTATTAATTCTTCGTCGAACGCTTCAAAATCATTCATTTCATAGCCATATGACTCCTCCTTTTTCTCCTTGTTTGTCATGTAATCGTCGTTCGCGTCAACATCGAACATCTGACATGGTGCTCTCTGTGGTGTTTTACCCAGTTCCAATGATTTCATGCCCGACTCCACAGCTTCCAAGGCCCACGACTTTAGCATATTCTTTTCAGGCTGAGGGTTGAGGTCTGGCGAGCAGGCTTCGACCACGCGACGCGCACTCTCGTCCATAACCTTTTTCATCCACCGGCTGTCCATCCGCTTTGTGTATGTCGCTTGAAGCGCAGGTAGGTACACAACGTCGTTAATACAATACTTTTTCGTTACAGCATCCAAGGGACGGCGGGAGAAAATGTCGTCGGCCATGCGAGTTTTAAACAACCGCTTGATTTCGCTCCATCTGAAAAACTCCAAGATTTCCAGCTTCAGATCCTCCTCGACACAGATGTGAAGACCACGGACGTATGTTTTATCGCCATAACGTGAAGCATTCTCTAAGAGCTGTATGTCTGTGACGCCCGCAAGACGGACTTTGTAGTGGACCCAGAGGGCATCGGCATCGTTGCGTACATCCCAAAGACACTTGGAAACTAGAGGGTCCTCAAGTACAGCCTTGAGAGTCTTTCTACCTGTGGCAGGTGTGGTGAAAGCGGCGCTACCAAGAGTCTGAACATCGATAAGCTTTGTGACTTCTGTAGGGCGTACGAGAATGGTTATAATGGTGATAGTCCCGTTGCGGCTGAGATTGTTGCCTTCGAGATCGAGATATAGTGTGGCAGACTCAGGAATAGAGTCAATAAAGTCCTTCAGGCCTGTGAGTGATGAGATCACACCTGCGGCGTTCGTAGATGTAGATGAGGCCATGTTTGACGAAAGAGGTATGATGCCGATAACTTAAAATAGTAAAACTCTCAATCGTGGATTGCTTCTTCACTGTGCCCTCTCCACAATGGTGGCAGAAACGGGCTCTATTTATACAGCATTCCAACGGAGACCTTGGTGGTTCTGATAAATAGCCTTTCAGCCAAAACCTAGAGATGAACTGTTTGTATTGTTATTGGGCGTCCTTGCACCTCGTGATAATGATCTAAGGTTTTGCCACGCGCCCATGAAGAGGTTGCAATAGAATAATGTGAGTTTTTGGGCACGGAGGTTTTTTCAGGAACTAATAGAATGCGCCATGGTTTCAAGGTATTGATAGCTGTAACTTTGTTCTGGAGAAGGCCTGGGTAAACAGCCTACCCTATGAAAAGAATAAAAGAATGTCTTACCTGGAGAGATACCTGCCAGAGGTTTAATTTTCTGGGCAGCAAGTGCTTCCGTGGTTAAACCCTCATAAGCCTGAGCAAAAGTCCAGAAAATATCGTGTTCTCATTCATCACCTATGTTTGCACCCTAAAGCTTAACCTCATAGGCGGCAGTCATCCCCTTAGTCCATGGCTAAAGTTTGGGGGGAATATTAATGACCAAAATAATGGACTTGCTGTGATTTGTTGAAAGCTTCAAGGGTCGCCAACTTTCCCGGGGATGTATCGATTGGCGTTGTTGGATAGCAATTCCCTTGCCTTGAGATATTCGGGTGCCGATTTCTAGTGCGGCAGAATATATTCAGAAAAGAGGAATCAGATAAGCTAAGGTCTTTGCAGAATGTATAAGACGGTCAAGCTCAAGGGACCATGCTAGTTACTGATGAGATGAACAAGGTCCTGTCAAGAACGCGGACGATACTGTTGTACCGGCGCTCCGGCTTCAGCAAACTTGAACCTCCACCTCCCAGTCGCTCTCACTCAATAGTGGTACCCTAGCATCAGCACTGAACATACTCCGTGCTTTGTCATAAAAGAACGGGAGTTGATAGAAAGCAACCCTGTAGGTTGACCTGGCGTAGCATCCCTTACTAGGATATGTCGATCACTTGTATCAAGATTAACCGACTTGAGTGGGCAGAATATAAGTGAAGTTTGGTCAACAGCCTGTCAAAAGCAAGGAAGACCTTACATCCAGCTTGTAGATCATGTCTGTAGTACAAGCTTGGGCAGCTCTAGATTAGTGAGGTATGCACTGATAACGGGTCTGGGACATGATCAGGAACCCAGCAAGGAAGGTTCAGAAGCAACTCTAACAGCCAGAAGTAGCATCTTGCTGATGGGACCATTCATCAGTTATTAATGCTCACTTATTGCAGAGTCTTTATGCAGTCAGAATGCAGCTGAGGGTTTGAGACGGTTAGCCAAGATCATCAAAGCGCCGATCCCTGTCTAATTCGGAATCTGGTCAAATAAACGAGACCCCAGCCCTAACTTCTTTGAGTAACTCGCACAGGTTGAGTGATGATTGGTTATAGAGTCACAGGATGTGGATACAGTAGGATTACACGCTCTGAAACTCCTCCACCAAAAGTGAACAGTTCACTCACAACGCATCCCCCTCCTCGTGTCATCTCGGGCATTTGGCTCACCTTCCCCATACCGTCACGCCACACACTTTCGGCCCCGGACAGGGTAAATGTGTGTGTGATGGAGCAGACGATAGCTCTCAAACCTAAACCCAAGGCCTCTGCCTCTGCCTCTGCCTCCTCTTCTTCTTCCTCTAGTGGTGGCGGTGTGCAACCCCCTCGCGTCGGCGACCCGTCAGCATCTCAGATCGTCTCGGTCCCGGCCAACAACAAGCCACGGGTGAGCAAAAACAGCACCAAAATGCCACTAGGGCAGACCCGTTTCATGTCGTCGGTGGCTTACTTACATGCTTTATCTTTTGGTCGCCTCTAGATCCCGAATGCCAATGTGGCTGTCCTTGACATTGCAGATCGCTCGGGGCAAAATGCCGCTAATAAGAAGCCAAAGACCAAGTCTTTCAAGACACGTACTGGTTGTAAAGAGTGCAAGTGCGTGCAGACAGACAGACAGTCGTCTACTCAAATGTAAAATTGTTGCTAATACATATCATGCAGACGCCGGAAAGTGAAATGTGATGAGGGTAAACCAATCTGTAACCGGTGCAAGGCCGTCGGTCTAACATGTCATTTCCCGCTGAGCCAATCCGTCAGCTTCAACACCACAGCTACGGCCGTGACAACAGCAGCACCCCAGTCCGACACCCGCATCCTAGCCAAGCCAACCTACATCCTCTCGCTCTTCAAAGACCAGACGCAATATGACATGTTCTCCACTTTTCTCTGGTCCAACGAGCAGGGCACCACCCTCCCTCACAACACCTTGGCTACCATCACGCCTCAGCTGGCCCACGAGGATGCCGCTGTCCGTGAGACGTGCTGTGCCCTAGGCGGTGCAGTCAACGCCTTCACGCAGCCAACCATTGACTCTGTAGCTGCTGATAAGGCGCATCAGCTGTCTCTCCAGTACTATACACGTACTGTGCGTGCTGTAACGACTGCTACCTCTACGTTGCGTGCGCTGCGTAGTGTTACTCACGTGGCTCTTGTTTTCCTCACCTACGATATCCTCCGCGGGGACATGCACGCTGCTGTTCTGCACCACGACCACGCAGCTCGTCTTTTTGAAGCATATCTCAGTAAACGAAGTGCCCAAGAAGGTGTATCTCTATCAGATTTAGTATTTGATGATTATGAGAATGCCCTGTTTGACATGATACAGCGGTTGAGTACCTACCCGTGGGCCCTGAGACTAGGTATCACCGGGGACACGGATGAGTTCCTAGCCGCGAAGCGATGTCTGGGAAGACACAGGTACTCCATAGACAAAATGCCCTCTTCATTTCACGATTTGGATCAAGCGTTGAGATGGTGGGATGTCGCACAGCACCACCTAGCTCATCATCTCTTTGACGACGATAAAGAGACGACAAAAGCCACATGGGAGAGAGCTTTCTCGGTTCTTTCAAGCTGGCACAACGGTTTCGTGCTGCTATACCGCTACACGCAGCAGCGCAAAAATGAGGAGCCGCACAGTTACGTGACAGCCAGTGTCTTTGAAGCACTGTACCTGGAGTGTCTGTCAAGTCTCCACTTACAGCTCAACACGGATGCAAAGGTGTTACCCGACGCGAAGCCCGTGTACCGTGAGATCATCGCCACGACGCACCGTATCCTCGGCGAGCTAAAAGGACCGCAAGCAAACTTCCGCTTCATGGACAACAACGTGATGAAGCCGCTGTTTGTTGTTCTCTTCAAGTGCAGCGATCCTGAGATCAGAGAGGGTGTCAAACAAGTGCTGCAGCATGGTGTTGCCAGGTTTGGAAGTGCGTGCCTTGCTGGGATTGTACTGGGCATGATGCATATGAAGAGCGAGCACGTTCCGCAGATATTGAGGAATGTTGAGAGAGCGGTTGGTTGGCATTTGACATCTGTTGGATGCGGACCTGGAGTGATAACAACTGTTTAAAATTACATAGATACTGATGAGAGCGTGATTTCATAGAATATACGACAGTCATGATAATGAGAATAAACACTTGGGTTGAATATTTGCTGGAGTTGAGTTGAGTACAGTGTAATCTCGGATCCGATCTTTACTGCTGAGCGGACACGGAGTGGTTGTCTTATCTTATCAGAACCGTTATCGTAGAGACTCTCCTCCTGCAGGTGGAAAAAGGTACATCGTGCTTACTGTGGGTCTCTCAGACGGGTACTTGTCTCCTGGAGAGAGAACGGAGACAATTAGTGCAAGCAAGCCATGCCCCTGCATAAGTGGACACTCTGCACACAACACAACTCGTCTTTGTGCGCGATTTCTTGATTTTGTGTGTTTGCTCAAGTTATGTATTTATGCAGGCAAACACTGAAGATGCATTATTCACAGCGAACATAAAACATAAAACAACATTTGTATATAGGATGATAAAAGAGTGTAATTCGCTGTGATATCTATAACTTTTCCCTACTCAACTCCATCCAAAGTCTTCTTCGCAAACCCGATCCTCGTCTTGTCCGCATCAAACACCACAAAAGCCGCCTTCAACGCAATATCACCAAAGATATTAAGATCGCCCGCACTCGACTGCAATCCCCCATAACAGCTCCCGACCTCCCTCTTCCCCTCCTTCTCCCCCGGAGCAGGCCCCTCTAGCGGTGCGAAATTCATGTAAGCACCCGGGACCGTGATACCCGTCTCCCCCACGTAGAACGTAAAGTCGGGCATTTTCGTGTCGCACGGGAAAACGTAGCCTCCCGCTGTTGCGTCGATTTTGGCACCGTCAATTTGAGAATAGTACGCCTTGTTGACTGCTTCGGGGAGGAACATGAGTGATGTCCCTGTGTCGGCGATGGCGGTGATGGATGTCTTGGTGACATTGCTCTTTCCAACGGCATATCCCGTTGAAGTGAATGTCCACATTCCCGTCGATGAATCAACAGCCGTATACGTAATGTCCCCCTCATACGCTGTCTTGTTGATGACACCAAAAGTATATGTACCTGGAGCGTCATGTTTCAAATCCGCGGTAAAGACCCTAGTACCATGCTCTGTTTTCGCATTGTCAAAGAATGTCTTCTGTTTCTTCGGTGTAACCGTGTTGATACAGCTGAAGCCCAGTCCCAACAGACCGTCCAGTTCTTGCTGCGTCGCAAAGGACTCATCCACTATGTCAGCGACTTGTACAGCCTGAGCTTCCACTGACAGGCCGCCGATGGAGACCGTATCTGTCACAACATGGCCCGAAGCGCCACTTCCATCACCGTACTCAATCGACCACTTCGCACCGGCCATCTCTTCACAAGTCTTCGATCCGGAGGCATTGTATCGGTTGCTGCTACCGCCTGCAGTAGCTACTTTCGAACCATATACCCAAAGGTCCGATGACCCTGTATCGAGATCCATCTGGAATGTCCTTGGAGGATTTCCGATCTGAACTGGTGTCAACCACTCGGCATTGTTCTCGATGGGTTTGTTGATGACGGTGCCGGTACTATCTCGACGAGCAAGTATTGACTTTTTGAGATGTTCTGGAAGATCGATGTGATATTTTCGATATATCCTGCCCAGAGCTGCAATTCCATTGCGCTTATATACTGGATTTCGGACTTGTTGAACAGAATGTTCACTTGGTGATGTAACAGCCGGAAGGCCAGCGACCAGTGTGCAAGATGCGAGCCCGCTCGTGAGAACCGAAGAGAACTTCATTATAAAGGAGAGTAGATACAACCAAAAAGAAGAAACAGTAAAGTGAACGTGCCGTACAGAAGGAATGGCTACAGCGAAGCGTACACCGGAAACAAGAAACTTCTCAATCTGGGGAAGAACAAAAACTCATATACTCCCGCAGTTCCCAACAGATCGGAACTCGACTCGGGATGAAACTGCAAAACTTGGCTTTTTGTTAGTCTCACAGAACGCGTCAACCGGCGCAAGAGCCCCACGAAACGGATGAGTTTTGGAACGATCATATTGGATACCAGGTTGCAGCGTGGGGCGATCAACCGCGGAAGAGAATGTCTGTGGCGTTTAACGTGGGTGGGTTTGGCTATGAATCGTGTTGTGGGTTGGTTGTTTTGTACGTCAGCTTGGTGGTGGAGGTTGACACGCGGCTAGTACAGGGCGAGGTGTTTCATGAGGTGATACACGCGGGAGATTCCGCCAAAACAGACACGACAACTATTATATCTATATAGTATTTGAAGATAGGGGCCAAGACATTGGGATACAGATGGTGAACATTCACGCGGGGGATTAGTGAGTACTCCATAGATCGAATGCAACGATGAAAGACGTTGATGTTCGATGGGATCCAGCGGGATCCTCCCTGTAAAAATGTTTCAACTCCACTGGAAACGCTTTTGACGTGCCCTGCATTAGCGCAATGGTTAGTCAGTTAGTGCGTGGACTGGAGAGCCGATCTGCGACAATCGCCACATCCCGACCTGGAGCGAGCCAGGGTTACGAAGTTAATCACAAGGGCTTGACCGAGGAGAACAGGGAGGTTAAATACTGCTCATGATGCTGTCCATTGAGCCTCCTTCTCTTCAAAACCTAGTAGTTTTTCATACTGAGGCTCTCCAAGAGTAGAGATACTCGAGGATTACCTATTTAAGACGTCATGAACACTGGGACCCGGTTACTTGCTCGTCAGCCCTAAAACATGATTGGTGAAAGAGATTTCACGTGAGGACGAAACCCCCTCCCTTTCTTCACCGTAAACATGTCCTCTGCAGCATTCGGTTGCATTAGTAAACAAACTCGCTATCACCAGCCAACGACATGCCTCGTCCCCTTTTACCCGGTCCAGCCCGTGAAAGATCCCAATCTCCAGGCCAAAGTACGCCGCTGTTCGCAAGCCTGACAAGACGCCGTAGGCCCATCACGTTAGCCTGCGAGCTATGTCGGCAGCGCAAGTCCCGAGTGTGTAGTTTCACGTTTTCCCTAGTGTATGCATGACAGGACGAGTTAAGAAAGTTTCTTTTTTTCTGGTGCGACGGTGGCAAGCCGCGGTGCTCGCAATGCGCCAGACGAAGGACAGAGTGCCATTACCGAGCGCCCCTCGAACAGCAGGGAGCGTATCAGGAACTATTCCACATTCTGGCGACAAAGTCGAGGGACGAAGGACAAGATATTCTGAGAAGGATACAGAGCGGCCAAGATGTCGAGTCCATACTTGGCCACATTCAACGTGCAGACGTTCTGAAACAGGCACACGTAGTGCCGGATCACTATTACCAGTATGAGTTTCCTTATCGCAAGGACATGCCTAGCTTCCTGATTCAAGAGGGAAATCAGTACCTTGACTCATGGTTGTATAAGTATTCTTTGAGTGAGGCGAGTATGCTCGATGATGATGCATCAACAACCCAAGACCCGATAATTTATCAGGCTCCCTATCATGCTGGCGTGATGGTAGACCCTTCTCTAGACAAGATCAAGGCGGGAGATTGGACGTCCATCATCAAGACTAACAAGTCATTACGGAAGCTCTTACAGACGTATTTCCTGACAGAATACACGTTCTTTCCAGCGTTCCAAAAAGACTATTTCCTACAAGACATGGCATCCGGTCGCAAGGAGTATTGCTCCTCCCTTTTGGTCCATGCAGTCCTCGCATCGGCTTGTGTAGGTAAGACCCCGCAAGTTACCAGGCCACTAAACACTAAGCCTTGGTCTCCAGCACGGCTATTCCAGCACGAATCATCGGTCTCGATTCTGAAATCCAGAAACTCTGGGATACCGGTGCCTTGCAGAAGCGCGCCGTCTGTGGGAGCTCGAGATTGGACATGCTCAGCTTACGACTATTCAAGCTGCAATTGTACTTGCAATCGTACATGATGCAAACGGTCGTGATGAGGAGGGCAGGGCTTACTTAGCTCAGGCTGTTGCGGCTGCGCATGCAATGAAGTTATTCTCTCCACAGAAGTCTGGCGATGACCGCGAATTTAATTGCAGAGCCATTACAGCGTGGGCGTTATTCGGGCTACAAGCGCAAGTCTAGCTCTTTTATCTTATGATCAGGCTAACAGACAACCAGTGTCCACAGCTTTCACGTGTTCAAAGCACCGCAACTATTGATGCCTCCTAGCATACCACTCCCGGAGCAAGATGAATGCTATGGTGACTTCGTGCTCCGTTTTCCGGCAGCTAAAGGACCCGTATCGCTGAACTATGCCGATACCTTTCGAACAATCTCTGAGTTCCGACTTATCATGAATGATGTTGCAGCTGTATTCTTTTCAGATTTCAAGAATACTCCTGACTCCACAGTGGACAGAATCAAGGGCTTTTGTATTCGTCTCGACAGCTGGTACCAAAATCTCCCGCCTGATCTCAAAACCAGAGAGATCTCTTTTCCATGGCAGCTCAAGCTCCAGTAAGTTCCCGGCTCATTCACTACGGCTTATGTTGACTTTCTATAGTATGCACTACTACAACCTGATCATATATCTTCTAGAAACACTGCGTATGACCTCTACGCCTGCACTAGTTGATGAGAGTGTTCAGAAGGTCTTAAGTGACGCCAAGATTAGGATGGAAACATTGCTACGCCTCTATTATTTACGGCACGGATTTGAGTCCTATGACATATTTGTTATAAGCCTGCTAGCCTTCATAGGCTTTATGCAGGCAAAGACATTGGATAGTGCTGAGACTGCAAGCCTTGAAAGCAGACGATCGACTGTTGCCCTCGTTGCGAAAGGCCTCCAAGATCAAAGCCAGAATTGTTATTTGGCACGACTGGTGCTTCGTATTTTGAAGAGTAGCGTTGGAAACGAGAACCAGTTTTTGCTGAAAGAGCTGGATAATGAAGAAGAAGACGAAGAGGCGGAGAGGGTAATGGAAGAGCAGGTGAAGTCCTCTTGGCCTATTGATCTTGAGTGGATTGATGTTGATCCTGAGAAGAAGAGATTGGATAATCTGATTAGGAGGACAAAAGAACTAGAGTTTGATGAGTCATGTCCCTAGCGAAAACAGCAATTAGAATTCAGCACATAACGAGGCTCCTCTCCTCAGTCTGCTTATCAACATATGGCTGAGGACATTACACGGGTTCACGACCAGGTGTTCCGCATACTATCTGAGGCAAGGTGATTCTGCCGAAGACACAAGAGATGGGTGTATCCGGAGACGTTTCGTATCGACTATTAGAAATCATTATATTCGGCAACCTGTTATCAAGAGTAAGCCACGTCTAGACCTAGACAAAATGAGATTCCGATGACAGGGAGAGGGCACCATGGTGACTTTGACTGACTCCACCGGGATACCTTCATATCTGCGAGGCCTTCACTTGCTAGGGAGACAACCCGACTAGCTTTCTGCAACAATCCTACGCCATTAATCAGCCTTTGGCCGGCCATTTCCAAACTATGCTTCAAAACGGTCCAAGACAGGCTCAATGGCACACGAGTCTCCGTTATAGCATCTCACTCGTTGTCGAAGAACACTTCCTATGCTTTGGGGCAGCAAATCGCATGATCCTAACAAGCGGTAGGATACAAAGGTGCCTAGGGTCCCGCTAATCTGCATCACGAGTTCGTTTTCTGATGGTGACTACCAGGCTATCGCTGGAGCGACTGGTTCGAAGAACAAGGTCAAGCATATTCTTGTGCCAGACGTTGATGCTGGCCTAGTCATGCAAGACATGCGGTCGACAACCACGACACCACAAAAGATCTGGCTCAGCACTGCTATCCGATCTGTTGACCATTGTGTCGAGACGTCATGCTTTTTGCAAAGTAACGACGATGCCGATGCAAGGGCAGCAAAAGGTTTGGAGAAGTTGATCTCTGAGCTCTGCGATGCAAATGTGACCCCAAAGATCTTGAGGCTCGCCATCTTCGTCAGACCGGCGTCGTCGAAGCCATGCGCGCTGTTTCTTCAGGTGTACTTCTCGGCGCAAGCCACGCGATAGGTCATCAGCTCGGACCCTCGAATGTCGGTCACGGTGAGACGAGCGGCATCCTCCTACCCACAGTCTGCAAGTTCAACACCTGCAAGAATGTCAACAAGGATTGGCAGAGGCGTACAGTAGAGATTACGTTGGAGAAAGATACAGTAAAGTCTCTGCCGGCTGACAAGAGGGCTTCGTAGGGAGATGTTGATCTTGAGGATTTTATTGATCTTGTCATTCGGCAGTTGGAAATGCCGCGGACTTTAAAGGATGCCGGCGTTACGTACGTCTGGGGATTTTTCTGATTTCGCTGCGAATAGTCTGAATGATATTTAGATCAGGACGGATGCTTATCCATTGCAAAGACGGACAAGGTTATGGAGATTCTGGAAGCTGTGCTGGTAAATGAGTAATTGTTTGTTCAGGTTGGCCATTGATGTTTCTAGAATATCCGTACAATACTCATGACTGTCATGTTATCTCTCATCTAATAGCCCTCGTCATTCAATGGCTCTAGGCGCACCCTCCGCGGTAGATTGTCGTGATGAGGAACCAGCCTCTGAGCAAAAAATACGTGTCTGTTCGCTCACCTGTCCCCAAAAGACGAATTAGACATATCGGCCGAAACTCTAACGGAACAAATCCCATCTCAACCTTATAAAACGCGGAAATATCTACAGGGCACCACGAGCTAGCTGCCTTTCCAAGTAATTCACCCTAGCCTAGGCTTGGATCGGATCACCACCCGGACCCTCACCATCTCCACAACAAAAGGGGTCCAAGCATTAACACGGCGTTTTAAGATGGTAATTGCAATCGCTGCTATTGGTTCATCTCCGGACCTGCATCTTTCGTCCGAGTCGCGCGGCGATTTTGCACCAATCTCACGACTCCAAGACAACGGCTTCGTCCTGTTTCTGCAACTTCGTCCGTGAGCCTCGGCATTGACCGCGATAAATGAGGGAGCTAAAATAGAATGTGAAAGATGATCGTCGCTCAGGGGAAGAATATTGATAAAATGTCGTCAGGAGACTGTCCTTGCTTATGATTTTTGGTTCTGTATCCTTTGAGCTTTGTTGGAAGAAATCACGATGCTTTTTAACGTTGCCTTTTTTTGCTCTGCGGCTTTGGCTGTTAGCGCCAGCAATGAATGGCGAGCACCTACTGCGTCCGATCGTAAGTTACATCGTATCGGCGATCATGATTCTTGGCTAACAATTGCAGGTCGAAGCCCTTGCCCGATGGTGAATGCTGTCGCCAATCACGGATATCTCCCTCGCGACGGCCTCCATATCTCGCTTGAAGATCTGATCGTCGCCTTCACCGACGCCATCAACCTCGACCCAGCCGCGACAACCCTCGTTGGCCAAAAGGCCCTTACCACTGGAAACAATGGTACCTTCAACCTCGACGACTTGAACAAGCACGGAGGTGCGTATCTTACGTAGGCCACAATGAGGTCACAAGCTAATTGAAGTAGTTATCGAGCACGATGGCAGTCTGAGCCGCGCCGACATCTTCTTCGGCGACAACCACAGCTTCAACGAGACCATCTGGGCCGCCACAGCCTCTCACTTCACCGAGGAAACCATCTCCATCGCGACCGCCGCCAAGGCTCGCAAGGAGCGCCTCAAGGCCGCCGAAGCTGCCAACCCCGAGTTCTCGCTGCCCGCCGACCTCCAGCAGTTCAGCTTCATCGAGACTGCACTTTACCTGTCTGTCTTTGGAAACCTTAACGACGGAAATGCAAAGACTGAATGGGTCAAGACATTGTTCCGTAAGTACTCCCGCTGAGTGGATCGCAATAATGCTGACGTTGCGCAGAGGAGGAACGCTTGCCGATCGAGGAGGGATTCAAGAGATCTGACGATGTGATCACTGCTGCTGGTATTCTTGGTCTTGTTGCCAAGGTCGCTGTTGCTAGCATCTAAAACGATGCTGCATAGTTAGATATTGATAGCAAATCACTGAGTATGTCAGCTACCTCTGGCATGTCCCTCTCCTTTGTATTGTTGTGACGGAAGAATGGCCTGCATTTAGCTTATGGCAGCGATTTTGATGAGAAAATATTCGATTTAATGATAATCTCATGTTATTGTCAGACAACGACTCCTTGTTCAATCAGAGTGACCAGAAAACGCCATGACGCTCAGCTATGCAGCTTACGAGTTGCATTTTCACGCAAGCCCTAGCAACCTCGCAGATTAGATCTGCACACAGGCAGAAGAAATGTTGAGATCTGTTCTCATCAAAATTCGTTCGTGAATCACAAACGCCTTTCCCTCATTTCTTTGGAAGACAAGCTCAATCAAGTGCACAATCACCATGCCTTCAATCACCGCCGTAACAATCTTCATCTTTGGCCTCAGCGCCTTCAACCACGGCGTCAGCAATCTCATCTCCCCTCGCAAGGCTCTCGCCGCAAAGCAACTCCAAGACTCAGCCCTCCCCGCACTCAACGGCTTTTCAGTCGCCATCATCGGCATCGGCATCTACTATATGCTGGCGGCTTATCAAGAGAATCGCGGCTTCTTTGCTCTCACATTGGCGCGATTCATTTCAGCCAGAATCTTTTGGTTACAGGGGCCTGCTTGGAGAGTGATTGCAACATGGGAGGCATTCTCAGCTGGTCTCACGGCCGCCGCTCTGGCTTATGAGGGATACCATGGAATGTATGAAAAATAGGCGAATAAAACGACGAAGGTCTTGAGTATGGAGAGCTTGGATTCGAATTCATAGAGTTTGTGTTTAAGGTTTAAAGGGAAAGTTCAACTTCTGAAGCCTTTCATATAGCCAAACAGGTCCAAGTACGCATGAATCTTAATGAATAAGCCCTGAAAGGTTAATCCGTTCGCCGAGTGACTCCTAGGTTCCCTGTGCCTAAATAAGCTCTCAGCCAAAAGTCTCAACTGCCGAGTGACTCCAACTGATTCATACTATATAAGGGCCGCTTCCCTGCTGAAAGAACGGACCTACTCGTGGACAGGAAAAGACGCGCTGCTTACAGTCAACAGCGGAAGTTTAAACACGTCTAACAGTTCAAATCCGCCTTGCCAGGACAAAGACAATTCTCAGCCATGAAACTGCAGGATATTCCCCTAGAGCTACGGCAGGCTATATTCGAGCTTATCCTCACAGCTCCAGTGGCACCATCAAGTCCTTCAGAGAGCCAACATGGCCGTGATCAGCTCCTTCACTGTCTTCGAGATATGCAATGGGGATGGAGACCATATGGTGTTTGGCAACAGACGCCCACGAACAAAGCGCTAAGCCTGCTTCTGGTCAGCAAACAGTTCTACGTCGAGATCCAGGATATTTTCAGACGTCTTCCAAATCACTACCACGTCGATATCATGTTCGTAAAGAACTACGGGTTCTGGCCTACGTGGGATATTGCAAAGCGACCGACGTCACGCTACATCAACAAAGTAACAGCGACGTTCCGTATCTTTGAGCCGACCGACGACCTCGACGATCGTTTCAAAGACAGCTTGAGCTTCCGAGGTGGAGATGGAGGACCCGAGAGTGCCGCCTGGGCCCTTTATGAACTCCTCGTAAGCTTGATTCAACATGGCCCTGGATACATCGGTCTCCCGAATAACCAGCGCTTCATCATCAACGAAATTGAGGTGAATGTAATGGCTCCAACCGACGGTGCCGCTCACACCAAGTTTTCTTGCAGGGATAACGACAACCCGTGGTGGCTTCGCTTCAGTGGAATCGAATATGGAAAGGAACTGGTACCCGAGGAACGACTCGCCAACTACATGTTTAATCGTTTGAACATCGCTTTCAAGGCCGACCGTGATGTCAGGCCATACTCCAAAGAGTTGTACGAACACATCTTAGGAAGTATCACCTTTCAGCTCAATGGAAAGGAGTGGAAGAAGAAGCGAATAGACGAATATCTTGATGAATGCCATCCCTCGACATGGTCGCAAGGTTATAGAAATGGCTGGTGTCGCAGGACCCTCAGGCTGAGGCAATGGTTAAGGATGATTCGTAGGGAACGAGAGAAGACGAGGAAAGCTCTGGAGCTGAATGATGAGCAACCCAAATAAGTTTCATCTTTCACGGGGGATTGAGCATTGATCTTTTCTGGAAAGCCATACCACAGATGGTATCGGTGGATGATATGCGAATAGACGCCTTGCAATATATAGACATGCTCAACACAGCAATTACTTCTATTCAGATCAGATCTTGCAACTACGGGCGTACCAATTCGGCTAATTACATCCAAGATACACCTGTTCGACGTCCCATCTAGGGGGAGGCAACAAAACTTGAGACTGTTATCCTAAGCGATGAAAAGGGTTAGGCAATTTAGTCTAAATTTAGGAGAGTCTCTACTGAGTTTATTTTAGCAACCTCTTCTAAAGTCTGGTATTTCTGTGGAGATCTTTGCCTGATCAGTTTCGGACTTAACGGCTGAGACAGTCATCATCAAAGCATCGGAATGACGTACTCGACCCGATATTCATATAAACAAGCAGAAGACGCCATTAGAGCAACAACTTTATCAAGAAACATCTAAATCTCATAAAATGGCACCTTCCGGTCTCGCAATCATCATTGGCGCTGGTCCAACAAGCGGACGCGGCATCGCTCGTGTTCTCGCACGTCAGGACGGCGGCAACCTCGCCGTCGCTCTCTTGGCTCGCAACGCCGACAACCTCAACATTCTGCGCGACTCACTCCGCAAAGAAACCAACGGCGTTCTCCACTCTTTTTCTACAGACACTCAGCCAGACAATCTACGCAAGGCGTTCAAAGACATCGCCAGCCATCCCGACTTCAAAGATCTCAAGCTCAAGCTGGCAATCTATCACGTCAAGCATGCTAGCAAGAAGCCGTTCCTCGAAGAAACGCCTGAGGAGTTCAACGAAAGTATGCAGGTATACACCACCGGCGCAGTAGTCTTCGCCCAAGAAGCTCCCAAGCTCATGTACGAGCAAAACGGCGGGCAGACCCTCCTGTCCGATACAAACGGTGCCAAGAAGGGCACTATCATTTTCACTGGTACACTGGGAGCTATGCGTACAAATACTGGCTATGCAGCTTACGGAGCGACTCGTGCCTCTGCTAGAATGGTCGCTCAGGCTATCGCGAAAGAGCATAGCAAGTTTGGTGTTCAGTGTGTTCATGCTATCGCGAATGGAAGGATTGCGGATGAGGATACTGAAGAGACGAGGACTGGAAAGCATATGAGGGCCGAGGATGTTGGGCAGACGTATTTGTGGCTTTCGCAGCAGCCAAGTTCGCTCTGGGTCCATGAGTTGGACTTGAGGCCGGCGCAGGAGTCATTCTAGGATGCTATTTATATGTCAAAATCATGATGAGTTTAGTGCACTCCTGAATCAGAAATATGCAGTTGATTAATATGTGATTTGCGATTTATGAAATGAGGCTCTTAGGATGGGGAGAGGGCATACATTTCCTATGAGTGTCGCATTGTCGTCTTTCCCAACTGCCAACCTTGCTAGCAATTATTTCAGTCCTATTATGATACCGAGTATATGACATACTAATACATCTCCAATCCGCCACTAGCAGACAACGCTTGTCCCGTAATCCATCGACTCTCCTCCGAAGCCAACCAAGTGACAATCTGCGCTACATCATCAACCTCACCCAGCCTATTTCCCGCCGCCGTCTGCTTCTTCTGCATATCAATGATCTCTTTTGGAATATTGTCCAGTAAATCACTCTGCACAGGTCCTGGATTAACCGCATTGACCGTATGGCCCTCCACACCCAGCTCAGCTGCCCATGAGCGCGTAAGTCCTTCGAGTGCAGCTTTGGATGCGCAGTACAGAGAGAGGTTCTTGAAACCACAACGGGCGCCTACTGATGAGATGTTTATGATGCGACCACCGCCGGACGAGGGAAGATAGGGCTTCACTGCTTGGAGGAGGAGGAGAGGAGCGCGGACGTTGAGGTAGAAGATTGAGTCAAAGTCGGAAGTTGTGATGTCGGCATGAGATTTGACGACTTCCATGCCTGCATTATTGACGAGTATATCGATTTGAGGACCGAACGCAGCGACTGCTTGTCGGACGATCTCAGCGGGCGACGCCTCATCCTTGAGATCTGCTTTAACGCCAATGCACTCTGATGGTGGATTAAGGGACGCGATTTTGTCGGACAACTCCTTCACTAGCTTTTCGCTGCTTGGAGAAGTGTATGTAGCGATGACCTGTCGATATCAGTCATGCCGTTTGACGAGACCGAGTATATTTCTCACCTTGGCACCTCTTTTCGCAAGCTCGTAAGCAAAGCCTGCTCCAAGGCCTCGAGAAGCGCCTGTGATGATGGCGACTTTGCCCTTGAGGGTTTGGAAATTTCGTTGAGTCTCCATGCCTATCTATGAATCGGATGAGATTTTGAGGCAAAACGATCAAGTCAGCAATTTCAATTCCATTTCGATGCTCATTTATACCTAGCTGACTAGAGTCTTGGCACTTTAATACTTCTTGTTCTCTGTTTGGTGCTTGCTGAACGCCGATGGAAGTGACGCAAGTGGGCTTCGGCGATAACTTCAATGCCAACCATGATTGGCCGGTTCGTAGGGGCGGCGTTTCGGCGTTAGGACAAACAACGATCATACTTCTTGCTATGGCCGAAAGGCATGATAAAACACCGAATGAATGATTTCTTAGTTTCTGGTTCCGAATGACGCCTCATGTATACATGTCTCAATGATATCTTGACTTTGAATGGCATACTATGAGTTCACGGAAAGGATTCAACAGCTCGAATGCCAGTTGAGTCAGGCAACTGCAGCAGATTTCAGATTCTAGCCGAACTGAATGCAGAACGACTGTCTCGATATTGATGTACTTAAGGGATTTGAAGTAATCCAGTTACAAATTTTACCCCTTCCAAATATCCCGCATACATACGTCTCCTTTATCGCTTATAAATCTTGAGCTCAAAGTATCGCAAGACAGGGAAGACAATGATAGCGAATCCACAGCCCAGCCACATTCCCAAATCCGCATTTGAAGCAGCTTTAGAAATAGGACCAACGTACCAAACCTGGGACATACCGACAATAGCACCAACCCAACCGATGATGAAGCTTGCAAAAGCAGCAAGACCAATGGGGAGATAGTTCTTGTCCTCCCAGGCAGTCCAGTCAAATCCTTGGCGACCTCGGAAGAACCAATGTTCCTCCATGACGATGCAGATCATGAGCATGACCCAGTATCCCATCAGACTGACAAAGTTCTGGAAGACGACGAACAGACTTTCACGACCAGCCATAGCGAGGACGAGGGTGATGACAGACATGACAGTTGACCAAGCCCATCGTGGAACAGCCTTGGTATAGCGACCAAGAACCTGGCATCCAAGAGAGGCAGAGTACAAGGATGGAGTGCTGTTGGCAATGACACCAAGGGCGATCACAACAGAGCAGAATTTTCCAAAGCCATGGAGAGGACTATAAGCCTCGACGATGAGAGCACCAGTGCTGATGGCATTGGCATCGGACCAAGCCTTGTTATCAACGATACCAGTAGCAAGACCAATGGCGATGAGGTACACAAGGGTGAATGACACTGTCAATCCAGTGACAGTGAGCAAGAAGACCTTGAGACGGGAAGTGCGCTCTGGGTAGTAGACATAAAAGTCAGAAGCAGCAGCAGCCCATGAGTTGGGGACGTAGAAGCAGAGGGAGAAGAACGACAACCGACTGGCGGCGAGGACATTGCCAGAGACAGTGGGCTTAGCGGCGGCATTGAAGTTGGGTCCAGCGACACCGATAAGAACTGCAAGGACGACGACCTGAGCGATCCAAGCGTATCTGTGCCGCGTTAGTACATGTGCATGCATAATAGATGAAAGGGGACGTACCGTTCATACGTATGGAAGATCCTCATGCCAAAGACGGCGACGATCCATGAGACGATAGCAACGACGATGACACCGACCAGGATGGTCATGGTGCCGCCACTGACGGCTGATAAGACCTGTCCGCCGATGATGCAATCAATGGTGGCATATCCGACCATGAGAACGATGTTGAGGAATGTTGGAAGCTTGGAAGGCCAGTAGCCCATGAAGAATCGCAGAACAACCTGGTGTAACACATGTCAGTCAACACCATCACCGATGAAACAGTTACACTCACCATGGTACGATTGCCGCTCTGAGGTCCCCAAGTCGCCATGTACGCTGTTGAACAAGCACCCAGAATCGTCCCGAAGACAGCAAGCAACGCACTATCAAGAAAGCCCAACCCAAAGACCATCGGTCCAAACAGACCTGTCGCCAGGTTGTTCAGCGACAGATTCGCACTGAACCATAGCACCGCAACCTGCAAGTCAGCAGCACTAGAAGGTTCTTGACGTTCCTCTGGAAGAACACGCTCGATACCTCGGGCCTCAAGCCCAGCGAGGCCTTCGATGCGATTATTCAGCTTCTGGAAGGAGGAGAGGGAGATGCTAGGGGGATTTGAGCTTTCATCTCCAGTAGGTGATGAGCTCACGGTCGCAGACTTCTCATGCGTGGCTTCTGCCGTGTGTGTTGGTAGAGACATTATGAGGTCAATGGCCGCAGTGTGGAAATTAAACAGGAGGGAAGAAAAAAAGAAATGTATGTATGCACGGCACACACAGAGTCCGTGTGGTATAGAGGTTGCGTTGCAGGAGTTGAAAAAGGAAAGCAAACAGAGTTTGTTTTTGTCTTGCAGATACTGAACCCTTGTAAGATGTCTCGGTTGCAACGAACGGATGCGAGTGGGAGGCGGAATGTTACCGACCTCTCATTGACGGTAAAAAGAGCTCATGCATGCATGCTTGACTGGTCCATGGTATTGGTGTTCGTTGTGGCTTGAAGCTGATAACCAGGGTCGTTAGGTCTAGGTCCGCTAGTCCATGTAGTTAATTTAGCAATGAAACCATTCCCCGTGTGCGCTAGCAGGAATGGGTTTAGAGGGGAGGTAAGGATCGGTTGGAGCGGAACCGTGATGGCTACGCCGCGAAGCGGGAGGGTAGGGAAGGGAAGGGGTCTTGAATCTCCATCACGGGCACTAAACGATATGCCGGTTTTATTCTTGGCGATAAATCACTTGGCGATGAGGGAATAAACGTGTTCATAACAAAAATAAAGTCATTGTAAATATTCATGCTAGTCTAAGTAATACACAATTGGTGAAATGGTCTAACTATGTCTGCTTCGAGGTAACGTCCACGCTCGTAACCACTGTAATCTGCCCACTGCGAGCCCTCTCATGCTGCTGTGTCCCACTACTAATCTTTGCTTCAGCGCGGTACGGCCGCTGCAGCAGATCCGGTCCATGCTGGTCCACCAGCTCAATCTGGCTCCCCTGCTCGGGCGAAACGTCAGTGCGCATGCCGCCATCCTCATCCTCCAACTTGGACCAGATTGAAGGTTTGCCTGACAGCGGGTGAAGACCTTGAGTCCTCCGTCGCGCTGATCCTTCGGGGTATGAACCATTGCGGTAGGGAGTGTTGGGGTATGATGAGGGGTCGGTAGAATCGCCTTTGGAACCGAGGGCGAGACGCAGAACGGGCCAGCAGAGAGGGAGATTTCCGACCCAGAGGGCGACGCCGCCTTCTGCGACGTACCAGTAGAGAAAGACGTAGGAATTGGGGTTGCTGAAGTTGTAGTAACGATTGAGAACGGCGGCGAGGATCTGCATAATTAGCGCATGTCAAGAGGGGTTGGAGAAGAAGCTTACATTAAACAAGCCCAAGCCAAAAACACAGCACAAACCAATCTTGCGCTTCTTGGGAAGACTGATATTGATGACGATGGGAATCGGTAACAAGATCAACATAATGTCGCTGGCGATGTTACAAGCCGTCGCAAAGATCATATGGTTGTAATACGTCGCACATTGCACTGTCGCCATTAGCTCAATCCCTACCCGGTTCTCAATCGCAGACTCACTCTTCTTGGGATTAACAGGAACAGCCCAATATTCTGGTGTAGGCGAACACCAAAAGAACACAAACATAAAGGTAACAACGATGTACGTCACCGCGCAAAACGCAGAGACGAATCGCACCGCCCATTTCTGTCTTATCGATGTGCCCTGCGTCAATCTCGCGTATAGGAATAACAGACACGCTTTGATGGTCCATGTACAAGTGAGGGCGAATATCTCGAGGACAAAGGTCATTTTACTGCCGATAATGGCTTGTTGTCGTCCCTCGGGGGTGAGCTTTGCGGCGACATCGGCGGGCATGTAGTTGCTGCCATTCTTGGAAACTTCGTTGATCGAGACGACGACTCCTGTAAAGTTGATCTACGGCTCGAGTATCAGTAACGGTTTTGGTGAGTTTGATGCGTGAAACGTACGAGGGCAAAGACCATGAGATAATCTTCAATGGCGAGTCGGCTCCATTTTCTAAGTTTCATGCGTCGTGATATCCTGCAGGAACAAACATGTCAGTGAGAAAACGCCTCAAAAGCCACGCATTGTGATGGATGGTAGGATGACTTACAGTCGACACACAACGACAAAGAGACCCAACACCCATAGTACCCAAGACTCAACCAACAGCTTGTGATTAAAATCCATAGCGAAAAATAAAATGAATGAATGAATGAGTGTCGAACGCTGCAGTTGGCTGCTCCGGAAAGATGAACCTAAATGTCCTGCCCAATATTCGAATCACCCCTGAGTACCGTCCTGTCCTGTCAAACGATAAACTTTATCTAAAATGGCACGACGAGCAAGGTCGTGAACCCAAAATTACAGGAATAATCTCAGCTTGACACGAGGAGGGCAGGGGTGGCCAGAATGCAGGTCTGCATGGCTAGTCGTTTCCCCTGCATTTTTTCCTTTTTCTTTTCTTCGCATAATCAAGACGTTGGCCAGAGAGTTGCGCTTAGATCGGCACGTCACAAAAGCATGGATTTGGAAGTCAGTTACTGGAGACGATCGAAGTGATAGGCAGTAGTTAATCGGAATAACGTGTCGATTGACAGTGACGATCTTGATCTCGCTATGTACAGCTTCCAACAACAGCCCCAACAGCCACGAACAAAGACCAACAACCTACTGAACAAGCTCCCGTTACGCAGTATCGTTCCGTAGCTCTCCCACTACCCGTTAAATCCAAGCTAGACGCGGCAGATAAAGAAAAAAGACCACCACCGGAAGTGGCTTGCACCTAATACTCAAAACACCCAATATTGCAAAGGAACAAACCGCTTGATAAGGCAAGTATGGTCCGAGACAATCGGCTCCCACAAACGGCGCAGCCACAGTCTCCTCGCGGAAAGAAAAGAAAAACGAGACGGTCGAAACTCTGATGTCTTAGCAGATCCAATTACCGTCCAAATCCTCTAGGATCCGGTCCCCGGCCCGCCTCCGACCCCTGCGCGGGCCGTGGGGGGTGATCCCGGCTGGGCAAAAGCTTAGAGTTCTTTTTGTCATACGATGGTGGGCGGGCTAAAAGCTAATCTGCCCCGTTTTCACTAAGGTAGTAGAGATCTAGAAGGGGACCTTTTTGGGGGGCGCATTGTTTTAATGCTTGGCCAAGGGCACGGCAGTTGAGATGGTGATGGATAACTGTTACGTTGGGGGTCAAAAGTATGTCGGATTGCGTGATTCTTTGGGTTAGTAATTCGCAGCTAACAACCGCAAACTCTTTTTTTAATTAATTATGCTCGTGTCATGATCGTGGCTCGTGGATTAGATCCTGGTGTTTTTTTCTTACAGCAGCCAATCATTTACGTATCCAAAGAGGAAGCTAGCAAACCAACAGAATATTCCATCGGGAGACTCGTAACTGCAGATAACGCCTCATGAACCTAGTATTGCACGCGAATAAAAAGAAAAGAAGCTGGGATCCTCGGTTACGTCGGATCTCGTTCTGCAGAATCGCTTGGCGCTGTTATCTTTTTACCCCGTACTCCGTACCAAGAAATCAGCACATTCCCCCCAAACCAAACCACTCGCTCACTGTAGGGGTATCATTGGCTCGTCTAGCGGCGGGGGTTGTCTCCGCGCTTTTTTCCGAAATCTTCAGCAATCTTCCCGCCTTCACAAGAGGCGTTATAACTGTCTCACTTGCTTTGGTAGCACCGACACGGAATCTACACTAAAAAAGATAACTACTCAAAATTAATCACCTACCATGACCGTCAACCCCTCTCTTCGCACTGTTGACCAGTTCACCCAGCTCGTCTTTGACTTTGTCGTCATTGGCGGCGGCACAGCTGGACTAGCGGTGGCAGCGCGTCTCGCTGAATCCGACCCGTCATACACCGTCGGCGTTATCGAAGCAGGCGGTCTTGTGCAGAATGATCCTGATATTGACATCCCGGGCCACTATGGGAGGAATCTTGGAGGGAGCTACGATTGGCACTTGGAGACGCTGCCTCAGGAGGGTCTCGGGGGTAGAACGCTTCCGTGGCCGAGGGGCAAGTGTGTCGGCGGCACAAGCGCCCTGAACTACATGGCATGGAATCGCGCTAGCAGGGATGACTACGATGCCTGGGAAGCTCTGGGTAATCAAGGTTGGGGCTGGGATTCCCTCCTGTGAGTTTATGCTTGTTTTATTGGATGGCACACCGAAGCTGATTCGTTTCCGTTATGTAAAGGCCCTTCTTCAAACGCTCTGAGACATTCCATCCTCCCAGTGAGAAGCTCCAGCGCGAGTTTGAGATTGCCCACGATGCAGAGACCTTTGGTGATTCAGGTCCCATTCACATCTCATACCCAACCTCGTATTCACCATCGCACGCGTTATGGCACAAGACGCTTAATGCGCTTGGTGTAGAGACTAACCCATCCCACGTCGGAGGCTCAAACGTCGGCGTTTGGACATGCGTCAACGCCGTTGAGCCGAGCGCCGCGCGAAGATCCTACTCGATAGACTACGCCACTGGATCGCGGAACCTGCACATCCTTACCAACGCCACAGTCGACGAGATTATCATTAACCAGGCCCTCGTAGCCACTGGTGTGCGGTTCACCCACGGTGGCGTCGAGTATGATGTTTCAGCTCGACGCGAGGTTATCCTCTCAGCCGGTAGTGTCAAGTCACCGCAGATCCTTGAGCTTTCGGGCATAGGAAATCCCAGCGTACTAAGTAATGCTGGTGTAAGCGTCAAGGTTGAGAGCCCGCAGGTGGGGGAGAATCTGCAGGAGCATATTAGTGAGTTGAGAAGGTTTTAGTGATCGGCGGGTTGAGCTAATTTGTGTTATCTAGTGCTTGCGACGATCTTTGAGGTTGATCCATCGCTCGCTAATCGGGATGATCTTGTGAGAGATGAGAAGCTTAGTGCTGCTGCGAAAAAGGAGTACGCTACCAAGGCAGATGGGCCTTTGACTGTGTTGCCTGTTTCTCTTTGCTACGTCCCTTTCGCTCATTCCATTTCGAAGAATGCTGTCGCTAGTCTTTATGAAGATGCAGACAAGGTATCTGTGTTTGACTCGGACAAACAGGATATTCTTCGTGAACGATTGGATGGAAACTCCAAGCTTGGCCAGATAGAGTATATCTTTGACTTGGGTAACTGGAACCCAAATTTCAAGGGTGAAGAGGGTAAGAAGTACGGTACTATGCTGCAGATCTTGCAATATCCCTTCAGTGTTGGGTCAATTCACATTCGGCCGAGTGAGCACGCTACAGCTGAAGACTCACCCGCCATCGATCCAAAGTACTACGAGGGTCCTCACGGAAACCTTGACATGGAAGCTATGAAGCAATGTCTCCAGTTCGTCGATAAGATCGTACACACAGCTCCCCTCTCAAACATAATCCGATCCTCAGCATCCCCTTCCGCAGCAGCTCTCAAGGATGATAAGCTGCTAGGAGACTGGATCACGCAAAACACTATCACTGACTGGCATCCTGTCGGAACATGCGCCATGGGCGGTCGTGCTGGTATTGAAGGTGGCGTCGTTGATGAAAGACTTCGAGTCTATGGTGTCCACGGCCTGAGAGTTGTTGACGCAAGTGTTATGCCGCTGCAGATCAGTGCGCATATTCAAGCTACTGTTTATGCTATTGCTGAGAAGGCGGCGCATATGATTGTTGAGGATGTGAGGAGTGCGGATAGGGAGGCTAGAGAGTTGGTGATGAAGCAAGCTAGACTTTAGATGAGGCTGCTAAGATAGATAAGCCGTATATTATTGTTATGTGCGAGCCTATGGTGTAATCTTAGAACGAGGGTGACTTTAGTCGTTGCGGAGCCATGCTCGAACGATCGCGCCGATGGCTTCAGGCTGGTCTTTAGGAGACATATGACCCGCCTCATCGACAGCATAGAATCTCAACTGATCATTCCCTTTCCAAAAGCCTCCCTCCTTGACATTCCATCCATCAGCATCAGAAGTTAGTTCGCCGTCCTTGTAATACCAGGGCTCATAGCCAAGTTCCCGATAGTTATCCTGTCCGTTCCACCGCTGTTGGTTCAGCATGCGCATTTGTCCTGGGGTATTACTATGAAGATCAGCTAATCGTTTAAGCAGAAGTTTGTCGGGGTGCTTACATGATGATATCGTTATTGCCGTTGATGAATAGAACGCGTATACTTGTCTCATCAAGAATCCACGTCAACTCCCGTGTGACGGGTATATGGATATTCTGCGCTATGTCCCAGCGCTCATTGGTATCAAAGTCGATAAGATCAAATGGAAAGCGGTCGAATCCAAGTCTCTCTTGGACCCAACGACGATTCAGGAACTTCCATTCCGGTCCGTGGTCCAAGTTCGAGCACAAAGGAGGGGTCTCACATGAATGTCGGCCTGCCAAATATCAGTACACTTTCTACCACTCGTGATGCGATAAAAGAGAAATACTCACTATCATAAGGATCCCATCCACCGGGCACGACGCCTTCCATGAAGTACTCCCCCAACGTCTCCTCACAAATCTCATTGGCCGCTTTACAAGTCTCAATATCATAAAAGAATTGACACTGACTCCCCAATCTCCGACACTCCGGTATCGCAGCAAACATGTTCTCACAAGCCGTGCGATTCATTAACGGATATTTCCTCCCATCGTCAGCCCAATTCTCACAAAAGAAGGTATAGTATCCGATGAACTGCTGCGTTGCGTCAATGTACCCATCGACAATAATTGCAGATGAAATCTCCACCCGAGGCTTGATTCCGCGCTCTGCGTTCTCGCGTTCGTGAGCGACAATATGTTTCGTGTACCCCGTGACATAGTGGCCGCCCATGGATTCACCGGTAATATGCCATGGCTTTCCAGCGAGGTTGGGGAATACGTCGTGGGAGAATGTGGAGAGGAAGGTGTGTACATCTTTTGCGCCTTGTTCAAGACTGACGGCGATTTTGTTTCGGTCTGTGATTTTGGAGAAGCCGACGCCGACGGGTTGACTATCGAATGTCAGTCAGAGCGCTCATGCTGGTATGGAGACTTACTCAATGTAGACAACGTTGGCATGGTCGATCCACGAGTATTCAGCTCGTTTTGTTGAGTTTCCATCTGGATTCACAGTACAGGGACCGCTTCCCATGAATAATCCCATTGCTCCGGATGCGCCAGGTCCACTGATGCCTGCGTTAGTTTGGTATGGCTTGGCCATTAATAGCGACTTACCCGCTCATCCACAGTAACAAAGGATCATTCTCTGGGTCATTGCGGCTCTCAAAGTACCCTACATACAGTCAGTATTCCGATATTAGATCAGAAGTGGGGTGCGTACAGAAGAACATGGACTTATCCTCCGTTACGTTGACCGTGCCGGTGAATTGACGAGCACCCGCATCGCAGAGATCAGAAGACTGTTCACGAACAGTGAAAGCGGGTTTAGTTACTGGTTCATCTGTCAAAGGCTTCTGATCTTGACCCGCGACTTTGCTGATCGTCGCGAGGAGCGACACTGCAACTGGACCAAGCCACATCGCGATTTGCTGTTGAGATGGTGAACTTTGATGGCGTTTGAGAGCATTACTAATGCTGACCCCCAACCAATCAATCTGTCTCTGGTCATGGTGGGGTTGGTTGAAGATAAGGATAAGATAAGCATATCACAATTGCCTACCCTGAATGGTTATGGGTTTCTGTGTCGTGGCGCGATTTAAGCATCGGAATTTGCAAAAAGAAGCTGTCTTGAAGATGAAGATGATGAGATGACTCTACTATGATACAAGTTCACTTCCGTTATTACTGGTAGAATGCGTGGTTTGCCACAACACCATCTCACTCCATGATAAAAACGCTGCCAGCATCAAATTTGCCGTCGGACCAGACTCTGGTCTTGAAATGTCCCGCCACTTTGCGCAGAGCAGGCAGAGATGTGAACTCCGCTAAATGAAGGAGATTATCCGTAGTCATCATGTCACCGTCAAAGCGAAAGCGATCATTTATCTTGGGCATGGCGAGAAGAAGTGACTGCTCGCAGGGCTAGATGCTTCTAGCGCGACGCGATGTAGCGACAAGCGCGTTCCAGGCTGACATCCAACTCACTCACCAGAACTTGAGCTCACTCTTCCTGAGGCAAACCGCTCTCGTATTCTTGGTTGGAAGTCAATGGAAGAAACCTATTATGAGGAGATAGCAGTGTGTTTGTATCTTCAACTTGTTTCCTCATCACCAACACCAAGTCAATAAGTTTCCAGCGTCCGAACTCAGATCGTCGACTTGAGCTTTTTCTCTGGTATAGAAAAAAGAGCGACAGACATACAGACACATGAATGGAAATAAGCGGTGAATGAAATCAAGATTCTACCCGTCTCTTCTAGAACACCCAACAACTTGGAACTCACCTCCTCCGTCTCCTATCTAAATTCCGACATATCGAACGCCACCTCAGTAAACGCCGCCGCCCAAGCTGTGACCCAAGTCCAGACCATCCTCACACTCCGGAACCTCAATAAATTTCCCGAGCGAATGATTGGTCACCACAGCTAGGGTCTGTCTCACAAGGTTACACCAAACGAAAATATCGAAATGACGACTATGATGTTTGCCCAATTTCCCGCATTCACCATTCCCGCCATTTATTCTCCCACAGGAAAAGTATTTCTCCATGTTGAGAAATGGTGTGATGTGATGTGAAAAGTATCCGACACTGCCGCTAAACGCCTCTGACCGGGGTTAGTCACGCTGCGGAAGCACCTTTGTTGACACCTCATCGGACAGGCAGAACTCTGCACCTGCATCACACTTCTTTGTTCACTTCTGTCATTACTCACTTCCATTTGTAGCGCGATTCTACAGCGTGACTATACTAATATTCCCCTTCCTCTCGCTTATCTCCTATCTCTCTCGACTCAACACAACTTTATCCTTTTGGCATCACTGGCTTGGATAGCAAACTTTTGATGCATTTTTGCCTCAACTTAAATCGCGACACAGCGAACTCAATAGTAATGTCTAAAAAAGGTGAGATCATCCATAGTACCGATTTATAAGCTGTTTTACTGACTTTCCTAGTCATCGAGCCCTATCTTTCTCTCATGGCCACGCCGGAGGAAGAATGTATGTTGACTCCACCTCAACGTGTCAACTTCCGCTCACAAATCAAAGTCGCAGAAGACTATGACGATTTGATTTTCATCGGCGCCTACGACATCCAAATAGAATCTCACATCGAGAACAAGAAAACAAGCGACGTCTCCTTCCGGATAAAATTCAAGTTCGGCCCAACCGACACCTGGTCTCGCGGCTGGGCCGAAGAAATCGATCTGCACAAATACTACCAGGACATCGTGCTCAGCTACTGGCGCAGCATCGGCGGGCGCTGCGAAGCCACGGGGTTCAAGATGTACAAGATACTCAGAATCGTAGCGGAGGAGAAGAACAAGTATCGCGTACAGTGGGTTGGGTATGATGCGGAGGAGGATACAAATCTGGAGCCCAAGAAGAAGGTCTGGAGCATCGCGCCTAAAGCCGTGCTTGCGTGGAAGACTCGTGCGGTGGAATAGGTTGCACGGCGTTGGGCACGAAGAGGCAAAAAAAGTGTTTTCTTTTGTGATTGGTGGCGCCAGGATACCCAGCGTTGATTTTTTGTTGAGCGGGCGTTTTGGTTATTTGTCATGTTGGAAGTATCATACCCATGGCGTGTTTTTTTTTCGTTTGTTTCACAGCCCCGCGCAAGCAAAAGTTCACTGCGTTTATATAAATTCAAAAGTTAAGCAATGACGCTCTTTAATATCCAAGTCCGCATCTCAGTTATCCTCTTGCTGACTGTTCAGTCTGCTCTGTTCCTTCGCGATACCCTTTAACATACTTTGTTGCTCTTGTGCCATCCCTGCTAAATCCTTCGTCAAGTCACGGATCAATTTCAATTCCTTTTCAAACTTCGTCAAAGCTGTGCGATATTTCATAACAAGATTGAATATGTCTTGGTCTGATCGCCGGTTGCTTAGCCTGTGTTGCGCAGACCGGAGTGTATTCACTGCAACTCCAAGTTTCAACTCTTGAGACTCCTTCTCTGTGCACCGACGCGTAAACATTTTCTCGAGATTGCTGAGCCTTCCAAGCAATGTGGAAGCGTATCTGGTGATTTGTCGCTGGGATGGTTTAGGCTTAGGCCTCGCGGATCCCGATTGGCCCTGGTGCTGGCCGTTTGAAAACATGTTTTGTTGATGTATTGAATAGGGTTGAAAAGGTTTGTAATTGACTAGCTGCTGGCGTACCTTTGCTGGAGAGGTACTTGGGCTGTTAGACCTAATAGGGTCTTTTATCTATTCAAGAGCATGTAACCACAACAGTGTTGACGACTTTGCATGCTCTCAGTATCGTGATGCAGTATCATGGTTCTCTTGTCTCAAGCTCGTCACGGCCACCAAGCTTCACATAGCATCACACAGAAAATCGGAGGCTGTATGCCTCGAAGATAGATCACGGCGGACGATCTCGTCATTGCATTGACACAGAGCTCAGAGTCACAGGCCGACATCTTGCCAGAACCTGCGTCAATGGAGGATATGTCAGTGCATCCTGCTAGTAAACAGCGCAGTGACAGACGACAGAGATCTAGACACAGAAGTGGATGCTTGCAAACGAGGGAAAGCGTCTGTGAGCAAGTCACGATTGAGAATACGACGGTGATGAGGACGCCTCAGAAGGCCTTCATCACTGCGCTTGCGACGAGTGATTGATGCTATCTGTGTTGCAACTGCCAAGTCCACAAAACACTCAAGGTAACCCACGATTTCTCAGTTAGTTGTCAAACAAAGATACACTACTAAATACACATATCCACTCACCACTCTAATCACCCAAAACACCAATATACCATGTCCTCTCGTCGCCACCGTAGGGAATCAGATCGTCCAGAACCAAGTGGCCCACCACCAATTGAACCAAAACCTAATGATCCCTCATCTAATGGATCACAACCTAATCGAACACGGCCTAGTGGTCCTCGAGATATGAATGTGCGACCTACTGGCCAAAGAAACGTGGAACCGCAACCTACGGAACCAGGACCCAGTGGCCCACGAATCATCAGAGGACCACGAACCAATGAGCCGCGACTCACGAGTGACCAACCCCAGCCTGGAGCCAGCGGTGTACAGGACCAAAGGCAACTTGAAATCATGCGACTAAGTGAAAAACTGGCGGCGATTCGGTTGCAGATAGAGACGATATATCCCATGAAAGCTGCACAGGAGGAGGAAGTGTACAACCAAGAGGTTAAGGTAAACAGGCTGGAACGCGACAGAGAGTCAAGCAGGGACATAAGACACGCTAAAGAAGAATTGGGAGTGAGGAAGGCCACCTTGAAAGAGACTGTGAGAAAGCTGGAGAAAGCTAGAAATGAAGACGAGCAAGTATTTATGAAGAGGTGGCAACTTCAGTATTACAAGTGAGGGGATTGGAGGAGAAGGAGGTGAAAGGGCAGAGAGACGTTGGGATTGCTTAGCTCTATCGCTGCTAGATCGAATCGTAACTTATTGGGCCTTTGGAACAACTCTTAATACAATCTCGTGATGAAATGAGAATGCAGTGACTGCTTAAGATTCTTGAGTAGCTGAGACAGCGAAACGGTGGATGAAAGTGCCTAGAAAAAGCAGGTGATTTACTAGAGGACGCATGCACTTCTCTAAGATCACTAGAGCAGACATTTGTAACTAACAGACCTTTTACGACTTTGTGGCTGACCTGCTGTAATTTACATTTGAAGACAGTGGCAGACAGCTGCTAGTCACCCCTTACTCCCTCCAGAACTGAGTGATCAGACTCCGATAGAGACAGTGCCAGTGACGAGCACCCCTCGGAGAGTACTTCACTGCGCTAGCTATGAGTGATAATCATCCAGTCTGTCTTGATCCCAAGACCATAAAAGACCCCAGGCACCCCATGTTTTTTGAGTCGGTCCTCAAACCAAAGCAAGTCCAGATAGAAGACGACGGACTATCTCTGCAGTCACTGACGAAATACACTGACCATGTTCTGGAGTCGCCGCCGAAAGGGACCCGATGCCCGGCGATCCACCGACAGACCCCGATCCAGGAGGGCACAGTGGGAAATCCAAGAGCGCATCAATGTATTGAATCGAAGACTGTCCAGTCTTCGCGCAGAGATCGATGAGATATACCGCAGGCTAGATGAGAAAGAGAAGAGAGTGAGAAGGGCGAAAGATGAAGTGAAGAGACTGAAAGCTAAGAGACGACCGAAGAGGAGGGACATTGAAGAAGGAAGCGTGAGTTGAGGAAGACTAAGAGTGTCTTGAAGCAAACAAAGGGCGAGAAAAAGTCTCTTACCAAGAAGAGGGATCGCCTCAGCCTCCGTGTCTGAAGAGACTTGGAAAAGGACGGAAGATAAATTGCTTAGTTGCTACATAGTCATCTGCATCGTCACTTGAGCGGAACCTTGAAACGACATTCTTTTCAATTTTGGGACCAAATTACTATTTTTGCTACTATTGCTTGTTCCTACGTCCCAGAGATAATACGACAGGAGATGAGAGAGGAAACTGAACTGATCACTAGAACATGCATGACTTTTCCTGAACGTGCCCTTTAAATTTGAAGTGATGGAAATGACATATCTGAACAATGATGTACGATTCGCTGTAGTAGATTCGTGGTTGAGCGCGATGTTCAATAACACAAAGACGCCAGCTACGAGTCAAATGATATATGTTGGGGTTAGTTTCATGTTCAGTCGGTGGGCGCGATGGTGGACAGTGATCAATGGAAACGAACAGAGCCAGGGTGATGTTCATGTTGCTGATGGCGCTGGGTACAAATAGTGGTGAACCTGGCCTATCCATATGGAAATACTTCTCGAGTTCTCATTGCAACTCATAAGACCCGCTACCAGCAACTAAAGATATTCCTTACATCTCACATAAGACAACTTTAGTCCACCATGTCCGCACGACAAGTGATCATAGTTGAGGTAGCTCCGTCACCTAACGAACATTACAAGCATTTGTCCCTGGAGGAGAAGATTGATCGTGCAGACAGCAAAATCGAAGGTCTGAGAGATGAGATGAGCAGCTTGGATCAGGAAATTCATAAGCTGGATCGGAAGACAAAAAAGCTAGAGAAGAGCAACGACAGGTTCGAGGATGTCCTATACAGAGAAGAATGGGCATCGAGAAGGGCCGTGCTGAACGGGTTCCAGACGTTGGAGCAAGGCGAGAAGACGGTTCTAAAGAACGAGAAACGGCTGCTTGAAATGGACCTCAAGTCTCTGGAGCTACGAAAGGAGTTGCGGGCGTGGGAGGATTATAGAGAGGGGCTAAAGACTAGTCAAGAGGAGGTGAGGTTTGACGAGTGGATGAGACGTGAGGAGGGATTGGCGTATGAGGATTGGAAGAAGAGTAAGTACAGCCGAGACTAGGTAAGATAAGCTGTACTCGAATTTGAAGGACTTTCTATTGAATCTAACTTAAGTAAATCTCAACACGGGGGCTTGTGGCGTAACTGGTTAGGCGTCACTGGCCATACCTAAAGGCTGACTAGGCAGCTCAAGGTAGTGGGTGAATCCCGCAGCCCGCTTCAGGGGGCAAGGAAACACTGAACCGTAATGTGACGTGTTATAATAAACTTGGAAAAGAGAAACCTAAACTCAGGCTAAGTTGACATAAGTATTTTCATCACTTAGGGTCAAGGTCCTAAGTTTTCTTTCCTCCCCTAGGCCCCCAACCCCAAAAATCCAAAAACCGGGGTCTAACCACCAAAAAACCACCCTAGCTTCAAAAACCAAGCCGACTTGGTAAAATTCGTAGATTGAATGTGGCTATTTTGGCAGTTTTGCTTTTTTTAGATGCCCCTGGAAAGATCTGATAGGAAGTGAGAAAGCGAATAGAAGAATCGGAGAATAGAACGGGACTTGTGCTAAGATGTGGGTGATTGATCTGTAGCGTTTGACATGCCGTATTGGAACTACCAGGTGTTGAATCTCTGTTCGGGTATTGTAGTGAATTCGTGGTTGAGCCAAATATTCAGTGCACAAAGAACCCAGCTGCTCGTGATGGACATGACCACGCAAGGACCGTTCATCACCATCTCAAAGCAGCAAGAATGGGAAATGGCCAGTGGGCAAGAACAAGAGCCATTGTGATTCCCCGCTGCGTGTCGGATGGCCTCGCTATAAGATGCGAGGCTCGTTCCAGCAACGGGCAATAAACTCATCGGTACAGCGAGCTGCCAACAACACAGCCGACAACACAGGAATTCTCTTCTCAAATTGTGAATAAATGTCAATTCAATATGCCCAGCAGAGCAACTCGTGACGAACACAAGAAACGAAGGTGGAAGCCAGAAGAAGATCTCGCCCGAGCGAAGAAGAACATCGATGACCTACTGAAGGAGATCAAACATACCGAGAAGAAAATTAATAAACTCACCGAATCGAAGGAGAAGATTCAAGACCAGAACAAATGGCTCAAGAGTGGCATCCTAGAGGAAGGGAAAAATGCATCGCGGGTCAGGCTAGAGAGTGGGACTCTCCGACTACAGGAGTGCCAAACGTATAATGCTGAGCAGAAGCTAAGGTTGAATGAGCTCAAGCGAAGTAATATGGAGTTGGAAGCGTGGAAAAAGGAATGGGAGGCTTGGAGAGAAGATATCGAGGAGGAATACCGTCGGAGAGCAGTCTTTGAAGCAAGGATAAGGAAGGCAAGGCCACAAAGCTATGAGAACTAGAAGAACAGCAGGTATCATTCAGTAAGGTGAGAAGCCCAGGGTCTCCTCTCTAGATCACTCTAGTCTAAACTGAGACAAGATCAATTACAGTCAAGTTGACATTTAACACGAAAGGCTCCATTTATAACGCATTTTAAAGTGGCTGAGACGATACTGACTGTAACCTGCAATGTTTGCCCAATGGTATAGCTATATTATAGGTTTTCAAGATAGTGAAACAGGAGTGTATAGCAAACTGACTGAAGTACAAAGGGTCGACTTTGGTAGAATCTTGAAAACGGAGGAACATTGTGAACAGGACTACAGCTGAGTCTCCAATGACAGCTACACTACTTTCTGACTCTGATGGGACCATAAGGGCTAACGTCTCTGGCACTGATAAGACAAAGTATACCAATTGAGACAGGAAACTGTGTCTGTGATGAGTGACGAGAGTCGTTGAGTCCAGTGGGAGGTTTCTATTGCACTGTTTGCAGTGCGACTCTCCTTGTTGCATTCATAAGAACGAAGCTGTCGGCTCATGAAAGGTTCGCTAAAACCCACAATTATATGACATGAAACAAACGGAGATATTCGCTTGAGCGAATTGTAAACAATTGAGAGATTTGAAATGGATTATGAAGCTCTGTTTGAGGAGTCTTGTCAATGTAGCTTCCACCTGGACCGTAAGTGACAGGCTGATCCGCATCACCTTCTGGCTCTGACAAGTGCGAGGAGCTTCTCACCTCGCCACCAATGACTTTCCTGAATGCCTAGTGAAACAGCGAAAGATGGCAATGATTAGAGTTGTACGGAACTGAAAGAGCAGTAAGATTCATTGCGTCGCGTGGCTCCCTTGTACTGAATCATAACGCGAGTAAGGCCTTGAACTGTTATATTAAGACAAGCTTCCGGACGGCTACTGTACTCTACATCAGCTATCCTACCAACACACACTTGAGTGAATTACAACTACCTACACGGAATAACATCCCGATCCCATTTATCCCCGTCTCCAGACGAAATCATGTCCGAAGAAACCCCCCAAGCCAATAATCCTTCGGAGAACTTCGCAACAGGCAATGCGCCTCTGGCCCTTGATTCGAATGCAGCCATGGGTATGGCTGCGTATGAGCCAAGGTCCGAACCTCCGAGCGAGCCAAACCATTTCCCACCAGAGTTTGCGGCCGAAGATACACCCCAATTCTTCCATCAGGACGTGCCCGAGAATGTGCATGTGAATGATCATTATGGACCTGATAACGGCAAATCTTGGGAACGCATTCCTCGGGAGCAAGTGTGTGGCTACAACATACCCCCGGAAGATGAGCTAGGAAGCCACACTGGAAGTAGAGTTCGTTTTGATGAGAACTTGCCTAGCAGACGCTCAAGAGAGAACGAGTCCCGGAGAATGGGCTCGCACGGAGGAGGCAGTCATCGAGGACAATCTCACAGAGAGGAGCCTCACGGAAGGGAGCCTCGTAGAACGGACGATCGCGACAAGAAATATCACAAGAAGGAATCTCACCGCTCAAAAACATCCGAATCTCACAGATCGTCGTCTCACAAGAAGGACTCACACAGATCAGAGTCACGAAGGTCGGACTGTCAGAAGGGGGACTCACACAAGTCATCAAAGAAGGAGGACTCTCACAAGAAAAAGACGATAGACGCTACGCCCAAGTATGGACGCATCTCTTTTAGCAAGACTGTAACCCACTATGTGCAACAAACTGATTATGTCAGAAATCCGGTTGACACAAAGAAAAGAAAAAACTGAAGGTAGACAGCAAGACGTATAGGAAGGAGGCATAGTAACGATTTAAATCAATACAGACGCGAGAGTCTCCTAAACTTACATGTAATTTCCTGAAGTGGCATGACTGCAAGTGGTGAGCTGTGAATGGCGGTGGCTAACGAAGTTAGATGTGAAATCACGGCGTGTTTTAGCTCTGAACAAGACCAAGTACCCGCCACTGGTGAAGTTCACACTGCGCAACTATAGTCAAGGGTAATGCCCAATAGTGATGAGATTGGGGTCCTCAGAAGGGAGAGATGTATGAGATCGACCCATGACTTGTGAGAAAAACCGCGGTGAACATAGATCCCAGATGGGTCATAGTATATTGTATCTAAGCAAGACTATCTGGATTCATTGCCGTTACGCACCGGCAGAGGATCCAGCCGTTACAGCGCAAGAAGTATAAATATCGTTATTTCTTGCGCAATTAGTGTAGTCTCGTAGTAACACATTTTTACAAAAACTGAGCCTAATTCGTGAAAACAATGCCTAACAGACGCTTCCCCCATTTATTTGACATTCCCGCCTTCGTCGCACACGGCAAGGCTATTGAAGAAATCACGAAGAAACTCCATACAGTCAAGTTCAAGAAGGAAAAGCTGAAGAAAGACAAGGAGTATATCCAGAAGGAGATTGAGGAATTAGAAAAGGGTGAGGGAAATGACGAGGGAAGAGATATTGGAGAGGACATCGCAGAACTTCGAAAAGAGCTGCAAAAGCTTGACGACAAGAAACAGAAATTGAAGCTTAAGAAGGAGAAACTCAAAGAAGAAAAGAGGAAGCATCAGAAGTCAATGACCAGGCTACAACAGAGATAGATATTTGAGTCGTTGAGATGGGTAGAATCGTAGATTTTGAACTGGTAGTCTAGCTTCAAGAGAGAACCCGCATTTTCACTTAATCACGAGCAGTGTCAACTGTTGTACAGCATGATGATAGTCATATTACCGTGTAGCCAAGCTCTCCTGGTAATCACAGAGCCCCTTGGCTCTGAGCAAAAGATTGGACTTCTGGGGAATGATTGTGCGTGGTGAACAACGTGTGCCATGGGCACAGAGGCACTTGGGAGTGATGAGGCTTGACTTCTCACAAGAGAAAACCATCTGCGGTTCACCTACAGGCGACAACAGAGTCGGAGTGAATGAACGTTCTAGGGAGCACTATGGAGGTTTATATTTGGAAGGGATTGGAGCTAAATGTTCGTATACAACCAGATCTTCCACGTCAGAACTCAAGAAAAACCGCCGCTATAGCAAGATAATCTCAATCATATTCTCTCGTATTCCAGCCTGTATATCCTGCCACCCACTCGCTACAACAGTGGTGTCGTCTCTATCAAAGAACAGAAGCACCGACTCAGATCACTCAACCAAGTTCCGACAGGATGTTTGATAAAATTCTCGGCAGGCGAAAAGCTGTCACCTCTTCCACAACACATAGCGAGACTGAGAAAGGGATAACAGAGAGATTCGAGGAAGCCAACTTTAAAATAAAGAAACTGGAGTTTGATAAGGGACGCATCCAGAGGAGGATCGACACGCTATGTGACGGCAGGGATAAGCTGGAAGGGTTTCTTATAAGTGCCAGGGCGAGAGAGAAGGAAAGCAAGCTGAAAGGACGAGAAGTTCAAATGAAAGAATCAGGGAACCGGGAGAGGTGGTGTGAGCATGAAATTAGAAAGCATGACCGTGAAATCAAGTCCCGGAAGGACATGTTGAAGAGCTTAGATGGGGAACAGAAGACGTGGCGTCTTGAGCTGGAGAGGCTCAGGGATGCTGAGAAGATGGCTCAGAGGTTGGCAGCGAAGGTCCGGAGGAAATGAGCCATGGTACTGGGGAGGCGGAAACAGTCTCAAAGTAGATAAAGAATCTCACAGCGTGGACAAAAGTCCTTCTGGGGCCTTTACACGAGATGCCTGTAATCGCCAGGTTACGGTCAAAGGGTGAGCATCATGGTACAGCAGCTGGTTGTTAATCAACACATCGTAATATAGACGGCAAAAGCGAATCCATAACTAGGTGCTGATAGTCCTTCTACTTGTTAGGTTCTTTTAATGAACATCACCTTTACTCCTGAGCATTACGATGAAATGAACAAGAGGAGTCACTGATCAGGAAAGTCATCTTGCGTCTCGGTGACAACAAAGGTGTAGGGAGCTGATTTACTGTAAGGCTGCGGGATGTCCCTGAATAACAAACGGCTGCGGAAGAATTGACAACTAATAACTGATGGAAACTGATGGAGTTTCAAGTTGTGAATCGTAGAGAAATCAGGGACCAAGCTATTATATTAATGCCAGACTCCTTGGTCCTGGAACGCGGACACACAGTAGAGATCTACTCCTCTTAACAAAACCTCTTCTTGAAGTTGTCTATTATCTTTGACAGGCAAGAGCGCCGTGGCAGATAACTATCACTCGACGAGTGACATAGCCACGACAGGGTCCGACGAGATGCCCGCAACCGTCTCGCAGAACGAAATCTGTACCAAGAGCAAACCTCCTGCGGGAGATCAATCTGACTCTGGACCAGAACATACCAACAAGAATTGCCTCGTAGAGGACAAGCGTACAAGAGAAGCGAAAACGAGCCAGGGAAGAAGGTCAGGTTCAAGGAGGACCAGCCAAAGATGGACTTAGAAGACAAGAAACCTCATAAAGGACACAATCATAAGGAATCCGCGTCTACGAGTTACAGGTTCAGTCTTTGGGATGGGGAGATCATCAACGAGATGAATAATTGCTTGATCAAAGCCAAAGCAGATCTGAAACGTGTGCAAGCTCGAGTGAAAGAACTCGAAGATAAGAAGAAGGCGCTACTCCGAGAAGAAGAAGACTTGCAAGCCGAGATTGCTATGCTCAGGGGAAGTAGAAAAAAGAAGCGGTCTTTAGCTCTGTTTATGGATATACCTTGAAGCGTAAGCAGCTGTTGTCTGTTTCTCAATCCAGAGCGAAGGAGGTTGAAAGCCTTAGGGAGCAAAAGAATATAAGACCTTGCTTAGGGTCCCTCTATAAAAGGTATCCTAAACTAGTCCTAAACTTATACTAAGTTACTTGAATATTTTTATCACTTAGGCTAAAGGTCTAGAGTTTTATTTTGTCCCTTAGGAAGCTAAAGGCTAGTGATTTATCTGTCATTTAAAGAGGAACGAACCTGAAAATCAAGGTGCCAGTAATGCAATGATTGTTTCTTGATCCTCGAAACTGTTCTTGTTGCTTTATAATCCAATCTCATGCTGTTAGGACACCAGCGCCCAGCATCTCCACTACCAAGGCAGAACCTCCAACTGTCGAACCGTCAACTTCTTTCCATAGATCCCTGTCCGGATCGAGGCCTTTATCCAACAAGTAGCGAGTATACCGTTGACATCTTCCCTTCACAGCGTACCAAAGGAGTTCCTTGCCATGCTCATCAATGAAGGCAGGTTCTGCTCCCAACCGTTCCGTCATCAAGATTGCCATGTCATCTTCCCGAGCTAGTGCCGCCGTGATAATCGCATGATGCCTCGTCCACCTTCTAACAAGGGGGTCAGCGCCGCCCTCAAGAAGCAGCATTAAAGTTGGCATGTCTCCTCGTATCACAGCCATCTCCAGTGCATCAGCACCTCGCGCCCCAGTCTTGTCTTTTCGAAAAACGTCTTTTTCAATAAAGAAACTTAGGATGTCATGCTGAGAGGCACCCACGGCGACATGCAGTGGGGTTTCGCCCCAGCCGTCGCTGTCATCAATGTACGCCCCGCTATCGAAGAGCAACCTCACGATATCGAGATAGCCTCTTCGCACTGCCAGCAGCAAAGGCGGGACATCGCCTTCCACGTGAGAGTTTGGATCGACACCTTGATCTAGCATGAGCTTCACCAGGTCATAACTACCAGTCGTCACTGCAAAGTACACAAGATTATCGCCAACCTTGTTCCTGCGGTGAACATCAACACCTCTCGCTAACAGAAGGTGCACAATGTCCCAATACTGTTGCCTGACTGCTGGAAACAAGGCAGTCTCGTCCTCATTATTGATGATGTAGTTGACATCAGCGCCTTGATCAAGTGATCTCTCCACTACTGAAGCGAGGCCCTCTTTAGAACCCCATTGGAGCGCATTGCACCGCCAGTGCGCATCCTCATGATAGACAAGATCATTGGCAATGTGGTGGAAGCGTTTGTTGGTCTGGCAGAAGGCGTTGAGGTCAGAGCGTACCGATAGATTTTGTACAATCAGTTCGATGATCTCTGTTGCTAGATCTTGAAGCAACATAGTAGCTGATTTTATTCTGCGACAGCTAGAATGCTTGGGTGAATCAGAGGGAGAAATGAATCATTTGGAGTGGTGAAGGAATAGGCGAGACTGACGTGAGACTTTGGATCACCGACTTCCGATGATCACCGGAGGATCGGGCAAGTTCTATATATGGAGCTTACGTGTGTTCTCACATACGCGGCAGCATCAATGCACCAGAATAGACATTTCAGTAAACATGGAATCAGATGGTTGTAAAGGAGAACACGGCTCACACCACCTTATTCACTGTAAATTTCTGTTTATTCTTAATCATGACGGCACAAGAAAAGATATCAAGCAGCTGGTGTTGGGCGCCTGATCGATTTGAAGCCATTCCCAAAAGCGCTAACCTGATCCTTCGCTCTCATCGAATCTCACCATGCTGACCATACCAAAGTGGCAAAAGGCTCACTTAAATCCAAATAACCTCCTTTGCTTTCTTGTTCATTGCTTCGATGCATTTGGGGCATTCCCTCGAGTCCATGTACTCATCTCGTGAGTCGATCTCGATTTTGCATTTCGCTCGGGGAGACTTCTTCTCGTCGCATGGCGTTTCGCTCTGCTGGTATTTGATCAAGTAGTCACATTTCTTATCGTTGCAGTAGTATCTCACGAACGTGGTGGTGCACATGTTGACGGATTTCAACCTGTCTCGATTTACTGGGAGTGTTGGATCTGCTTGGTTGGGTTCCTGTCGAGAAAACACGAGGGAAACAGTGCCGTATTTATGCCCAGAGGGAGGGAATGGGCCGTGATATGAGCTGATCACAATAGCTGCAATAAGAGGTTTCATATAACTATTCAATGGTGATCCTCGGAGACATTGAACAGATGATATTAATCGTTTATTAATACGGAGATAGTGACTAACTCTTTATAACCCCCTTAGTGATTCAAGTCACTTCTTCTCCTTCTCCTTCCGTTTCTTCTCCACGCATACAGGACAAAGTATTGGGGAGAAGTATTCGTTTACTATCTTAACCTCAGACTTGCAAAATTCTCCCCGTGGCGTCTTGCACTCCTTCACGGTCGTGTCGTCATGACTGAGGGTCCAGCAATCTTGGCATTGATACCGGATGCTGGTTGTCTTGCACATGGCGGCAGTAATAGATATCGCAGTGGGAAGCAGATTATGTTTTATATGTAGGAAGATTAGTTTAATGAGTTTATTTGAGATATAGCGTGCCAGAAATCGCGGAGCTGGCTGGAATTATATACTGCGCCCTAGGCTGTGACTCGGAGCTCACCAATACGGACTCGGCATTGAATCTACGAGGCATACGACTCACCAGATACGAGTACCCCAAGAGTATATCGATTAGAGGTCAATTTTCATTAAATTGATAAATAGTGATCAGCCCCCGCCTCCGTACACCGATTCGCCATCGACATCATTTGCTGTCAGCCTTCTTCTTCTCCTGGCACTTATAGCAAAAGTCAGAAGATAGGTAATCAGTCTTCTCCTCAAACTCGGCTGTACATCCTTTTTCCATATCTCCTGGGGTCTTACATGGCACACCGTCTATCCTGAACCCGATCTTGTAGGAGCATACCTGACACAAAGATGAAGTATGTATAGTTCTGCACATATTTGCTCAAAAAGTTATATTCGTAGCTAGTTGTCTTGATGCGTTCTTCATTTGTTAGAAGTTTTGGATTTCCAATTTCATGAGAGAGGAGGCCTCAAGCCTGGTTTATATAGTTCGACACCGATATTATCACTGCCATAGCTCACGCTGACTAAAGAAAAGAGACTGAAATTTAGACGATGGTGATTAACGCAAGTCTACTATAATTTAAGTGTCCAGCTTCTCCTCAAACTACTGAGACCACGCTATCACATCTCATGATTACCGTAAGCAAGCAGTGCCTTCAGCTTCTCCTCCTCCTCCTTCTTCCGAGCCTCTTCACAAGGGCCACATTCTTTATGGAGGAGCTGGTCTTTCGAATCATAGTCTCTGACGCATCTTTCTTTATCACAGAATTTATCAACAGTCTCTGTGCTTATCAAATGACCACAATAGCCCCAGTATCTAAAAAATGTGGTTGTGCACATGGTTAGCTGAACGCAAGAAGCTTTGCTATTCTTGATATAAGTTTCGCGAGAATGGTCGAGGATACTGGTGTTTATACGATAATGCGATAAGAAATATTGGAAAGAGACTTTGAGAGAGTGCTGAAAGCTTGATTTATATACTTTCAGCTTTCGTAGGTGTATCACATCGAATTTGAATGCTCAGTGTGATCTGGAAGTAAGATAAGAAGGGATCACCTGCACACGTGCTTCCATTCACCGACCGCTGATACTTGTATCACTTGAGGTAACTTTGAATGGACTTCTCCGCGAGTCAGTGTATCAGTATCTGAATACGATATAAAGCCTGCAAATAACCTCTCTACCTACTTATGATATGCATTTCTCCGTTCCTCGGTTAATATTATAACTTTAAAACTCTATAGTGTTTTTCTTCCTCTCCTCCTCGTCCAGCCTTTCCCTCTTAATAAAGCACGTATTGCACTCTATAGAGCCATCCCGATTATCCTCAAGATATTTCACATGGCAATACTCTGTCCCTTGTAAAGCACACGGCCTGAATTCTCTGCCTGAACTGAGAGCATGACCGCAGCAGCCTATATACTGTAATAATGCACTGTCACACATCTTGAATTTTATTGATAGCTTTGATAGATTTTAAGTTAGAGATTTATTACGTAGCGGGTATTTTCGGTTTGAGGGTTTGAACGTGTCGCTCATTTGCAAGTCGAGTAACCCAACCTTTTATAGAAGCATTTGGTCACCTTTTCAGAGACAGACATGGAACAGTGAAGGCATTTATTCATGTACGAGGCCTCTTTTATGGTATCCTACGCGCCAAAGATCATCATAAAATCTGCTGAAGAAGCTGTCTTCTCATGCCTGATGCTACCAATACCCGCAATAATAAGTCTACCGTTGTACATATTGGAGACCAAGGCCAGTAACTGTAAGGGAGCATATCATGAGAATCACAGACGTTATTTATGTGAAGATTGCCAATAGATTTGTTTTCTGGTTTGGGATGGGAAAAAGGGAATATTATGGAAAAAGCCATTTTGTCGCGACCGGCCGAGCTTAAACTCCTGAGGAGAACTCCATACAACGGTCCAGATACACTTACCCGTCACTACTTGATTGCCTTCTTGAGTTCCGCAGCCTGTAGCTTCAAGATAGCCAACCAATCTTTACCAATATTAGCATACTCGGCAAACCCTGCTGGGTCGTCCAAATACGAGTATATGATGTCCCAGTTAAGTGCCAGGAGAGGACCCATAATAGGAATCAGACCCAGTCCTGCTCCGACAATCTGTTTGACAAAGGTTGACCATGCAGATTTATCAAGAGGCGCATACACGAAACGAATTCCCTCATTTATTGACGTCCAATCGTTGCCCTTTCTGTGAAAGTTTCCAGTATCCCATTGAGTAACAGAGTGGTCTTCCGCATTCAGCGAGGCTCCTTCTCGAAGAAGCCAGATAGAGTCAAAGCAGATATGTGTGCCATCGGCACGACGGGCGACTCTATCCTCTGGGATGCACAAGGAGGCCATTAGTGACTGAACGTTCAGGCACAGAGCGGCTCCCAAGTAGCCCAGTCCCCGGCCGTTGGTGATGTCTACATGAATAGGCTCATTGTCCCAGTAGTTCTTCAGGGTCAAGCCTTGTGCGGAGAACTTATGGAACTGAATGGTCCCAAGTCTGCTGAACCCGGGATAGCTGGGATCCTGGAAGATTTGGGGGAAATAGAGTGCTCTGATAGGCAGAGTTGGATCGACAAAGATGTACTTATGGGACTTTATGTTGAAAGCCAAGTAGGCATTCTGATCTGTTCCGGCGTACCAATAGTATGTACTCTGCCCATCATTGTGGACGAAGGGACTTGGCGAGTCAATGTAAGTGCTACCACTGGTGTCTTCAGTATCGTTGTAGAACACTGAAGTACTGGCAAAAGTTCCCAAGACGTCTCTGAGTGGGGAGTGCAAGTATTCGAAGTTTCCCCGAGGCCAGTTCGGCTTCTTGATCTTGTTGGAGTTTCCAGCTTGATCATAGACTCCGTTAATGACAACTTCAACGATGAAGGTCTTGTAAAAGCCCGATTCAGTCTGCATTCGCTCTGGAAGCGCAGAAGTTGCGGTATAACCTATTCCGGTGGGTGGGGAATAAGCATCGCGAGCTTGGGGACTAACGCCCGAGCCATCAGATGTGTTTGGTGGCTCTTGCGATGCATGGCTTCGCTCATCAACGGGAGGCTGTTCGACAGATGTATCGGCCATGACGAAATAAACTGTGGAATTGTTTTTGGAATGCAGGTTGGTCTTCGAGTATGTGTTATCTTTAAAATCTGTAAGATGTTGCAGATAAAGCCTTTTTGCCTAGATTTCCGAGAGACTTTATATGTTGAATGGGAATACGAGAAGGGCAATGCGTAAGCTGTACCGACGGACTTCATATTTGCGGCTGGCCTTCTCTTGCCTCAAACGTTTTGTTCTGCATCTGAGGCCTCCCTTCGGACACGGCAAGAATCTCAACGCCACTACCTGACGTAGAGATGCGCCATGTAGGACTTTTGTACTGCATGTGGCTGTTCCGGCCCACCAAGCCTGAGATGTGATAGAGCAAGGGGCGGTGGGCCAGACAGCTCATCCAAGACCATGTAGATCCATACGTAATACATATGGTGTGTATATAGGAACCCACTGTCTTCCCGACACCACATTCTTATGTGACTTACGGTGAGTCTTTGGACGCTCTAAAAGGTGGCTGTAATAGCTGAACAGGTTTTCGGACTTGCACTCGACAGTACCAGCCGGTTCAGTTGTACGGAACTCGTCTTCTGTGACGGCGTGGCTGCTTTGGGGTGACCGTGGAAACCCCGGTTGGTTCACGGGCCCATAATGTGTCTGGACAGGCATCTTCTGAGCTTATACCGAGAGCTGAGATGAGGCGATTGCCGAATGTTGGGTTACAGATTCAAGCTCAAAGGTTCAGCTATTCTAGTACTCTTAACAGCAGCTTCACTGGCACAGCCTTAGGTTGGATCTCTTGGAAAAGAGGGCATTTTATTATCCAATATCTGGCTTCTTTAGTCACAGCTAAACTTGAGGTAGATTCAGCTTGACTGCCGTAGAATTGCTACTCCTCCGGGTTCTGAAGGACCAGAGATAGTAGCTCAGCGAGTTACTGTGCTACTCAACAGACCATCCAGCCACGGGTGAAAACCAACGAGAACGATACACCCATTGCGAGAACGAGATTGCCCTTGGTGCCTTGGCTCCTGGTGTCAGATTCTGTACCTGCTTTGAAAAGTAGCCCTTCCAATCAGCTTGCACATAAAGGATACCAGAGCTCTTGTACAAGCTCAGTGACTTGACATCAGCCCTTGGCAAATTCTTATCATGAGAGCTGACTGGCTTGAATCCCTGCATGAATGGCTGTTTCAACACTTCTTCCCCGTGCAGAAATGAGGCCGAAGTCAAATTGAAGAGATGGAGGTCCAGATCTGTAGATATAAGGAGATGTCTTTGGCCAGGCACAGGTGTGATATCATGTCCTCCGTCCCACCATGAATCGTCCCATTCCTCAGTGAGCATTTTAGGGGGGCCAATGGGTTCAACTTGAGAAGGCTTTTGAGAGAACGAACCATCCCTATACTCATACCTATTCAGCTGAGCCGTCGAGGGACATTTCCCGTGAGGAGGTATATCATTCCCGACAGCCCAAAGACTTTGGGTAGCTTGGTCCCATGCAAGACTGTGCACTGCAGGAAGACCACCGAGCTCTTGGAGAAAGCCTGGATATGGGTCCGATGTACCCAAGGATGTGTTGACGATCTTGATGTTTCCTGTTGTTTCATAGGAAGTTGTTGCTATGGCGAGCTTCCCATCGGGCAGAGGCTCAATGCCGTGGGTTCCTCCCAGACCGAATTTATCCAAGCACATGCCGAAGGTTATAGCCTTGTCTTTGGATTTGTCTTCGGGATAATGGTTGATGACAACGACTGCATAAGCAAAGACTGCCACGACGCTTTTACCGTGGTTCGCCCACTTGACGTCTGTCACGGAGCCTCCGTCTTGCAGGCACTCATTGAGCTTCTTTGGTATGTCTTGGTTAACGAAATCAACCTTCGTCCAGTTCCACGATGTGTTGCCAGAAGTATCGTGGATTGTGATTCGAGCAGGATCGTATTGACCTGTGATAATCTCAGGAGAAGCCTCTTGAGGGTGAAGGATATGCTGGATTCCATCGGTGCTTCCATTGGCAAGGACGAGATTGGCAGCGAGTATAATAAAGAATGCAATCTGAAGATGCCACCCGAAAGACACGGGACACATAGCCATAGTTACTTTGGAGTAAACAAAACTTGGTAATGTTAGATGAAAACTTGATACACCGAATTGGGGAAGATGGTGACTAGAAAGAATAGCAATGGATCAATGCTAAGGTCTGTTGACATCAAGTACTGGAGGAAAGCTGGAGGGGGAGCTACGTAATGATAATGCGGCGCGATGATGTTGCCAGCTGAAACAAGTATATGAACGAGACACGGCACAAACAATGCGCAAACCATGTCACTCAAGACACGGATCAAATATGCATGTGTGTCATGAAGCTCGACCAGGACTCGCTGGCGAATCGTTCCAGTTTGGGCTTATGTAGCGGCATAAACTTTGGTCAGAAATATGAAAGATCAGCCCGCGGCATCACACACAAAATCATATGTGAAATGTGACAAAACAGGGGCACTAGAAATATGTCTCGGCTCTCTGGCTTCCCGGAAGCCAATGGCGTTATGCGTGGCATATCAATTCCCAAAACTGGACAGATCCAAGACACGGCCTGAGCCGAAAGTTAGAATTTCACAGTCAATGGGTCGAGTGCTGAAATCGCTCATATTTTGTGTCTTCGTATAGGTGTTGACCTGCAAAGATCATCGTTTTTCAGCTCAGCCCTTTCAGCCACTTGACTCCGAGCGGCATCACAGATCTGCCGAAATAGGTGGCATGCAGGTCGATTCAGTACAGATCAACACGGCATGAATTTAGCGCGTATTGACTCAAGCCAATAGAAAGTCAACGGCCGACGCTCCGTGACCCGCTGGACACTTCGATATGACAGCTTGAACCGGGCCGTGCCGAGTTGTGAACGGAGTTCTACTGATAGTTAGCGGCGATGATCAATCGCTGGTACTGTCTGAATGCATTTCAGCTTCTGACGCGAGGTGTGCTCCTCGCATTCTAGCTTCTGTCAATTGTGACTTCTTTGAGGGATCAGGATGATCTTTTAGTTGTCCAGGATACTGGTCGATCTGCGGGCCGGTATGACTCTGCGGCAGGTCTATAATGGCTCATGTGACGAGAATAGTGACCAACTATGCAAGAAATTGGACCGCACACAATCATTGAGCAAAGACAAGTGCGTCCTGTAGCCTCTTCATGAGATCTGCATTTCCGTCGGAGCTTAGGTGATCAAAGATGAGAGGAAGGCATACCCAGTTGTCCGACTTCAACCAAGACACGTAAAACTCTGGGACATGCTCCTTAGATGACTATTTTAAGGTGGTTTACTATCATGTCTATTCTCGAGTAACCTAGATGAAATATACATCCAGTGGTCTGAAGCATATCGCGAAGTTATAACCGGCTTGCCGCTGCTAGCCGATATCATGCGCGTAGGAGCAATGGGAATCTCCCCTGTAGTGATGACAGTATGACCATAATCATTAGGATTGGGTAGGTTTGTCAGCAGTCTGCGCCCTAGGTTCGTCCGAATCTCCACCCGAAAGGTAGAGAAACCGTCAGATGTATGGCTTATCGTAGAGATATCAGTGCGAAGTCGGAGGTTTCGTCCGAAGAAGGATTCCGTTATTATCGACTCATACGTATATAACCTCAGCATAAGCTGATTATAATGCTTAACATTATCTTCACTCGCACCCAAGACTTGAAATGGATTGTAAAGACCAGAAGCCAGTCATACTTTTAGTTCACGGCGCTTGGCACCGACCTTTCCACTACCGTCTCCTTATCCAAGCTTTCCAGCAACAAGGCTTCACTGTCCTTGCACCGCCGCTTGCAAGCTCCGGCTACGATGATTCGGTCGATGGTAAGACATACCACGATGACGTAAAGAGGATCCACGACGCCGTTTTACCTTACATCGATAGTGGGAGGAAAGCAATCGGTATTGGTCATAGCTATGGAGCTCTCCCTCTTACAGTGGCGATTGAAGGTCAGAGTATCGCAGAAAGGGAGCAAATAGACCTTGCTGGAGGCTTCGGCTCTGTAATTTATGTGGCTCCAACTCCTGTCCTACACAAAGGCATTTCCATGTATGAAGCTGCAGGCGAGCATCGCAAGACCCCATTCTTTCATGATATATCAGTACGCCCATACCCGACTCAGCATCCGGTTCAACGAACTAATTGGATATTAGGACACACGTATGCCACTGAAGCTGAACAGGGTCAAAGAAGCATTCCTCTCAGATATTGAGCAGAGCATCTCGGATGAGATCATCCCTACACTTTGCCATCAAAGCAAAGCTCCCTTCGAAGTTCCTATCGTTTGTACCCCGGCAGACTTGAAAATTCCCAAGATCATGGTAATCTGCAAGAATGATCCTGTCTTCGGCAGGGAGATGCTCTTGGGAGTGGCCCAGAACTGGGGCGCCGACACTTTGGAGATCGAATCTGGACATAGTCCGCATCTGGTGGAGGAGCACAGAAAGTGGCTCGTGGAGCTTGTGTCGCAGGAGGCCAGGGAGATGTGAAGCAACGATCAAAGTTGCTAGTGTTTAGAGATAGCATGAAAGATACGGTCTAGTTAAAATACAAGACTTAAGTTTAATGTAATAAAATAAATTCTATAAAAGGTATCTTAAACCTTTTTATCACTTAGGCTTAAGTACCCGAGTTTTGGTTCCTCCCCTAAGCAGCTTATTCCAGATTTACATCCGACGTCAACGACAGAAGGAAGCCCCGGATTCTATCTCGCCAAGATACCGGCCTCGGTCAGCATGATCTCATATCTTATGATTCCGACCTTCGGATGAGTCTGACAAAGACCTAACGTTGAAATCTGACTCATATTATTGCTTACCCACGTGATATCCCTACCAAGCTACAGCAGTCCTTCAACAATTCACAGAAAAGTGACGATGAGTTTTAATATTCGCTGCAATAATCAATCATGGCGACCACTTCCTCCGGCAAAGCTATTCCCAGAATCGAGGACCTCATCTCATCATACTCGATCCTCACCTCCCTAGCTCCATGGCTCTCAACCCTTGACCTCTATCATCTCAGTCTGACAAGCAAGTCAGCTTACGAGTATATCCAATCGTCACCGGTGATCTTCAAGTCACTCAGTCGTCAGTGCCTCTGCGATGGTCGCGGTCTCGCTGCACGTCAAGCCTATGCAAGTCCCTATCACCGAAACCGCATGGCGGGTCAATCAACGCTGAGCCCTCATCTCACGGGTGATGAAGAGATCGAAGTACGATTATACCACACCAAGTGTGATGAGACGGGTGCCTTGCCATGTTTGAAATGCGGTATCAACGTCTGTGAAGAATGCCGTTGTTATCCCCGTGCAGCTCCGCCAAGTGCATATCCGAATCGCCGACCGCACTTGAGAGGAAGTTATGAGCTTGATAACATTATCTGTTTGTGTGAGGATTGTGACGCGAAAACTGAGAAAGAAGTCGTAGGGAAGTTTTTGAACGAAAGATGTGATTGCGATGTCTATACGAGATGGATCTGCGTCAGATGTGAAGAGGAAGAGCGCAAGACGTCGCGGAAGTATTTTGCGGAACGAACAGAGATGGAGTGGAATTGGATTGTGAGGGAGGATATGGACTACGGAGATGATTTCGAGCCCTCAAAGACGCTTCATGATCATGCGTTTGAACGAGCAGTATGAATCCCGACCAGCAACGTTGACAGGTAGGCTAACGAGTTGATCCAGTTTTGGTGTACTTGCGGCAAGACAGTTTCGCACAGTACAGTACCGCGTTGTATGTGGTGCAAAAGGCGTCATCTACCAGAAAGTCAATGGTACCAGGAACGTCAGGATATTGGCTCGAAGCATCCTTTCTTCGATAACGTAAGTTTTCAACCCCAAGCCGTACCGGCGTATCCTTTCTTACCCTTCCGGGCAGGATCCTGATTATCCTCGATGGGTAAGTGATGACGATAACAAGTATCCGACTCCCTATCCAAGGTTAGGCTACCTTCGTGCAGGGGAAGATGGAAGAGACTCGAATCTTGTCACTGGGTTAGCAGGGTAACCGTTGTTTCTGGATGGCGGTTGGCCCGGTAAATGGTTACCTGAAACAGTCAATTGAACATCCTCCGTATTTGCTTGCTTTAAATAAATTATTGTACATCATCTGTGTCCTTCCAGCTCTGTGAACAGATTTCTCCCAAATTTGTCCTCAAGAAACTCCCTCACTTCGTACGATGACGTCTCTATCACCTCCAACGACTCCTTACGGCTTTTACGCCTGTTATATCCTCCAGGCTTGAGAATGGCAAGACCATCAAGGCTCGTCACGCGCGATAACGCAACATACTTCAAAGCCTGTTCCCATGCTTGCGAAAGGTCAGTCATGACGTGAGTCAGCGTCATGCCCTGAGACTTGTGAATACTGACAGCCCACGCCAACACCAGCGGGAGTTGTGTCCTGTACAGCACAGAGTAAGGCTCCGTTGCTCCGAGCGTGTTGACCATACACCATGGATATATCGTGCGTGTAATACCGTTGTTGAACCGAACGATCGGCCATTGCCTAATACGGCGCTTCTCTGCGTACTTTCTGATCTTCCTCGCCCGCCAGTGGGGTACCAGTAAGAACATCTATATTCGAGGTACTGGCCTTCTTGGAGTTTGGGAGTTTGTCAGGGTGATAGGGTTCCCACCCGACGACGATGCCTTGGCTTCCGTTGACTAGGCCTTTCTCTGTATCGAGGTTGATCTTGAGCATGACCAGTGCGTTGACTTTCATCTCGACATAGGCATCCAATGGACTGTCTTTGCACTGCTCTAGAGTCATATCCACAGGCGGGAAATCGGAATATCTGTCATTTGTTGGTTGATTGTAATGTGCGAGTTCCGTATGTTGTGGTCTCCAATCGAAGCCGTCGATGGCTTTATAGACAGTACTTCTTCCAGGCAGAGAAGCGAAACAATTTCGATTCTCTTCCTGCACGGATCTCTTGTAGGCAAAAAGCTTTGTCACGTTCTGAAAATTCGGATCGTCGGGATTTTGCCTGAGCAGCATTTTCTCTTCTGCTTTAGAAAATGGTATGCCAAGTCGACACTTCTGAAGCATTCTCACAAAAGATTGATCCGACTGACGATGAATCTCTTTCAGATGAACATGAGTGAAACTGGCTTCTTCCCAGGCATCGCTCCTGAAGGCCCACTAATCCTTGACATAAAATGGACCACAGGGTCTACTCGAGTTACAGTTCCACTCAGTTGGGTTCCGTTTAGCATCCGCAATTGTACGTGAGCCACAATACATGCAGTTTTCAAAAGGCTTGACTGGAGGTAACTGACAGAAATCGCCAGTGACAAGAAGTTGAATGCCGCCGAATGCTGGAGCGTTGGGGCTGTAGTCGTTGTGTTGGAATGACCAGCATCGTGCACTCTTGAGGCATTCGTTCATGCGCTGGAAATGATGGTTTTCAAACATACTGATCTCATCAATGATAAGAACATCCGTCTCCTCCATGCGCTTCTTGACAGTTGGGCGAAATTGTGCATCACTTTTGAGCTTACTCACGGGGAGCTTCATAGCGTCAGTGATCCTACCCATGTAGGACCAGGTAGTCACGCCATTGACTCCGAGGGCGGCTCGACCAGTAGGCGCGGTGATGTGAACGACTTTGCCCTGCGCTCGAAGCTTCTTGACTGCTGCTTTCAGAACTGCGGACTTGCCGCATCCCGCTGAGCCAGTGAAGAAGACATTCCTTCCTGACATGATGAGATCGAGAAGGTCTTCTTCACTGGCTCAGGCTCCAGGTCAACCTCAGGCTCCAGGTCAGCCTCGGACTCCGAGTCAACGGCCAGGAAGTCGTCCGCATCATCGACGGGACCACTGGTCGAAGGATAAGACGGAAGTACGGGGATAGGCTGTGGCTGCTGTGGAATCCGTTGTGGGATTGGCTGTGTCCTTGGCTGTAGCATATGCGGTAGGATCTGCTGTAGAACCTGCTGTAGGATCCGCTGTGGGTTCTGCTCCCGTGGAGATTGCTGTAGGGCCTGCAGGAGAGCCTGCCGTACGATCGGCTCTGGGATCAGCTCCCGTGGAAATTGCTGTAAGATCTGCTGTAGGGCCTGGTCTGGGGAGAACTGCGGTGGAAACTGCCGTGGTATCTGCTGTGACCTTTGCTGTAGGATCTGCTGTGGGCACGGCTTGATGAGTTGGCTTTGGGCGCCTCATCTTCGTCGGATGAGGAGATGCTAATGTAGGAAGACGATCTCTGAACACGCTTGGGTCTGCTGGTAGATTTCGGTGCTTGCGCATTGGTGTCGAGTTTCCTCTTGAGAGGTGCTCTAGGGGAGTCCTTCTGGGGGAAGGAGCTTGGGGCAGGACCTCTCATTCTCGGCACAGTGAGGGTACTAGTAGTAATTGGCTGGGATAGGAATGGATGAGGTAACTGTATTCGATGTCAATGCATGTTTGCGGTGAACGGAAGACTAGGGGAACCCACAAGGCACGTAGATACGCGTGAGGCACAGTGATCGGATCGATCGCGTAGATGAAGCTTTGGGATGGAAGAGAGCGGGGAGCAGGGACGCGACCGCTTTATTACGTGCCAAACTCTAAACGCGTGGTGTTGTCACGCACGTGGCTTAATCTATCGATTGATAACCCCCTTGCCTTCCGGAACAGCCCCGACCCGAATATCCTGGAATCCTGGATTATTTTGGGCAATTGTATAGGTAGCTGATATACTGCCTGGCTAACTTTACAAGACTGCTTTTTGAGTTGACAGACCTAACAGTAAATGCTCACTTCACGCGGCTAGCACGAATATCCTCAATGCGTAAGCGACAAGACCAACGGATCTATAATTCCTTACCCAAGCCTTGGCTACTATCGCGCGATAGAAGCGACAAGGACTTGTGCGTGTATAGTTCTCGGAGCTTGAAGTTAATAGTTTGGTTTTAAGAATAATCAGATCATTACGAGTATCTTTTTGTCATGAGGAATACTTCTCATGGCATCAGATATGTCTGGCCATTTGGACTACCACGAATACATGATCGGCCAATTCATTCTGTAGCTCAATAACTACGAAAAGAGAGCATCTAATGCCACTTGATTTCTTTCACATGCAGTTATTATGAAAAGCCCGTACAACATCATCCCATACCACAAGTCTATATCCCTCTAAGATTCTTCATGTTCCTCATCCTCTAGCTGTTTAAACATCTCGGTACCAAAAGTGTCAGCAAGAAACTGGCGAACCTCATGATTCCCTCCCTCCCCCACGGTGAGTCCCAACGCACCACCTTCAACTTTCAGGCCGCGGAGACTTGTCGCTCTCGACAGCGCAACATATACTTGCCCCTCAGCAAAAGCCTCAGTTAGATTCACAATAACGCGCTCAAGACTCATTCCCTGGCTCTTATGGACGGTGATAGCCCAGCCAGGTATAAGAGGAATCTGTGTTCGGTGTAGAAAAGAGTAAGGCTCCTTCATACCGACTGTGGTCAGCATACACCAGGGATAGATTGTCCGAATCTGTCCATTGTTGAAACGCACAACTGGCCAGAACTGATCTTTAGCGTCGGGGTCGTTCTGTTGGTGCTGTTCAGTAAACTTTTTAACGTAAGCTTCTCTGACACTGGAGTGTTCCCCTCCGAGTTTTGGCAACACGTTAATGTCGATTTTCTCCCAGCCGCAAATAACACCTTGACTTCCATTGGCGAGTCCTGCTCTGATGTCGAGATTGACTTGTAGCATCACCTGCATTGTTTCCTTGAGTTTCACGACTGCTTCGAATGGGTGGTCTTCGTGGACCTTCAAAGTCGAATTCTCTAGCTGTTCGAAGTAACGCGAAAACTCGTCTTTATGTCGGTAGTTTTTGCAATCGAAGCCATCAAGTACGCTATACTCTCTTTCCGGATAGTTCGTAATTGCTTTGCGTTTCTCGTCATTGATAGGAATGATCTCGTTTCTGGTACAGAGAAGCTGTGGCGCATTATCAACCTCACAATCGTGATGCATGAGAAGGTGGATGTCATTCTCAGTGAAGGGAACACCAAGCCTGCATTTCTCCAACATCCTGATGAAAGTAAGATCGTTTTGACGATGGATTTCTCTCAAATTGAAAGAGGCGAAGTTGGCCTCAGCCCAAGCAGCGCTTCTGAAAGCCCACTTGTCCTCATCAACCCAGGGTCCATGGTCTCTGGAATTGGGACATCTGTATATACCAGTAACTTTGTTGGGTCTGAGCTCGCCACCACATGTATAGCAGTACTCAAAAGCGTTCACGGGGGGAAGCTGGCAAAAGTCTCCCGTAACGATGAGTTGCAGTCCACCAAATGGTCGCGCACCTTGTTCTTGTCCCCATCTGGCGTATTTCATCCAGATATTCATGCGATTCAAGAAGTCGCTGCTGACCATGCTGATCTCATCGATAATGAGCACATCTGTCTTTCCGTGACGCTGACGAGTCTTCCCCTTTCTTTTGGCAATGCCCTTGAGGTGGTCTATACCTTTTTTGAACATATCAGGCGCCCAGCTCATATAAGAAAAGGTAGTCATGCCGCCGACATGCACAGCTGCGCGACCCGTAGGTGCACAGACAGCGACTTGCTTGCCCATTGCTTTCAGCTTATCAATGGCAGCTCTGAGAAGGTAAGATTTACCGCAGCCAGCTGAGCCAGTGATGAAGACATTGCCGCCGCGCAGGATGGTATCAAGGACGACTTGTTGTTCAGCAGAAAGCGTTGGTCCAGGGTCTACAGGCTGATCGTTGGACGGTGCCATTCCGTCATTTTGATGTACATCTTTGCGGCCGCCGGATGAGATGCTGAGGAACGATGTTTCGCGTTGAGTCCGTTTGGGTGAAGGAGGAAGCGATTGTGATTGATTGTCGTTATTGCTTATCAGAGCAGCATCACTGGCCTTTCTCTTAGTCCCCTCCTGCGGCGGAGTAGGAGGGTAAGTAGGCGGGACCTCTCATTTTGGGCATGGGTCGCGCTGATGAACGAGATACGTATTTAGCATATGATGTCAGTGCGTGCTTGTAGCGAGCCCACATCACGCGCGTAGGGTACTCGATCGCGTTGGTGAAAGGTTGGATGGCGGGAGGGGACGCGCCTGATTTATCGAGGGGCCAAACTCAAAAACGCGGAAGTGACATGTGGCACGTGACCAAGCGTATCTGACGCAATCAAGCCTCCTCTTGTCCTCTCCCATTCGCGATTTTTTGGAGTTTTGCTTTTTCTGGTGCAAACGCGTCATCTGCTGGAATCTTCCGTCGATCACAGCGGAATTTGGCGCGGCTCCAGTTCGAGACTCGTCGCATCGATTCTTGATGCTTAATGCCGATACAAGGGTTTACCCTCCCTCAGTGGGGCAGCCCACTGTGGCTTTAGTGGCTCTAGGGGGTCGCACGCCTGGCACGGTAATACAGTGTTAAAACTTAAAATAGTCCATTATGATGGGTAGCTAGCTCAACCGTTACAAAACGTTGCCCCATACAAACTCAACAGCAATATTCAGCATCGCCGCCGTCTTATCGCTCCCCATCTCCCAATTCTGCAACCTTTGTGCTTCAACCGGATCTCCCGCGTTTGCTTTTGCTTCAACAAGCTCACCCAGTGTCACAAACGGACAGCTCATATCATAGAAAGCCTTCTCCGTCTGCCATTCCTCGAGACTTCTCGCTTCCCACAATAACTTGCTCGACGGGAGAGGAAGGCTGCGCATGTCGCTGCAGATGCTACATTTCTTGCCATTCTCAATGGTGATTACACAGCCTATGATCAGCCAGAGACATGACATTCGGCGGCGCGATTCTGCGAATATCCAGTCTTGCCATGTCAAGCTTGGTTCAGAGAGCTCCGAGGTTGAATAGTTACCGGCGAGTTCCAGGAACCGGAATCCGATAAGCTGGTGATGTTTAGCTGGTTGTTTTTGGTAAGCACTTTCCAATACTAACCTCTGCTGTTTCGAATAACCTCGAGGTCCGCCCATTGCTTCCTGAGTCGGATTCAGTCATCGACATCATCATGTATATAATCATAACCTGCATGCACAAATGCAAGTCCCGGGGCGAGAATTCATACAACTGGACTTGGGTCAGTCAATTCCGCTAGCGGTCATGGCCTACCTACCTACCTTTTCACGAAATCGCTCCTCCTCCGCAGCCACCATCCTCCACAGAAACGGTTCAGTTTCTGGCGTTCGAGATGCGAAGAGCTGCGAAATACTCATGGAATTACCCAGAGTCTCAGGGAGAGTTTTCTCATGCCAATGTGGATGGATGAATGGCGGAAATGTTTGTCGGCGGAGCATCATTTGCGGATAAGCGTAGAGCATCTGCATTATCACGCGTGATGCGTGCTGTAGGCTTGACAGACGATTCGATACGCGCGTTAAATCGCCTTTGGAGCTAAGGGATCTTAGTGGCGATTGGATTTGAGTATTGTTAGTTACGCTGAGTGGAAACGTGTCTAGAAAAGTCGGCATGAATTCGGAAGTGTCGGTGGCCAAAGTATCTAGCGTCGAGGGGAAGCCACTTGCTAACTCGCCCAGCTCAAAGGAAGCAACCGAGGGCTCACACGGGATGAGGTCATCGACAGCATCCAGCTCAATACTAGAGCGAGCATTGAGGTCCTGGCGGTGCCCAATCGACGCGGCAGTCCCGGTGCAGATTGATCGGCCATACGCGCATCGGAGATCCTTCTTCGTGCATCTCGAACAGGGCTGACCAAAGTCGCATTTCGTCTTGGCTATTCTACAGGAAGCGCAGGACTTTGGCCGTCCTTTACGTTGAGTCTGAGCGCGTCGGCAATAATTCACGTGTCGCTTGTATTGATGCTCTAGCACTGGTCAGCGACTGGCGGGGAATGCTTGGGGCGGATATACCTTCAGTGAAAGCCTTGTCACATAACTGACACGTTTGAAAGAACAGAGGCTCTGACATTATTTCCATTGTAATTAATACGAATATTGGTGAGTTAGGATGGCATGGGGGAGAATGCAGGTGCAGGTTGGTAAGCAGAAAAGGTCTTCGGATTTAAGGCTAAATTCCTGTGGCTAGGACCCACGTATGGATCCAATTCCGCCGGAAACACTATCCGTAAACTATCATCATATGATACAATTGCTGTCTACAGAGGAAGCTCTTCGCTGAGATTACTAAAGGTTCTGGTAGGTCCATCCTCCCCGATAGTCGCCATTTGCACGATCCTTTCAGCGCCAACTTCAGGAGTCGTTCCGTACTCATGATAACCCGACAAGCCCGTCTTCACCAACCCTGGACAAACAGAATTGACCTTTCCACCCACATCATGCAACTCCCGAGCAAAGTTGATCATGAGCATATTAACAGCTGCCTTGCTCGCGTCATAGGCTTTGTAGTCAATGTTGTAGTAGATTGTCGATTCATCAGTGGCCTTGGTGAGACTGCCCATGACGCTTGAGACAAAGACAATGCGCGGTGGAGCATTCTTTGCTTTGCGAAGAAGAGGAAGGAGGTTAACCGTTAGACAACCGGTTCCTACTACGTTTGTTGTGAATGTCTTGGAGAAAAGATCCCAGGTTGAAAGGTCCTTGTACAAATCGAGCAAAACAGCAGCGTTGTTGATGAGAACATCGAGATGTCCGTACTTCTCATCGATATGCTTGACTGCCTTTTCGATGGACTCAGGGGATGTGAGATCAAGCTCTGCGACTGAGGCTTGATGGCCGTTTTTGCGAAGATCAGAGGCGATTTCTTCGCCGGCTTTGGTGTTTCGAACGCCGAGGAGGACATGGTAGTTATGCTTGATGGCAAGTTCTTTTGCAACTGCAAGGCCGATGCCTTGAGTTGATCCAGTGACAAGAGCGAGAGTTTGAGACATGATAGGCAAGTTGAACTGTAAGAAGACTGTGTGTATTTGATGGTTGATGATGATTTCGGTCAAGAGCTTGAAGATGAAGTCTTTATATAGACAATTTCCGAGGAATATCAATAACCAGTCTTCTTTTAACATTCTCTTTCTATTTGAATCCAACGGCCAGATTGGCCTATAAGGTCCATATTTTACTAGTCTTCTTGGACGCTTCCCCATGGTGTTGTCCAAATGGATCACCTCGCGTCCAATTTCGCCGGCTCGAAAGTGGAGCCGCAACGGCCAATTTGGCCGATGGTACGGAGTAGCTAGAGCCAATCAACCATTGAGGTTCTCTGAATATGAAGCAGTGTTTCATTCTAATATGGGGAACATGGAGTTTATGAAAAGCCTCAAAACATGTGTAAGTATGTTTCATGCTGATGTAAGGTTGAGGTGTTTGACATACGAACTGCCCTTTTACAGGTTTTCGTTGAGTAGAGCCCAATAAAATTTCACGAACCTTCAGACATGCGACCTTTAAGAACCAAAGATATCCACATTAAATATCCCAATTAAAATTCCCTATTGCCATCTCTTATAAGACTTTCACACAGGATGCCCTTATCCTTGATGGCTGCGGTGATGCCGATGTGTACAAGAATGTTTTTATGGAGGTCTGGTATAGGTTATGTAGACTCAAACTCCACGCTTTGGGCTGAAAAGGTCAATGGCTTAGGCGCGATATGTAATGTTAGATCAAACTGTTTCTAGTATCCAGTGAGGAATTCCAAGTTATCCTTGGCTTGAACCATTACTATTAGAACTTCTTCTCGTTTCATGAACCGGAGTCGATCCAGACAGTGTCTCTGTTGTTACTCATTGCCACTTGAGAATATCTACAATGAAATAGCATGGAATCAACAGATAGGATGAGTAAGAGTATGGACATATGATCTGGATAGTCATCTGCTACTCCATAGTACCTAGACTACCTGTGCACTTGACACATCCTTCAATAGTACATAATGTATGCCGAGTCTTGACAGGGTCATGCGAACCCACGTACCATTCTGACCTGAAAAGCCAAGGCGTGGGGAAGCTTGGCCAGTAGTAATATCGAAGCTAAACAGAATTGGCAGGTCACTTGGAGCTGTCCGTTGTGTCATCCGACGATGGTCCCTCGGACGAGGGGATATTCGACAAGTTGGTAGGTCGGTGCAAAGAAACCCGGAACTCTTGTCGCTCGTATGGTGACCTCGATGGACGCTCATCAGTGATTAATTCTCATGTCGGTGAGCGGGAAGGGCGATGGTACTCTTTGGTTCCTATCGCCATGGTACCAAGCAAGGCTGATAGTGAGGCCGCTTCGTATCTGCAAGATACAACATCGTGTCACTGACTCGCAAATAGACGCGTGATGCATTCACTTAACAAGCAATACTACCTTCCATATCAAAAGCGGCATGATATCAATCAGAACATCATAGCACAGCATGTAAAAGGCAGTTCCCATACCCAGGCGATCCTTAATAAATCTCGCAGCTCCCCAACTACCCCTCTTTACCACTGATAACAATCATCTCGTCTGCAAGTCATAAACAGCGGAGTGGTAATTGATTGGTCCACCGTCTCCGCGTTGAGGGTGGTATTGCCGGGAGACATGGCCCAACATGGAAGGTCCCCAGATGTGCAGGGATGTCGTGGTAGATCACACGGATGTCGTTCGTCAAAAAGAACCTGTGCCAAGAAGACGCAGGGGCCGTCATGGCGCTTGCAGAGTGCAGAAATAGCCTGGCGTCTTTATCTTGCAGATCAGATTATATTGCGGTGTAGTGGTCTAGATTATGGACTTCCTTTTGGGGTATGATTGCTCGGATAGTGGTGTTGAGACGGTAGGTAGTGTCTTTTGTTCGCAACCCATTCAATCCCTATGCTAGTATGATCATATCCACGAGTGCACCACTTATTTCTAGCGTCCTAAATGCTCCGAAGATGTGCGAAAAAGGTTTATCATGCTTAACCTTACTCTTAAGCTTGCAATAGCGACTAGTTACTAGTCCCTCGGCGCATACATACCAATCAGGCTATCCACTCCGCACCCTTTCCCCAAAGTGCAAATCTACGATGGTTCGTCCCGAGCCGTTTATTCCCTCGGCTGTTGTTTGTCCGAGAAGACCTTCCTATCTCGCTGCCGCCGAGATATTGCAAAATATGACGTGCTAACCCTTAGCGGGACTGAGAGGCCAGGAACAAGTGACCCCAGATAGCAATGTCGCATGACGGTGGTGTTTGCGAGATAGTGCCTGGACAAAAGACCCTTCTTGCAGCGCTTAGTTCCCAGAATAGGTCAGTGGGTAGTTGTGAGCTTCTAGATATTCGAGGCCAAGATATACAAAAGTCCCGGTTGAATTGGGAAGTTGGATAGAAGCGTATATGACTGGAAGCATAGTATTGTAGATTAGAAGTATATAATAGATCCTTCGAACATGTCTATCTGAACTTCACGAACATCATCAACTCAGCACTTCACTCCAGTGCAACTCATCAAGATGCGTTTCTCCGACACTCTCCTCCTCATCGGCCTCTCCAGCCTGGCTGGTGCTCATCCTAGCAGAAGGGCTCCCAACCCTTCACCGCTGAGCAAGCGTGGCATCGACCTGGAGGCTTTCAAGCTTCCTCCCATGGCCGAGTACGTTCCTCAGGATGAGGTTCCTGATGATGTCAGTGCCAAGGTCGTCACCAAGCGAGCTGATTACACTGAGACCGCCACGGACTTGGTCAAGTCAACTTTCCCCAAGGCTACTTTCCGCATGGTCAACGATCACTATGTTGGAAGCGGGGGAATTGCCCATGTCAACTTCAAGCAGACGGTTAACGGTATTGATATCGACAATGCTGATTTCAACGTCAACGTGGGTATTTCCAAGACATCGGGGAGTTTGGAAGGTGCTGACACGAATCCAGATTGGCGCTAATGGCGAGGTCTTCTCTTACGGAAACAGCTTCTACGACGGCAAGATCCCAGGCCCTCTCACCAAGCGTGACGAGAAGGACCCGGTCGACGCTCTCAAGGACACTGTTGATGTTCTTTCTCTCCCTGTCGAGGCTGAGAAGGCAAAGGCTGAGAAGAAGAGCAAGAACCACTACACCTTCACTGGCACCAAGGGCACCGTCAGCAAGCCCGAGGCTAAGCTGACCTATCTTGTTGATGAGAACAAGGAGCTCAAGCTCACTTGGAGAGTTGAGACTGATATCGTTGACAACTGGCTGTTGACTTATGTCAACGCTGCCAAGACTGATGAGGTTGTCGGTGTTGTTGACTATGTCAACGAGGCTACATACAAGGTCTAGTACGTATTTCCATTGATAAATGATTGGGACAAGACTGACTGTTTTACCATAGCCCCTGGGGTGTCAATGATCCTTCCAAGGGATCTCGCTCGACTGTTTCCAACCCCTGGAACCTTGAGGCTTCCGAGTTCACCTGGCTTAGCGACGGCTCAAACAACTACACGACTACCCGCGGAAACAACGGAGTGAGTCTACAGGTTGAAATGTGATAGAACAAGGCTAACATTATGCCAGATTGCCCAGGTTAACCCAAGCGGAGGCTCCAGCTACTTGAACAACTACCGTCCTGACAGTTCTTCGCTGAAGTTCGAGTATGACTACTCCACGAGCACCACTACTCCCACCACCTACCGCGATGCTTCCATCACCCAGCTTTTCTACACCGCCAACAAGTACCACGATCTTCTTTACCTTCTTGGCTTCACCGAGCAGGCTGGTAACTTCCAGACCAACAACAACGGCCAGGGTGGTGTAGGAAACGACATGGTTATCCTCAACGCCCAGGACGGAAGCGGCACCAACAACGCCAACTTCGCTACTCCCGCTGATGGTCAGCCCGGCCGCATGCGAATGTACCTCTGGACTTACAGCACACCCCAGCGCGACTGCAGTTTCGATGCTGGTGTCGTTATTCACGAGTACACCCACGGTCTCTCCAACCGTCTCACCGGTGGCCCCGCCAACTCAGGCTGTCTTCCCGGTGGCGAATCTGGTGGTATGGGTGAGGGTTGGGGTGATTTCATGGCTACTGCCATCCACACAACATCCAAGGATACCCGCTCGAGCAACAAGGTCATGGGTGACTGGGTGTACAACAACGCAGCCGGTATCCGAGCTTATCCTTACAGCACCAGCCTTACCACCAACCCCTACACTTACAAGAGTGTTAACAGTCTCAGTGGAGTCCATGCTATTGGTACTTACTGGGCTACTGCCTTGTATGAGGTTATGTGGAACCTCATCGACAAGCATGGCAACAGTGATGCCGACGAGCCCAAGTTCACCAACGGCATTCCTACGGACGGTAGATATTTAACAATGCAGCTTGTGGTGACTGGCATGTCGCTGAAAGTATTCCCTAGACCTCTTGGAAATGATATTTTGCTAATACTCTTGATAGGCAACCTTGCAACCCCAACATGGTCCAGGCTCGCGATGCCATCATCGACGCCGACACCGCTCTTACCAAGGGAGCTAACAAGTGTGAGATCTGGAAGGGTTTCGCTAAGCGTGGTCTCGGAACTGGTGCCAAGTATAGTGCTTCCAGCCGCACTGAGAGCTTTGCTCTTCCTTCTGGATGTTAAGCGGAGATGTCGGTGACAGGATGACGAGTGGATGAATGAATGATGGAGATGATGTCTGTGTTTTCTCTGGTATATAGTAGTCGTGTTGTATATAGTAGTTGTGTTGTATATAGTCTCTGTGTTGATGTCGACTTCAATTACAAGTACATGGAACTGACTCTGCTCTCATTGAATGGATCTCTGTCAAGCCCCATCTAGGAAGCAATCAAGATCCGCCACAGCACCGCTATCGCACTGTAAAAATGACTTAGAACTTCCGATGGACGATGGCGACTCATCAGATCATCAGTGTTATTTTAGACATGGAGAGGTGGACGAATGTTTCACTTCCTCGCTACTAGGGAGGCCCATTTTCGTACCATCCAGATTGCGTGCCGACTGACTGGAGGTGGAAAGCTTGCTACACCATGATGTTCAATCAACGGCAAATTATGCAGCACTATTGCAACAGGAGATGAGAGACTTCAGGTTCCATTGAAACAATTTACCTTGAAAGCGACTTTCGGGTCTGTATTGGCCGGATGGTGATTATGACCAGGATTACGACCAGAAAGTGGCAATGAAGGAAAGGTACAGCGAGTTTCTTGGCCTGCCGCTCGACTTCGAGCATAGAAAGAAACGCTCTGACCTTTGCCATCGCGCCTCGCGTCCATGGCCGGCAGATGCGCACGGGATGGGCGCTAAATTCCAAGACGCTTGCAGATCGGGACGACTCGATCAACAATATCCTTATCGAAACCCGATCGTCCAACTTTTTGAAGCACAATTTTGCGGAGGTCGACTACCCCATGTTGAAGCAGCTTGTGGCAGACGTCAGGATGCCACTTTGTCTGGTCGACGAGACCATTTTCCCTCGACCATTTGACCCACAGATGGAAACACTGCATTTTAAATCTGGGTCTCAGAATGACATTGACACTGATGAAGAATGGGATATGGAAGATTTTGTTATAGAAGACGGATTTGAGGGTGCAGATAAACTAAGACTGAAAGTAATGTATAGACTCTTATATACAAGGATTCTTTAAGGAGAACCGACTTATGGCAACTTTATAATGACTTTAGGACTACTTCAGCAAAGCTTTTGTAGAATTTTAGGACAGTTATTATAAATTAAGACAAGCTTAGACGATGAGCCCCCTTTCCACTCATAGTCTGAAGCTGATCGCGACTATCCGTACTGTCATCGTTCTTTATTAAAATAGGCGAGCTGTCTGGGCTTAGAATAAGATCCACTGGCTTCGCATTTCCTGGGGGAATCTTGCAACAGATATGCTTGAACTAACAGCAGTCTGCCACGAGTTTCGTCTGGCGTAGTAGATAGAAAGCCCCTTGAACCATCTGTTGGCTGTTGATGTCGAGGGGCCAGTACTATCGGTTGTAATCTGCGATCTTGGCCAGTGTAATAGGGAGCTGCATGTTTTTGAGAAAGTTGACAGCGAACGGGATTCCCGCAATGCTGTCTGCGCTATGAGTTATTATTTGTCCTGGCTGCTGGATAGGTACTAGAAAGATAGCTCCGATGCTTACTTATCTGATCTGTCCTACGGCGTTGTGGGGAGTGCTGGTGCCTGCAAAGCCGTGCTGAGAGATCTGTCTTTGCCAGTGCTGAGAGCTGCAACAGACGCCAGGCAGATATTAATCTTTGCCCTGTCTGCCAATGTCTAATGGCATTTATCTGCCAGAATCGACAGCAAAGTCAACTGGAATTTTAGCGGTAAGATTAGGCGATGCGTAAACAAACAGGAGATGTTGTTCTGGTTGCTGCTGGATTGTATTTAGCGGCCCACTTTGTCTCAACCCTAAAAACCCGCCTCCTACAACACATCAGTATTTGACTTTGATCGGTCGCCCACCACGCGCAGCTTATTACAATATAGTAAGACTTTATATAAATACTCTACAGACCAAAGCGAAACAGCTGACAGAATTCTTGAAGTTCCGCGGTATCGGTGCGACAGCTGGACCACAGCAGCAAGATTAGACATCGGAGCCAAGCAGCTGGACCCCAGCGCCAACACTTGCGGCGCCAACTTACCCCGTTGTCTTCAACATGGCTGTCAAGTACATCAGCAGCACAAACTTCTTCCAGGCGGAAGTCTTTTCTAGCTGGGGAGCCCAGAAGCGTATCACCACAGAGGCAGATCTCCTTCGCGCTGCAAGTGCGCGGTATCCTCATTACGTCCTGACAATGGCGCCCGACCTGATTCTCTGCCTGATTGCGGCGATCGACTTGAGGTCTGAGGTCTACGGGGAGCCGACTGGACGGGGAATCACCATCATCGGTGACTTCCATGTCTTTCACCACTTGCGGTCGGCGATCGAGCTGGGCGAAACGATCTCTTGGGACAAGGGATCACGAGGCCAGCTCCTCATGCTTGGACGAAGAAGCGATCAGGAGCCACTACCTGTTGATCTGCCTGTTCTCAAGTCAAGCACGGCACAGATGAAACAGCGCGAGAAGGTCCCTGAAGCCGTTCCCGAGCCGCACCCAGCAAACGACATCAACATCGAACATGCACCAAACGATTTCATGCAGCCATACCCTTTCCGACCGACTCTTCAATTTGCACCGACTACGAAGGTGATCACGGCAGAAGAATGGGACCGGCGAAATGCCCATTGGCTTGATAAGCTGATAGACCCGGAAAGCACGAAAGAAGTGTTTGGGTCAACGATCGAGACAGAGGTCACGGAGGAGCTCTTCCCGCTTATCTCCAAGGCCCGACGCAATATTCTCTACCGATGGGCAAAGTCAGAGGACTTTGACCTTGACTTGAGATTACTTACGGCCCCTATCCTCTCCCAGGTTGAGGTGCCTGACAACGCAAGCCAAGGTATCCTTAACGTAGAGACCGACACAGCCCGACGATCAATCCGAGCTATCGAGACCGCCGCTTTAAGCCTGCCAAAGGCTTACCAGAAAACAGCTGCTCTGATCAAGCAGCATACAGACCGACTGTTTGCTTGCCGAGACCAAGAGATGGATAACCAGGCTCTTGTGGCACAAAGCGCAGCCAGTCGGCGAGAGTCTTTGTCTGTCACTTCAGCAGTTACAAACGCCGCTACCGAGACTCTATCTCGGTCCTAGGTCAATCCTACCGAAACAGCTAAAGTTAGAAGTAGAGGCGGTTGAAACAGATATTAAAAACGCCTCAAAGACCCCCAACACAGACAGACCAGCAGCACGGCGGGTCCTGTTTCTTAAGAGTTATTAGCGAATGGACGATGGCAAGATTACATCCTGAAAGGATATAGTAAACTGGGTGACCTGGGTCTGCCATACTGCGAAAGAGACCGGTCAGGAATCTGGGTCTGTCGGAGAGGAGCCTTAGTCTAGGAGAGGATGACTTGTAATCTGCCGAGGAAGAGTTCTAAGCCCGATGAAGAGTGAGGTACATATCGGATTTAGTGACAGATGGACTATTCTTTAGGTGTCCGAAGCAGCAAATTAGGGCGGACAGATAAAGGATGGTAAGCTTTTGGCAATGATTCATGATCTGGGATACTGGAAGAGGTTAGTTATATCAGTAGCTACACAATAATGCAGACCGACATTTCTATCATATCGTCTTTCTGATTAAGTCTGTGCCTTCTTTAAGTTTATGTCAGGTTTCAGCTTATAATTTCTGTCTGCTAGGCTACTTCTAAGATATAAAAGTCTTACCTATGCATCTGGTAAACTTGGTAGTCTAACGGATATAGTGATCGTGGCATATGTATCGCTTGAATTTTAAGATCAGTGGCTTCTATTCTGTCAAAACACGGGGCAGATCAGTAAACGAGCTGTTAAGACTTGACGCTGATGACTATCATTGTGTCAGGACAGGCCAATCGATCAAGTCGAACTTGACACGCCTGTCAACTCTCTTAGCAAACTGGGAGCTTTGTCTTTATTACCATAGGCATCCGGAGCGTCAGTCTTCCTGTGGCCAATAATTCCTTCAAAGCTGTTATCCAACTCATGCACTTCTTTATGAGAGTTGAGCTTCGCGGTATACTCTACAGCCTTCTGGCCACCTGCTCCAGCCGTCCTTTAATCTACCTTCTTTCTTCCGGCATGAAACCTGGGTGTGGTTATGAAAGAAAGGTAGGTCACCTGTAGCAGAGATTTAAGTTATTAGAGGTTAGGTGCGTGGTATAACCTCATGCGATGCGCGTGATGTAACTTGTAAGCCAGTCCTTGACTACAGTTCACTGTCACAAGATACAAGCACCATTCAAGCACATTCCAATCATGGGATCAGACTATAGCAGCGAGCAAGCTTTGGCAAGTCAAGAAATTTCTAACAATTAAGCCATTTATTCACTAATGTGCCTTTGAGTGCTATAAATATGGTACTGCAATCATATGACCTCTCCTTGGCATGGCTTCGCCAGACACCAACCAAATTCCGCAGCCGGCAGCTTCAGGAAAGCGCAGACACGCTGCATCTAATGCATCCAGGGCTATCTCGGCTTTAATAGCCGATCCATTTAATGATGAGGCGCCAGATCCTACCCCTGTCACTCCTCCAAGCAACAGGCGCATAGCACAAGACGAATCCCCGTACACCAATAACTCCTCCTTGTCCAGTCGCATACCTACCCGCAGGCAGGGGGGCAAAAAAAAACTGCACCTTAATATAAGATATCAAAATAAACTTAGCAAAGAGTCCCCTAAGTGTAGGCCAAACGTATCTAATATTTTCATCGCTAAGGGTCAAGGTTCTAAGTTTTCTTTCCTCCGCTAGCCTACTAAATCCAACTACCCACGCAAGGCTTTCCAACCTTGAGATCAGGCCATGAAAGTGATCAATTATGATGAGTCCACAGATTTTAATAATGAAGTCATTTATTCACTAATGTGCTTTTAAGCGCTATAAATATGGTACTGCAATTATATGGCCTCTCCTTCGCCATTCCTTCAACCCCCTCATCTAACTGTTCGCATTGAAAGCGCAGTAGTCATAATTATCAACCTTGTTTCCTGCCCATGCTGGGAAGGCAACCGCCTTTCCAGAGCCACCAAAGACAGCAAAAGTCGCAATAAAGACCATGACCTGAGTACCACCATCAAGAGCGGCAGAGATCAGGTAGTTCCACTTGACGAACCACTCAGGGCGGTATCGTCGGAGGTAGAACTGACCAAAGGCACCGAGGATGAAGTAGCTGGTGACGGAAGCGTTGAGTCCTACGAAAAGGTAACCGAGGTACCAGAGGATGATGGGGATGTTGAGGTAAGAGAAGATTCGGATGTGAGGGAAGAATTTGTGGGCGATGTAGAAGGGGAGAGGAGCGGCGAAGCCGATGAGGTAGGCGATGGTGACCCATTCGTAGCGGGCGCCGATAGAGAACATCTTGGGGGCGATGGACCAGGCGATGGCAAGGGTGTTGAACTGCTGGACTTGGGCACCACTCCAGACGTTGGTACCTTCGGCTGACATGAGGATGGTAGCCTGGTTGTCGACGATGCTATATCGAGTTAGCTTCATGTACCGAAATCCATGGTTCGTAGACTCTTACCTGATCATCATGACATAGTTGAGAAGGGCACCCATAATGCAACCAATAACCTGGGTAGTGAAAGTAGCCTTGGGAGAGAGCTTGTTCTGCTGGGCCAGCTTCAGGTCACGAAGGAGGAGGGTGCCCTGAGAGAAAGCGTTATAGGTGTACGAAGTAAAGTACATGTTGGCTAAGATGGTCAGTATTGTAGGCGATGCAAATGGTGGGGTTACTTACCAAGAGGGCGACCGGGGAACATGTAGCCAGCCAACATCTGGAAGATGGGCTGAAGGTTGAAACCGAAACCAGTGATGGCGTATTGAGCGCCAAAGAAGACCATTATGACTACAAGGAAGAGGATAGCCAAGATGAAACCCCACCACGGGAGAGTCGACTTCATGGCATACAAGCAAGCCAATCCAATGACGACACTGGCGAGAAGGATGACGAAGTACCAACTGTTGGGAACCTCATCGTAGTCGAGCATGAGCTTGTAATGAGGATCGATGGTGGGGTCGTCGCGAAGCTTTTGCTTCTCTTCCTCACTGCGGGTACCGGTCTGCTGCCAGAACTTGTATGTTTGAGGACGGAGAAGCTGCTTCAACTTGGCGAGTGTGATCCAGTTCCATCCCAGGCTGACCTCAGCATAGTTCCAGAGAAGCATGTGCACGATTGTGGCGGTAAGACCAGCATTGGAGGTGATTAGATAGTTGATGTAGGTAGCCGTCAAGTAAGGAAGACCCTGCTGGTCAACGAGATCGTTGTTGACGGTGAAATCGGGGTTCATGATGGAAGTCTCGTTGTAAGGGATATGAGTTGTAGTGTTGGAAGCTCCATCGTAAAGGAGCTGGGCCATGAAGGGAAAGTCCTTTGCGCGCCAGTAGTTTCCATAGTAGAGGCCCATAGACAAAGCGATACCACCGATGTAGCCAAGATAACTGTTGAAGAGTGTCTGAAGGGGCATCCAGAGGGGTGAGCCGAAGCCAGCGATGTAGTTCCAATCGAAGCAGATGCTCAGGAAGCCCATTCCCTCGTTACCCTGAGAGCCACCAAAGAGGTTTGTGAAGACGGGGTTGTGGCGGTCGGCGAGGCAGAAAACAGAGACAGCAGAAAGGAGAGGGAAGATGTACTACTATTGTCAGCATGACTTGGTGAGCTTGCGTCGTCAGTGCACTTACCTCGGGGAACCACTCCCAGCAGAAGATGGCAACAAAGACAATCCAGAAGACCTGGAATCTCTTCCTGGTCTCTGACTTGGGCTTATGCAGAGTCTCCATGACAGTCGTGATGGGAAGGTTGGCAGGGTACAGCATCTTGGTGGGGTAAAGCAGAACACTCCTCATCATACCAGCGACACCATATCCGATGAGCTGAGACGACAGGGTGATGAAGATACCGGCTGCCACGGAGGGGTATCCGCCATACCAGAGCTTCTGGACAGTCAGGGCCTCGGTAGACAAGGCTGAGACTGAAGCGGCTGATGCCATGAGGACGGCGGCGGTATGTTCCTTTCGGTTCCAGGGGCCAGGGTTGAGAAGACGGCCGATGCGACCCCAGCGTGGGATGATGTGCGCGAGACCGGTACCGAGCGTTTCAGCGAGGACGGTCAAGAACATGACGGAGACGTAGACGACTTGGGGCTTGAAGTACATGATTTCCTGGAGGACAGCACCAAAGGCCGACAGTCCAATACCTATCACCCATCAGCACATTACATCTTAAGAGTAAGTGAGGTAGTATACTAACCAACGGCAAACATGCGAATCGTCCATGGGTTCATGGTAGGGTCATCATCGACCTGAATAACATGTGTGACGATATCCTCAGCAGTCTCAAGAGGCTGCTTCACCTTGTCAGACGACATGATCTCGATATCATGCATATTCTTGTCATCCTGAGGAACACCCCTCTTCTCATCAGCAGGATAGATATCCGCCTTGGAAGAAGGGCTCTCCGGTTTGGTCTCCTTCTCAGAGATAGTCATTGCAGCAGTGACAAAACAATTAAAACATAAGCATGGAGAAGGAAGGATGTCGATGAAACCTCAGTCTTGGCAGGGCGATGCAACATGTTTTGTACTCCATCATCTAAAACACCAAAGATGATCATCGCCAGTACTACAATACAAAAGTCGTGCTAGACCATCAAAGGCATTCCGGGTTTTCGGCACGCTATCGTACTGGATAGGACGGCGATACCCAACACAATGGCACAGGAACTTTTTGCAAAAGGACCCAACCTGCCAAAAGTTCCTGTCTTGTTCCCGATGTTATTTGCGGTTGGCCACAGGCCGGGCTCATTTCGTATCTGATATCGACTGCAAGACATGCGACACTTTTACTCGCCCCATTCGATATCAACCAAGAATTGCAAGCCAGTGACATGTCCCCTACTACCAGCACCTTGCCCCCTTCCCCGCAAGATCACGCGTCTTTGAGGGCAAGTTTGCAACAAAAGGTCCTGGTAAAATCGGCATTTATGCGAGGTGACCTGCCAAGACCGGCTAGATCAGCCGAGCTCGCGCTGGATTGGGCAGTCAGTCCCATTTTCAGACCCTGGTCTATCAAGCCATCTATCGCCGAGTTAGCCGGGAGTCTCGTTTAAGTGCCGATGTTATTAATCGTTGATATTAGCAATCCTGGGGGCGTTTCATATGCTTAATGTTGTAATTTCGCATTGACACGTTGTCACGTCTTGAAAAAACGTGAGATTTTACGTATGGTTTTGTCGCGTGCTGACACGGGTCTTGCACGGGAATAGCCGTTAGTAACGGTCTATACGAAAGAGGCGAGAGATAAGCCACTCGCCTTCAAGTGGCACAGATATGGAAATACGGCTATCGGCGTCCCGTTGCTAGATCGGCCGCTCAATACAACACCAACGTGTTCTAGTGCGCCATCGAAGCTGAGGAACTTCTGTTTTGGATGCGGGCGACTTATTAGACGCCGGTGCCGGTTAACCGGTCCCCTTATCCATCACGACCCCATCCCACGATAAGAATAGCCTTAGGTTAACGTTCGTGGGGAAGGTGATTTCTCAATTCATCGTGCTATAACCTTCAATACTTCCAAATCTGTCATGAGGAATGCAGCCACCAATTTCTGGGGACATGCAAGCAAAGCAGCCAGTGATGATCGTGGAAATGAATATTTTATGTACGAGAATCTATCTAATAGGCCATTCGCCACCGATTTTATCCAGCCGTAGCGTAGTAGTACAATCCATCAGAAGGATTCCGCGCAGAACTTCTGTTATCATTACAACACCCGCATTTTCCTCAATCCTTCGTCATAGACATCTCTCACGCCACTGTAATACTCTCCTTCTACTGGCTTCTCGATATCAAGCTCCTCCGTACCGAAGCCGAGATGTCCGACTGAGCTCTCGTCACTCTTGCCCATCGACATCCTCCCCCATTTGATCTTTCGCCTCGACACGTCTCTGAGTTCTTCTACCTCTTCGTCGCCTATCAGCCGAGCGCTCATGCTGTCGTACTCGTTGCTCCTCATGCTCATCTTTGACGTTGCACGGCTAAGAGATTTGAGTTTTGTAGAGGGGTAGTGGCAGGCTGCTGATATAACTGCCGAGTTTGCGCCTGCGATAACCATCACGCCTGGGAGCTTTACAAAGGCGAGAAAGAGTGGCGTGATGGCGACTCCGATCGATGTCAAGAGACCGACCAAGATAGCCTTGGATGAGAACTGGAGACCGACTGTGACGTCTCGTTTATACGGATATCCTGGGGCGTATGCTATGGTGTGTCAGCACTTTAATCTGGGTAGCTAACTATTTTAGGAACCGATGCTTACCTTCGTAATTGCTCACATAAATACAGTTGGAGTAGATCCAGTGGAGCCCAATACTAATAATGATCAAAGGAATCGAGAACCGATAAGGAAGCTGAAGACGATACGTCGCGTTCTGCGACCCGCGCGGTTCAGTGACGCGCAGAGAACGAAACGCAACACTGTACTTTGACCACTCAAACTCAGCTAGCATGCGTGTGAAGAGGCCGTTGTACGCCAGGTAGCAGATGGAGAGGATAAGCTGCGGCGTGTTGGCAACCATGGTGAGTGAGATAAGAGGCAAGTTATCTAGAGCGTTGCTCTTCACGTCTTCGTTCTGCGGCGCGTGCATGAATTTAGAATCGCTCCTGTTGATAGGGTTAGGCCTTTCGTGTGTACTAACAAGGAGAGGCGACTTACAGAGATTGACCATTGATGGCGATACTTAGCATGACTGAAGCCACGATGAGAGAGCATCCGATGAGCAGAGATGACAGCACCCAGATACTTCGAGGAACAGCCTTTCCAAATCTTCGTATTGAGTTGTTCTGCCACTGCCTCGGTCCCTGCAACCATTTATAATTCTGATTCATCTCCCCCAACCTCGTCGGCGTCGGCTTTGCCGTCTTTCTTAGATCCTCCATCGTCAACGTACACATACCCCTCGTCTCCTCATCCGGTCTCGAAATAAATGACGCAATCGCATCGCCCGGTGTCATAAGCGGATTCTCATCCCCCCAAACACGAAGTTTCAGGACCAAAAGACACAGCATGGTCTTGAAGAGACACATGATGCAGACAATGAGCAAAAGACTGTTCGCTATGCTCAGTCGACACGGCGCTTCATACTTCTCCGAGTAACACCGATCAACCTGCATGACACGATACTTGGTCTTGAAAACCCTTGGATCTGTGATGATGGCACCAGATTGAGGATCAAAGATATTGCGCGTCCCTTGCATATCCCACGTTCCGAAGACGTTCATGTAATAGCGTGAGGCTGGCTGAGTGCTGCCATATTCATCTGGTGGAGTAGATACCAGATAACTGGGCTCGGGGTTTGACAGGTACTGGTTCGTACTACTGCTGCTCTGAGATGTCCTTCCGGTGCGTGTAAATGCGTCCACTGTCCAGAGAGGATTTGTGACGTTGAGATCGGCTGTGTTTGTGGTGTTTAAGAGTACATCAGCTCGTTTCCACCCAACTGTCTCATTTCGGTATATATCGTCAAAGTCGTAGATTATCATCATCAAATGTCGCCAATGTGTCAAGGCTTGTTGCGGGTTGTTGTATCGATGGATACAGTCGGGCAGATACATCTCAACCCAATCTCCATCCGTCGAGTTAACGACGAAAGAGTCATTGATGGGCTTTAGCTTCTCCAGAGACTCGGGGTTGCCGTTGCCCTGTGATTGATCGCTGTAGTCCAGTCTATCGTAGTAGGCCTGAGTGATTGAGGGAAGTCCCTTCCAGCCTCCTTGGATGAGTTCCGGAGAACCAATCATGACTGTGAAGCCATTGGTGCCTTTACTCTCGAGGACGCAACCGTTGAAGACGAGATGAAGAGGAACGGAACTCATGGAAAAGAGAGACCAGAAGAGGATCTTTCGCCAGCCCAGAAAACGAAAGTTCTTGAGTGACTGAACGCCAATCTCTAGCCAATGACCCGAACGATGCGCAGCGTCGACTTCAGCTCTCGTCGGCGCAACAAGACCTTGCATGAAAAAGTTGGACGACGCCAAAATACCCGTACTCACAATATTAATGAGCAAATGAATCCACAAGTTCGCCTTCGCAGTGGTATCGCAGTTCCCCTTGTACAAAACACTCTGGCCCAGCGCATCACCAGCATCCCTCCCGCTGGTAACCGCATCGTCTCCATCGTCACGCTTCAGCGCAAACAGCGACACGAAAAGCGTGACGAACAGGAGCGTCGTGAGCGTACTCACGAGAATGGTGAGGTACACTGCTGTGAGCTTCCATCCCGAAAAGCGACTAAAGCAGCCCATGGTGAATGGCTCACCCAGCGAAGGGGGCTGATGCGGAGAAGTTTGGGCGTTGTCCAAGGCAGACAGATCAAATCAGCCCTACCAATCAAACGCGTGAATCTCTAGTTAGACAAAAGCACGCGACAAGCTCGGTTACGAACTTTGGGGCCGGCCTTATGGAGACCATGAGAATCCTCCGGAGGATCAGGTATTCAGAAAAGGCTTAGAGAGAGAGAATGCATTTGTAATCTGAGGAAATGTCCTTCTTCCAGGTTTCAATAAGGTATCATTGGTATTTCGTCATCCGATTTCTTTTTTTACTTCTTGCAGAGAACATCCTCACCCAAACCGTCGTGGCTGCGCCGAAGGATCAGCGACGAGGGGAGAAGGCCAGTAAGAGCGCTTCGGTTAATGTGATGGGGTCATTCGGGGTTTCACTACATTCCATATGACAGAAATAAAAATGCAGTATCCGAGTATGAATGGAGGAGAGGCGAGAAGGATTTTGTCACTGCCCCTGGTTTAAATTGACTGCCCCCAAATTCCCGCTCTTAGTTAGGAGAGCGAGGCTGGTTATGCAGTGAGATTTTGGTTCGAAAACGGGAGGCTCGGGAGAACGGAGTTTTAGATGACCCGGATCTCGAAATAGAAATGCATGAGAGAGGAGAGAGGTCATTGATCCGGGGACTTTTCGGCTGACTGATAGATAAGGTTGGTGGGCTTGCTGTGCCTCACAGCTTCACAGAGTGATGACGTAGTGTATTACCCTGTTGACTCGCCCTATGCTAGAACATGTTAGAAGCAGAATCTTCACGATAAACAGACAAAGACTATGTGTATTTCCAGAGCAACACTAAATAAATAAACACTAAATAAAGAAAGCCATTTATCTTTCCAAGAACAATGCATTGTCTAGATTAGATCATGGACTACGTGGTTATGGACGCGATTGACGTGGCTATAAAGTTAAGCTTTAGGTTGTGAAAACGTGTGATGAATGAAATCTGATCGATAGCGCATTTCACGAGCTTGCCATAGCACCTGTGTTTAAAAGAAAAACCAGCCATAATAATAAAGAAAATATTAAAAACACATCGAATAGGACTTACGTATCACGATAGCATACTGAAACTTAGTTGACTCGAACCTTTGACAGATAGCAAATATGAAAAAATGCCCACCGAAAGCCTATTCATTTTAACTTTTTTGTTAGAACTTTCATTGTTTACCATGTATTATAAAAGAGTCTGTCTATACCGGTCCTCCCCACTGATTTCTCTCCTCCTCATCTCACCAAACAACCATGACGACCCTATCCTCCGCCCATCTTTGCTCTTTTCCTGAGGAGACCATCGACAGAATATGCCAGCAGCTCTGTCCCTGCTGCAGCGAAGACCCCTCTCCTCGATACTTCCTTCGCTCCAAATGGCCGAACCCGGCTGGTGACAGAAATTGCCTGCTGGCCTTATCTCTGACATGCCAGAAGTTCAGGCGTGTCTCCCAACCGCACTTGTATCATCGACCGATTGGACACGACTTCCTTGGTTTCATCAACACCATCGATGGAACCCCAGCTCTTGGTAAAAATGTCAAGGAGCTTTATGTGAACCTGGACGTAATGGAGTCTCTGCGTGTTCGGTATCTCGACCAATTCATTAATAGGACAGAATATTCCAGAGCAAGGCGGCAGTTACTCGTTGATGCCTTGGATTCCTTCATGCCCGTTCTTCTCTCTTTAACACCAATGCTCACCAAGCTTGAGGTGTATTTCGGGTGTGACCGGCAATTCTCGTCGACCCCGTCTAGATGCCTTCTGAATTTGAAGGAACTCAGTATAACCTTTCCAGGGGCGCTTAACTTATACTACTACGAAGGCGTGGACGGCGTGGCTGGCCTACTGCGCGCAGCACCTCTACTGGAAAGAATTCACATGTCCAACTTCGGCACTCGAATGCCAGGTTTTTATCACGACAATGTCAACGAAATTACACTGACATCATTCTTAATTTCCATCGACGAGATGAAGACCATGATGCGTAGATTCCCAAAACTACAAACTTTTCGGATCAGTACACCATATTTTTGGCAGAACCTATCTCAGGGATTAGGTACAACGTACAAGATTGAGGATGTCCTGATGCTGAGAAGCAATACGCTCAAACACGTCGCACTCGAGCTTCCTGGCCATGGCGTCGATGGCAAACTAGTAATCCAAGATCTCTCAGGCATGAAAGCCCTTGAGACACTGTACATCGACAGCGGCATGCTGCATCGCCGATGGGAGCAGGGCCATCAACCTGCACCAAGGATTTGCCACATGCTCCCAAAATCTATCAAAGAGTTCGGTCTCATGGGGAGCGCATATCCGCTGGTTCATGAAGAAGTTGTGGAGTCAATCAACATTTCGGCCCAGGCATTTCCTCACCTGAAAAAGGTATTTGTTGCGCAGTTTCAGGAAGAATGGCCAGAAGAGTGGGTTGAATGGGAAAGCAAGTATGCCTCGGCTTGTGAAGCTCACAACATTGAACTTTCATCATGGTTGCCTCCAAGCTTACAGAGTCTCATGTCCCAGTGGCCGAATTGGGATTAAATTTGAGGAGGTGCTGGATGACACTGGTTTCTTCCTGAGGATTGAGGTTTGCAACTGTATTCGAAACTCGTTCGGCTGGTATCGTTGGAACAGAAGATACTCTATACCAAGAAATTGTCCTAAGAACTTGCAGAATTTAGAATTAGACAACCAATTAAGCATGTAATTCACTAACCTGCGAACGGTAATTGTCGCGAATTGATATGATGGCTGAGCTAAGTTTGACCGGCCCAATTGGTTCACCTTGGATTCAGTTTGCGGGGTTCACACCATTGTGATCCTTCGCAAGGCACTTGGGACCTGGAGGCTGGGATGACCTTACCTCAAAGGTGATAGACCTCGGTACCAGTCAGGTGGGAGCTGAGACTAAACTTAGTGACAACGGAGCTAGTGATCCCGAAGGTTGTGACCCAGTATAACTAATGCTACCGCCGCTGATCAAGATGGTGATGAAACAGAGTTGTCTTCATTTATCTGAGGATAGGCCTCGGTAAAGATGAGTTGGTGGCCAGCTTAATGTGACTCTTAAGACTCAAGATGGTGTTGGATTAATTTATTCACGAACCTCGGCTCGGAACGAGATGTTGTTAACTTGAAGCTGGTTCCAAGGTTCCGTATTACTTCTCCTCAAACTGGCGTTGACGTTAATGAGCCTCGGTACTGTCTCCGGCTTGTAGCTCAAGATGGTGGTGAGACAAGTCTGTCTTCTCAGTCTAGAGCCAATACGGTGTTTCTCGCGATCATGGAACCTTGGCGATGTTCGGAAACCGGAATGATCATCAACCTAAAGATGTTGTAGTCCGTAGACACTACTGTCGATCCAAGATGTTGTCCCAACTGCGCCAACATATCCGGCGCCGTTCTCCCAAAACAAAATTAGACATACTTTTAGACATATTCCGCTATCGGAACGACAACAAGCTCGAGCGTTCTTGACACCTTCTAGTGTCCGAGCACAAGAAGATCATCAGTTCGTACCGAGTCATGAAAGTCTCAGCTGTCCAAGCCCAAGGGATCAAACAAGCCAGTTTCAACTACAATACGAGAGCGCTAAAACCTGTTAGACTGAAACTAGAAGGCAAAGTCACCATGACCTTGTCGACAATCGCAATCTATCGAAAACCCAAATTCCCGTCATGTTTTTTATGCTCTAGCGCTGAAATACCCGTAATCTGGCCAGTATAACCTTGCACGCGTGCATGGAACTTACCGAACCGAGGTCATTCAACTCTGTTCATTCCTGAGACCCAAGACTCATCAAACTCGAATTGGCATGGGCTGACCACGTTAGCGGGTTTTAGTATGAAACCGGGAATAAATGCGCACTGCCACCATCACCTCTCCTGAGGCCACCAATTCTCGTGGTTTCAGGTATCCCTGTCTAAAAAAGCAACTGTCAAAGCGGCACACCCACCGGTGACCCAGTGGGTAAGCTTAGGTTCCCAACAACGTGGTGATAGGGCGCCGTTTCACACTGCCATATTGCTCTTGTTTCGATGATCAGTGGAGTTGGTCTTGACTTGGCGCAACGGGGCTCATTTCCCGTTTTGATGAGGGCTTGCGAAGAGACTACTGGTTTTGGCGGCGGCAGACAAGGGCTTCTTGCATGACTCGGGAGTTGAGATTGGTGGGATGCGTGGTGATAGGTTTGAGAACGAACGGGTTTGTGCTCTTGGTTTGTTTCCGGGAGATAGAGAGGTTGCTTTGATCTTTGCTTCTTGGTACCGAAAAGTGATCCATCGTCTGTACTCGAGTTATTCCAAAAGCGTTAGACTTGCGAAAGCACGGAAGATGGATGTTTCGTTGACATTTAAGATAAATACCTGAGATAACCTCGACATTGATGGAATGAAATCAAGCCTCTCAGTCATTCACTCACTCAACAGCCTTTCTTTCAAATCCAACTCATTCGTCTTCGATTCTTCTTCGCCTCAACCGCCAAAATGAAGTTCTCCATCATCTCTACTCTTCTCGCTGCCACAGCCTCTGCTCTTCCCGCTGGTCAGGATGCCGCTGCCCTCGAGGCTCGCCAGCTAGGCGGCAGCATCACCCGCAACGATCTTGCCAACGGCAACAGCGGTTCATGCCCGGGCGTCATCTTCATCTACGCTCGCGGCTCCACTGAAGCCGGCAACCTTGTTAGTGACCCCCCACCAAACTCCCCCCCAAGTGACAGATCATAACTGACTCTTTTATTAAGGGAACTCTCGGTCCCCGCGTTGCTTCAAAGCTTGAGGCCAAGTACGGCAGGAACGGTGTCTGGATCCAGGGCGTTGGCGGTTCTTACCGCGCTACTCTTGGTGACAACGCTCTTCCTCGTGGAACTTCTAGCGCTGCTATCCGTGAGATGCTGGGCCACTTCAACGACGCTAACCAGAAGTGTCCTGATGCTGTTCTCATCGCTGGAGGTTACAGCCAGGGTGCTGCTCTCGCCGCTGCCAGTGTCACCGACGTCGACGCTGGTATTCGTGAGAAGATTGCTGGAGTCGTTCTCTTCGGATATACCAAGAACCTCCAGAACCGCGGAAAGATCCCCAGCTACCCCGAGGACCGCACCAAGGTCTTTTGCAACACTGGTGATCTCGTCTGCACTGGTTCGCTCATCGTTGCTGCTCCTCACTTAGCCTACCAGAGCGATGCTTCCAACGGTGCTCCCGAGTTCCTGATCCAGAAGGCTGATGCTGCTGGAGCTGCTTAAGCAGATTGATGGAGGGCGAAGGACTAGGCTGGCCTGTTCTTGCATTTTATGAGGTTTACGTTTTTCATTAGTTTTTGTTTGTATCTACTTCACAGAGGAATGGCTTTAGTGACCATGGACACTGAGACTCAATACGATAGCGCAATCGCATTGACTTGCAAAAGGCTTGCCCCCGGGAACGTGAACTGCCGTGACAAATTGCTGACCATTATCATGACGCAAGATGACCGTTGAGAAAAGATAACATTCGATATATCACATTCTCAGAACATGGTTCAATACGAGCAAGCCACATCGCAATTGGCGGTTTCGTCCCATCTTGTCCCCTGCATGTTGTATCGGAAGTGTCTGAGGTGCCGGCCAGGGGTTCCATGCTGCAGGGGTTGCCATGCACGCATTGCATATGGTAAGCCCCATGTGACGATACATCTGACAGCGGGGGAATTGCCAAGCATGATAGGTACACTTGTGAGGAAATACTTGTAGGATAACTGTGAGATCTCACTTGACTTGCGACAAAGCTCTCACATTGGAGGAATCAGCTTTTGCGTGGGATTACGTTTTTCTTATTTGCATTAGCATCATTGCATCGATAGTGGGGGGTTGTATTATTTGATAACTTGGCGAAAGCCACTGTAGCATCGAGCCACTGCTCATTTCATATCGAATTGAATGATCTGGAAATTAGGTTGTTGCCGCACGCTCAAGGGTTCAAGAAGAATAAGCTTAATCGTATGAGAAAACACCCCTCGGTGTCTTGGTACAAAGATATCCTGAACAGTGTCGGCTTCTTGTATGCCGAATACGTCGTCTATTTTTAGGCATTGTCTCGTCTATCATGTCTATACTCTCCAGCCTCATTTCACCAAATAGCTGACCTTTGACTTTCCCTTACTCCTCGCAATCTTCTTAACCGTCGTCTCACCACAAAGATCCGTAGTATCAACATGCGTTCCACCGCATGGATAAACCTCCGCCCCAACAATCCTCACAACACGAAACTTGGTCTCTCCAGGTCCCAAAAAGCTCGCGTCAGGCGTAAGATGTTCCAGGCCATTCTTGCGAAACTCCTCAGCGTCCCACCAGTCAATCTCAACTGGCATTTTGGCCGCTAAAAATTCATCGACTTTCTTTTGAATGGGCTCTTTGTACTTTCCGTCGATGAGGCCTTGGAATTCGCATGATGCGGAGTCGGGAAAGTGAGAGGCTTTCAGCTCTTCGAAGCCCTCGACTGTGTCTTTGAGGAGATGGTTGACTGCTGAGCCGAGGACGTGACCGGCGGTGTGATATCGAGAGTAGAGAAGGCGCTTCTCAACGTCGATTTCTTGCGTGACCTTGTGTCCTTCCGTGAACTTCTTATCCGAGTCGAATCTTCCGAAATGCAAGACCTGACCATCGCGAACAGCATCCATACGAGCAGACGCAACAGTGAATGAAGCCCCAGCCTCATCCTTTATCTTTCCAATATCTGAGGGCTGACCTCCTCCTTGGGGATGAAAAATTGTTTCTTCTGTGACGACTGCATAGTCTTCGTCGGTGCCTTGCTTAAATAGCTCACGATTCTCAGCCTCCAAGCTGCCAAATGGTCGAATCGCCGTGATCAGTGTTTGCAAAGAATGGAGCTTTGCATTGCGCTGGAAGGTCAGCACAGTTCGTGCCGCTGATGCCATTTTGTGAATGTGAAGAAATAATTCAGGATGATGAGAGAGATGGAAATATGCGAGGGCGACGGAGGAAATAGCTGATGAATCAACGAATGAGAGAGGCGAGCACTAAAGCCCACGGGGTTTAGTGCTGAGGATTCAGTGAATCACAGGGCGCGCCTTTGCAGCTTATCACTTATCTAATTGTTAGTGCAAGACAGCCTAACCTAGAGAAGAAGGTATTTGCTGCTGTCATCACTTTTGGAAACAAAGAGTAGCGAATAGAATGAATGATTATGAAACCTGGTCAATACGTGACTATGTTTTGACGCGGATGTGCATCGGAAGAGCTTCACGAGACCGTTTCATAGTGCCGTGTCGTGCTGTGCCCTCTGGGTATCTATACCACGATATCAACATTTTGGCAACTAGACGAAGAGAGACAGTTCAAGTTCGATTATTTATCAATCACGCAGCACGATGCCTGTTGGAAGATGAGAACAAAGCATATTAATATTTTCTTTGTACATCTAGAGCCAAACATTTACCGCTCGAGGCTGTACTGCCGCTGAGCTAGGGCTGTGAATTGTTTCAATACGTGCCGTGCAGCTGAGGTGTTTCTCCTCACGGAAAACAGTGGAGACTTTCGCAGTCACTTCGAACCTACATGCTACGTCTCAATCACCATGCTATTGCTTATTAAATAAATTAGGCAGCAAGGCAGGTGCTGCCCAATATTCCCTACAACTTATAAAAGAAAGTTAGAATTATATAACCAATATGTAAGATCTGCTTATTAAAGAAGTTATAAGACCAATCTCCGTTTCCTTACATTAATAGTTATCACCACTCAGTATGTGCACTAGCCTTCAGGAAAAAGCTCACTCATGCTTCCACTGCGAGCAAAGATTTCTCATTCGGGATTGCAACGACCCAGAGCCCCTTATTCACTTCGATGGCCCAAAGAGTGATCAGTATTGGAGATTGTGGCCTCCAGACCAAGAGCCGATCACCCTGTCAGAGCTCAAGCAAATGGCTAATCTAGGATGTGCTTTTGCAGAGTACCTTTTTTTGAAGTTCACTTCTCGTAAAGAAGTAGTCTCTGACAATGCCATTGTCAATAGGGTTCCTCCAGCTATGGGAGACACTGAGCCCAACTCCATCGTTGTTACACTTTCAGGAGAGAACCATCACGAAACGAATTCATACTTTACATACATGACAGAACAAGGTCGGACGTCGCGCAATTGTCTTCATGGGTCCTTATCTAATGCATCTAGACAGGAAGTAGTACAGCTGATGAAGTCTCTCAAAGACCTCCGAACTTGTTACCCGCATCACCACACGCTTTTAGTCTGGCAAGAAAATGGGCTCATGAGTGTCTCCAAAATCATATATCTTGCGCAAGTCCATCTGTGGGTTTCATGCCAACAAGGATCATCAAGATACTCGACTCGGGAAAAAGGATTGAGATTATCGAGAGGAATTCCTCGGCTGCCTACGCAGTCTTATCGTACTGCTGGGGCGGCCCGCAACGAATCACCCTCAGCAAGGCTCGAGTGAAGAATGGCCAACTTTCCTTCGATACAAGCACTTTACCACAGACGTTGCAGGATGCAGTTCGTGTTTGCGGCGAGCTTGGCCTCAGCTTTCTATGGGTTGATGCTCTATGCATTATACAGGACGCTCCAGAGGATAAAGCTACAGAAATTGGACAGATGGCAAAGATTTACGAAAACTCGTATGTCGCAATCATGGCTAGCAGAGCAAAGAGTGTTGAGGAAGGATTCCTGCACCCACGGTCACATTTCGGAGCAGACAGGCGCTCTCCTGGCTTTCGTCTTCAATACGAAACTAAGAACGGCCGAAAAGGATCTGTCATATTGGTGGAGGAGTCTTCTTCTCAAACTTACGCTGATCCTCTGAGTCTTCGCGCATGGGCATACCAAGAGTTCATTCTTTCTCCAAGAATTCTTGACTACGGGGAGCTGAGAACAACATGGATCTGCTGGGCAGAACTTAGTCCAACAGATGGATTTCTGTCCACACCAACTTCGTACTGGAGCCGACAGAGGTTTCAGGAAATAATATCTCCCTCTATTGAGGCTAATTCCGTTCCGCCTCGTCAACTGTGGAGCACTCTGGTTCTATGCTATATGCGCAGCTCAATAACCGATCCTTATGACCGCCTTCCCGCGCTTGCAGGTATTGCGGAACGTCTGAATACTATCATTAAAGACGAATACATTGCAGGTTGCTGGAGAAGTAACATCTGGCTTGATCTTCTGTGGTGGCATGAGGACGGTACATCCCGTACGCGACCCGCAAGATACTTTGCTCCGTCTTGGTCTTGGGCGTCCATCCCAGATGGCAACCTTAACTACATATCAACAAGGTCATGTGTTGTCGATGAAGGATTTGAGATACTGCATCACGATATTAAATTATCATATCCTCAATCTCCATATGGTACTGTCACAGCTGGCTTCCTTTTCCTCCAAGGGCGCATTATACCAGAGGAATACTTGCCTGACCTCAGAAATCGAGAGTTCTACCATCATCCAACAAATATTACCGTAAATGGGCAGAACTCGATCGCAATTTCATGCTCCGTTATTCCTGACTATGGTCTGGGGAGTTTTTGCAACAGTAAATATCCCATTCAAGGGCTATGTCTCTGTTGGGACGAAAAGAGAACTACAATTCGCGGTATTGTACTTCAAAATGTTGAATTGGACTGCTATCGCAGAATAGGCCTTTTTACCATCGAATTGGGAACAACAGATCCGGCTTGTCATGATATATCATTTGAAGGATGGACACAAAGAAGGAATATATTTTTAGGAACATGGAGAAAGAGCTTACAAATCGAAAAAATAAAGGTAGTTTAGTAGTTTATATTATTTAAAAAAATTGCTTATACTGTCTATTTAAATAAAGCTAAGGATTTTATAACAGGATTTTTGATGTAAGCAGTGGAGGATGAGATGTCTGGATAGATCCACGGGCCCATGGTAATATACCTACCTACCTTGGGTTCAATTGACAGGGGAGCTCGCCAAACAACCCGAATCATCTCCGTGGCCTGAACTCTCAGTCGAGAGATATACTACAGAAGAGGACTCTAAAGAGTCAAATCGGAACGTTACCGATGTTTTGGTGATGTTATTCGGAAATTACCCCGCATGGAAACTTCCGATGCCTTGGCAAGTGCCGTTGACGTTGCGCAACCACCAAACAGGTATCAGCGGGGTAGAATATTGTTAAAAGCAGTCGATCGACCACCGTTTTTACACGCTTTACTGTGAATCAGAGGAAATTTGCAGACTCTGATAAGTGTATAAAATGATTCTGGATCTCTTCCTTCAACACCCGTGGGCGTATCTGGCAGCAGCCGTTGTTGGACTACTAGCCACAAAGCTCCTCATTAACAAGTATGGCAATGGCTTGAACGGAATACCCGGACCGGCTTTGGCCGCTTTCACGGACCTCTGGCGCTTTCTTGATGTGTATCGGAGAAGACCAGAAGTGACACAGATTGCTCTACATGAGAAACACGGTAGCGTGGTGAGACTCGGACCCAACACGGTCTCGATCGCGGATCCAGCTGCTATACAGACAATCTACGCCCATAACTCAGGTTATACGAAGTCAGATTTCTAGTAAGTGGCCAAGGCGATGAGAAGCGTTGCCTAGGCTGACAAGTGGTAGCCCGGTGCAGCAGACCATAAACAAGAGCGGCAAGAGACTCATCACGCTCTTCACCTCACAAGATGAGAAGTTCCATTCGCAGCTTCGACGTTCTGTATCAAATGCTTATGCCATGAGCACACTCGTTCAATTCGAGCCATTCGTCGACTCCACTACCACCGAGTTCTTTAAACAACTTGACCAGCGATATGCCAACCAGAACGACGTCCTTGACTTTGGGACATGGCTGCAGTACTATGCCTTTGATGTCATTGGCGAGTTGACGTACTCCAAGAGACTAGGCTTTGTGGACCACGGAAAAGACGTGGACAACATCATCGGGAATCTTGAATGGTTGCTCAACTATGCAGCACCTGTAGGTGAATGGAAGCCTCATAGTGGTCACTAAACTGACGGTCATGTAGGTTGGACAACTGCCAATCCTCGACAGCTTACTCCTCAAGAACCCATTAAGGCTACAACTTACAAAATGGGGTTTCACCAACTCATCCTCTCCCGTCGCGATATTCGCCCGCAATCGAATGCTCGCCCGCGTTGATCCTGAGAAGCTCGGCGACATGAAGTTCGACCAAGACAATGGCCGACGAGACTTTCTCTCACGCTTTCTCGAAGCCAATCAAAAAGACCCAGAGTTCATGAGCAACGATAGAGTGCTCGCTCTGACGGTTGCAAATATGTTTGCAGGCTCAGATACAACGGCGATTACTTTCCGAGCTATCTTTTATTATCTCATGAAGAACCCAAGTGACATGAAGACTTTGATGTCTGAGCTAGCAGAGGAAGAAAAGGCCGGCCGATTTACCCGCGAAGATGGTCTTGTTAGTTGGAATGAAGTTCGAGACCTTCCCTTCCTCAACGCTGTTGTCAAAGAAGCTCTTCGATGCCATCCCGCTGCAGGTCTCATGCTCGAACGTATCGTCCCCGCACGCGGTCTTGAAGTCGACGGGCATCATATCCCAGGCGGCACCATTGTTGGAGTAAACGCCTGGGTTCTTCATCGCAATAAGGATATCTTCGGCCATGATGCTGATCGGTGGAGACCGTCGAGATGGATTGAAGCTTCGACTGAGCAAAAGAGACGGATGGAGAACTACATGTTTGCTTTTGGCGCGGGTTCGAGGACTTGCATTGGGAAGAACATCAGTTTGTTGGAGATGTATAAGATGGTTCCTGCTTTATTGCGGCGATATGAGGTAAGCTTTAGTGTCGATTGAAGTGTCCTTTACTAAGACGTTGCGTGTAGCTTGAGTTCCCGTCGGCGGATAACACATGGCATCTGAACAACGGTAAGCTTCACCTATCCGAGCTCTTTCATACATCTGCAAGCACCGCCTTGTGATATACTTTCTTGATACTGACTTTAATCCAGCGTGGTTCGTGAAGCAGAGCAACTTTAATGTTCGGCTTAGGCGGAAGCATAAAGTGTCATTCCTTCCGGACGAGAGACAAGATTGAAATACTGCGGAAGTAAGCAATTGGATGTTTACTACTATGGTCAAAATTTTAATCAATGCTCGTGCGCAATCCATCTTCATAAGCTTTCAGTGGAGTAGCCTATGATACATACGACCATAGCTCGTAGAAAATACGGGATCNNTAGTTGGGTCGGTGACGACCAGCGAATCCCCGGTGTTGTATGTCTTTTTTGAACTTCTTTGTGATTTTGTAGTGTATTGACACGATATTGATGATTGAGATGTCCTAAGTTTTGACTTTCAGTTGGATGGTGTCCATGATGATAAAGTTAATACTGACTCCGAGCATGATAAGATAAGAGCTGCCCTCTTAAACCTTTCCAATTCGCTTCCCACTTCATGCTTCTCCACATTCCCTCATGCAACGAGTACGTACCGCGCCGAGGACAATGTCACCATCCAAGACACGCGCCGAACGAGTTGAAACAGACGTCTTGCTGGCCATCAAGCCCGAACACCTGGCAAACATCATCAGCCGACAGAAGAACCATGAGTATCGCAAGTATCGTCTTAAAGATGGTGTCTCGCGCCTCTGGCTTTACGAGACTGGCAGTGGAGGCGGTCGCTCATCAATCACGTATGTTCAGCACACTAACAGTACTCAGGAACCAGAATAATCCAACTAACTAATCAATAGACACATCGCAGTGATCCCACCAAACACTCGCCGTGAACCAGGTTCTGTGCCGACCGAGCCTTTTGGTATTGGCAATGAAGACTTCAACGCTGGACGCAAGGAGTCCAAGTACGGATATCCGATCCTGGAGCTCTACGAACTTGTGAACCCAGTTACTCTCAACGAAATGAAGACGCGATGGGGCATGGGTGGTGCGCCTATGGGATGGCAGTATGTGGCATCAAATCTCTGGGAGGACAGATGGGGTGAGGATGAGGAGAGAGGTGAGAAGGTGAAGAAATTGTTTTAAAAGATATCCTTGCTTGCTGGACGTTTGGTGTTGGTACCATGAAGACCAATAATAGCTTTGCGCTCTGGGAATTTTAAGCTCGTTCTATCCAATTGTTCTGCCTCAGCCATGCTTCGCACATAACTGGCCACTTTGATACAGGCAAGTCCTCCGGGCTATCCAAGGCAAATCCGTGAGGCGCGTCAGCAAAGATGTGCAACTCGACCGGTGCCCTGCCCTTTGTGAAGCTCTCTGCTAATCGATATGCGTTGACGACAGGTACGACTGGGTCGTTGTTGGAGTACACGATGAATACTGGCGGCGCAGGAGATCGGAGCTGAACATCTGGCTGTACGATATCATACAGTTCTTGCTTTTCTTTGGGCGGTAGAGGTGGCTTGTTCTCAATAATTGTACGGCCAGCCGCATTTGTTGAAACTGGTCCGTAACCCAATATGGCGAACTCAATCTGAGGCATTTCGGGATCTGGCGATGTCCAGACTCGAGGATACTCTGACAGAAGAGCAGCGCCGAGATGACCACCAGATGAGAGACCACAGATGCTAATCCCCTTTGGCGCAAGTCCACTCTCAACCATGATCTTCAGAGCTCTTCTTCCGTCATCTAACGGCGCTTGAGCACCTGTTTCGCTGTTTGGGAAGCGATGCACCAGGACGAACGCGTAGAAGCCAAGACTGTTGAGCCATTTTGCGACGGCGACGCCTTCACGACCGACCATGAGTTGAACATATCCTCCACCTCCGAGAACGAGAATGCCGCGGCCATTTGGGTTTGAAGGACTGTAGCCGAATAAGAAAGGGCGATTGACCTTTGTCACGACGGCGTTGTCGCCTGGAGTGTCGAGATCGAATGCTCCATCGAGGGAGTCACTGCCCCATAAAGGCCAGGATTGATCTGAGTCGAGCATGGTTAGCTGATGACACTCTGCTGGTGTTATGGGAACTGAAGACAAGATTCTGTAAGGGAACCTCAATGGCAAGATATGATGTATGATCGTGGGGTTATGTGTGGAGTTGCTAGAATTGGCCTCGCGGGAACATCCAACCGAGATGCCGAACATTGGGGGTTGGGGTTTTAGACGATACCATCCTCTCCACATTGCAATTCTCGACACGCTTGGCTTTTGGCGTGCTTGGCTCACCACTTTGAGGACTCCGAACATTGTCTTGACTTTGTTTGTTGCTCAATATGTTTAGATTATTGGATACGCTTTATAGGCCTGCCTATTATACTGCTGAAACCAATTCCCTCATCTCCATTACTCCATCCTCTTAGCTTGTAGTCGCATCAAAAGCAAGGAACGTCGAAGCCTTTCCAGCTTCATCCTTGTCCTGCGAAATGTTGTTCTGCAACTTCTTGTTCTCCTCCGCCAGCTTATCAGCGACATCCTCGCCCTGCGCTTGCTGAGCCTCTAGCTTGAGGATAGTAGCGGTCAACTTCAAGACCTTGTTCTTGATCTTTCCGCGCTGCAAAACCGTTAGCTTTATGTCCCTATTGACCTTGGATGAGAAGACTTACCTGAAGAGCATCGGCTGCTTCGCCGGAAGCTGCGTCGATAGCAGGGTTGAAGGCCTCATCCTCAGCATCATTCGCAATCTGGTTGACACTATTGAGGAAATCCAAGTCAGACTTCTCAACAGTTGATAGGTCCGTGGGCAGACCGCCAAGCTTCTGCAGAGCCTCTTGCTGGGCGTTACCCGCAGTGCCACCACTAATGGAAAGATCGTTGTATGTGGACTGGCTGAACACAGCGCGCTTGCTGATAGGGCTGGCGATAGCAGTAGCAGCGAAGCCAAGAAGGAACGAGGTGAACTTCATGTTTGCGTTTGAGATGTGATGCACGGAAGAGGACGGATGGAGGGTGTGAGTGCAAGAAAACAGGCCAGCTGTAAGAAGTGAAAGTGAATTGAGTTTGTGATAAGACTGATTTTGGAATAAGTGGCAGTGTCGTCGAGTCTTTGTATGCGATAGAAACATCGCAAAGCAGACTCTCATTGGCGCTAAATGAGCATGAGACGTTTCTCACGGACTAAATTTATGCTTCATCTTCAGGATGAACCTATTCTGGGGTGTAAGCGCCGTGGTAAAACAGTGTATCCTCGATGGTGATCATACTCGCGCTGTGGCTTGAAGACCGGATGAGCGGTGATCCGAAAGTGCCCCAGTTTGTATTTTGTATAGTTTATCGGTAGGCGGAAACGTCAAATGTAAGATCTGGGTCAATGTCGCAATTAGACCTTGGCGTTGCTCCATTTTGGCGAGGAGGCTAGGGGTATCCCTAAGTGTCGCGCATTGTTTCATCGTGCCTCAGATCGCGATTGAGACAATCCATTGCCTCAGGTCCACTCCGTAAGTTCATCCCGAGTATTCAGAAAGCTTCAACTCTAAATACGCGCTTTATGAAACTTATATCTATTGTGAGGCGCCGCGTATTTGGATTGTCCTATAGTACTCACCGCGTAATCCGAGGAATGAACGGCATCATCAAGGCAAGATGATTAATCATGATAATTTCATTACTATGCTGCTGTTTCTGAACGCATATCGCATCACTATGTAAGTTGTACGAGCATTGTGAGGCAGAAGCAGAACTCATAGCACTCGTTACTTCTTATTGCAAGATTGTCATACTCTATATACACAGAGTATTCAACACCAATAGCTCAACATCAAGCCCAGACTAACTACTTAGCAAGCCTTCTCGAACACCATGTATTGACTGATGATCAATTAAGTCATACCTCGGCTGGAACTTTACTCCGAAACATCTCCATCTGACCCGATGATTACAGGTCGCTCATCACGGGCGTCCATAGGGTTCTGAGCAGAGTCATCCTCTGAGCGGCTTTCATCTGATGCTGCAGGTACAGATGCAGCTGGGCTGACATTGCCAGATGAGGGGACAGGTATCGCCTCAGCTGGGCCTCCCTGGCTTGCCGAACCCTGTGCGAGCATAGTATACTTCTCAAGGAAACACTGTTCGATGGCACCGGCGGTAACAGTACTGACTCTCCACGTGGTTGTGTTTGAAATGGGCTGGATTTCTTCGGTGGTGATAACCACGACATCGACGGCAACCGTGACGGGGTCTCCAGTGACGGTGAGGGTCTCGCGACAGTGGCCTGTATTTCAATGCAGGTTAGCTTTTCATCATCATACCAAAAAAATCGGATTACTATGCACTGACCCATGGTAGTGTTGGTGACAGTTTCAACTCTAACTCTCTCGATAACCCTGACTGACGTTGGGAGGGTCTGGTCTCTGTATCAGCATATCTGTTCGAGTATGGAAACGATGCGACTCAAACGTACCACGACATCAGTCTTGACAATTGTGTTCGTGACGGTTGCGGTGGATACCGGTACATAGACAATCTTGGCTTTGTCTTTAACACCACATTGTGTGATGTGACCGGCGCAAGATACCATGACCTTGTCCTCGCGGTGACCTTTCTTACGTTCATGCGCTCTTGCGGTCGTGGTTGAGGTCGATTCGGAGATTGCAGGACTGGGGTCGCCAGACTCTGTACATTGTTACTGAAAGCCCGTATATGATTGTGGTCTGGAGCTACGTCTGGAGATGACTTACCTCTCACAGCAGACGCAAAGCCTGCGAGACAAAGAGTAGCCATGATGGCGGCGCGGGACAGAGATTGTACAAGCATTGCGAAGAGCTTGGTGGAGTGCAAAGTGATGAGGAGGAGGATAGAGATGGAGGAAAGTTTGCGATTGTAGCTTCACTTGGCGGGTTTAAAAAGAATGAGGGGATGGGAGGATTATCATAACGACCTCAGCTTTGAGAAAAATGCAGCTCGATAGCTCTACTGAGCTACAGAGCTTGCCCAGGGTCCAAGCCAGGTATCCAGGGTCAGGATCTACATGCAGCTGCTCTCGAATGAATTGAGTTCAGCTAACTCCCCGCTATCTACTGAGTAGGGTCCCTTCTTTGGATCCTGGGGGCGTCTGCTGTGTAGTTGCATAGGGCTTGCGTACTTCAGCGCTAAAGCAATTATCGAACTATGTAAAGGTGATAGCTGCGATGCTGGCTACGGAGTTGCATGCAATAGTGCATCTACAGCTGCAGTCCACTTCAAGAAGTCAGCCCATTTACCCCAAAATGTCCTTCCGAAGAGAGTGATATTGCTAAAGTGGCTGGCTAGTCTCAACTGAGGCTGGCTGGTGTGACGCGTAGCGACCCGGCTATCTACAGTCTAGACTGATTAGGACCAAGCCACAGCGGACAGCGGTTCAAAATGGGTCCCAAACGGGCACGATTGGCGCTTCCCCTCATCTAATTCCAGAGCTGAATATTCATTTTGGGCAATCAGCTACGCCTCAAAAGCTGCTGCCCAAACACACAATTGGCGCACAATGTGCTGCGCATGGTAGCTCGAGCTGGCTGGTCTAGTGCATGTTAACCCAGCTCCAGGCGCCTCGAAGGGACATAATTCACGCGACAGTGAGATCACCATTACATCGCTGAACAGAAACACTGGATTTGGTCCTGTTAGGCGAACTTGCAGTTTGAGTCTCCTCTCCTTGTCATCTTTACTGGCCCGGGTTAGACATTTGAGGCCCTCTTTAACGGTGGGTGCAGCATGGTTTGATGTATCTCGAGACACTATCGGACGCCATGCAGAGCAGCCACATAATAGATTCACAAAACAACAACATGCAGTAGTTCCTGAAGTACCTAGACGTGACGAGATTAGTGTAGGACTGGGTGCATATGCATTCAATGATCCGAGCGCGAGCTCCGTTGATCGGGCTAGCCAGCCTCCAAACCACCCGCTCTAACACGAAACCGGGAATAAGGGACATCGCCTGATGGCTCTGGTCTTGAATCGCGGTCAAGTCGTTCTGAGACGAGCTGCCTCTGTCCATAGCCATAGCCACAGTAACGACTGAAGAGCCAATGCGAGTGCTGCTTATGCATGCACGAGGGATGTTGGAGGAGTTGCCAAGTAGACATGAGTGAGGTTCAAGAAACTATAAAAGCAG